TTTATGGAAGAGAATGTTGAACTGGAAACGGTGGAGGAAGCCAGCCGAAATTGGCCCCAAGCAGATAAATGAGGCTTCTTGCCTGGAATGTGAGAGGAATTGGACCATCCCTCACATTCCAAACTGCTGTCGGTTTAGTTCGTTCGAATAAACCGGATCTCGTGTTCTTTTCTGAGACACGATCAAGCCAGAGAGTAGTGTCCCGTCGTATGCACGGATTAGGGTTTCAGCTTTCTTGTTGTTTCTTTGTTGATGCGATTGATGCATCAGGCGGTTTAGTTGTTGCTTGGTCCCCCGAAGTTGAGGCTTCGGTGTTTTTCCATTCGAATTTCTGTATTTGCACGCAAATTAATGAAAGTAATGGTTCTTATGTGGTGGTTTCTGTTTACATTAGTTGTAATCCCTCGTTAAGAGCTACCCAGCTAGCTCAATTACAACAAATTTGTGCGACCTTCCAGCTCCCATATGTGGTCATAGGATATTTTAACACTACTCTTCATGAGAGTGAAAAAGATGGAGGGAATGCTTGGAATGCTTCGCAAGCTCTTAGCCTTCGAGATTTCATTCAGGAACTTGGTCTCCAGGACCCTGGGTACCAAGGGGATCAATTCACCTGGACCAACAAGCGGATGGGCGTGGCTTGTATTCGTGAAAGGCTGGATAGGGCCTTATGTTCTCATAGTTGGACTAATCGATATCCTGATACCCTGGTCCGACACTTCACTGACCAAGGGTCTGATCATCGTGCCATCCTTCTCGCTGATAAACCTTACACCAGGAACTCTCGCCCTTTGTTCCGATTTGATGCTCGGTGGGCGGAGAATCCGGAGGTCAGGGCGATGGTCAACTATGTCTGGCAAGAAGAAATTCATGGGTCACCGATGTTCCAGCTATGGGAACGCCTGAAAAAGCTCCGTCATCTTCTGTATGATTGGAGTAAGGCGGGTACTACAAACTCCTTGCGTAATATTCATACGCTCCAGGCTGAAATTGAAAGGATAAAGCAGGTCCATCCTATTGATTGGGATGCGATTCGCTCGTTGGAGCTGGAACTTACTCGACAATGGGAGGCAGAGGAAATATATTGGCAATAAAAATCTAGAGTTCATTGGCTTAAAAAGGGTGATAAGAACACTTCTTATTTCCATACTGTTACTAGAGCTCGGCGAAAAAGAAACTTTGTGGAAGGCCTTCGCAATGAAAATGGAGACTGGGTCACGGAGGAGGTTGGTAAGGCAGACATTGCCTGTGGATTTTACAAGACCCTTTTTACCTCGGAGACCCAGGTTGGGAATATGTGGGATAGAGTGGCAGATTTGCCCATTGCCCAGAGTATTACGCCTGATATGAATGCTAGTCTCACTGTGGAGGTCCTTCCTGCAGAGGTGCGCAAAGTGGTGTTCTCAATGGGATCGAAACAAACCCCAGGTTCTGATGGGTTTACAGGAAAGTTCTTCAAAGCCTACTGGGATATTGTGGGCACCTCGGTGGTTGAAGCAGTCTGCTCGTTCTTTCGGACAAGTAGGATGCTTCGTAGCTTCAATCACACCTGGTTGACGCTGATTCCCAAAGTAGATAATGTGGAGACCATGAAACAGTTGCGCCCGATCAGCCTCTACCAGTTTGTGTATAAGATCATAACCAAGATTATGGCTGAGCGATTGGCTAGCCTCCTCCCGCAGGTTATCTCCCGGGGCCAGAATGCTTTTATCAGGGAACGTCAAATAGTGGAAAACATCCTTCTCAGGCACGAACTAATGCATAACCTGAAAATTAAAACGAAAGGCAAGAAAGGGTACATGGCTCTGAAGGTTGACATGGAAAAGGCCTATGATAGAGTCGAATGGCCATTTCTCCTGGCAGTTTTGGAGAAGATGGGTTTTAGTTCTACTTGGCGAGGATGGGTTCTGGAGTGCCTCAGGTCCACTTCATTCTCAGTCATGATGAATGGCACGCCTGCGGGCTACTTCACCCCTTCTAGGGGTCTGCGACAGGGAGATCCCCTATCTCCTCTCCTTTTCGTGCTCTGCACGGAGGGATTCGCGGCACTTCTGAATAAAGCAATTTCGGAGGGTAAACTTCAAGGGGTGAAAGTGGCTCCTCGGGCTCCACGAATCACTCACCTGTTTTTTGATGATGATTCTTATTTATTCCTCCGAGGTTCTCTCCAGGAATGTGAGAATCTGATTGAGGTGCTGAATGAATATGAGGAACTGAGTGGCCAGAGGGTTAACTTAGACAAATCCGCGGTATGCTTTAGCAAGAACATTGCGATGCCTGATCAGGAGTTCTTGGCCCATATATTGGGGGTAGGGGCTGTTGGTGTCCACGATAAATATCTGGGGCTACCTACGTTGATTGCTCGGTCTAAAATGGCTACTTTTCGATACCTAGAAGAAAAGCTCCTGGAGCGATTACAAGGGTGGAAGCAAAGGACTCTGTCTTGGGCGGCTAAGGAGGTTCTGATAAAATCCGTTGCCTTGGCACTCCCGCTCCATGTCATGTCCTGTTTCAAACTTCCTATCTCCCTGTGTAGACTGTTGGACAAACATGTAGCGAGGTTTTGGTGGAATGTGGTGGAGGGCCAGCCTAAAATTCGGTGGTTATCATGGAGAAATATGTGCCGCAGCAAACATATGGGGGCATGGGTTTCCGTCGTTTTGAACTATTCAATCAAGCCCTGTTAGCCAAAATTGGGTGGCAGATCATTACTGACCCCCTATCCCTTTTAGCTCAAGTCTATAAGGGCAAATATTTCCCCTCCGGGTCGTTCCTGACGGCTACGGCTCGTTCCAGGCCATCTTGGGGCTGGCAGAGTATTTTGTATGGCAGACAATTGCTCGAGCAAGGGCTTCGGTGGCAAATTGGTAATGGCCAAACTGCTTCTTTACTTTTGTCTAACTGGGTCCCGTCCCTTCACCCTGACCCCCCGCGGTATAATCCGGTGGTGATTCCGACTGAGGGGGACCTTCGGGTGGAAGCAGTACTCTGTCCGGGGGAAGGGCGGTGGAATGAGTCCAAGCTGAGGAAGTGGTTTGACCCCATTACATGTCGCGCCATTAAGAGCATTCCGCTTCCGCGGCAATGCGTGGAGGATCGACTTGTATGGAATGACACGGCTGATGGGGTTTTTACGGTAAAATCTGCGTACCACCTTGCGGTCAGATTGGATCAGCAGAAGAACCATTGTAGAGCAACGGTTAGTTGGATGGATAAGCCCAGCTGGATCCGGTTGTGGGATGCTAACATACCCCCAAAGCTTAAGGTGTTCGTCTGGCAAATTTTTAATCGGATTCTCCCCACTACTGAGGCACTTCAGAGTAAAGATGTAATGGTTCACCCTCGATGTCCGGTCTGTTAGGATGCAGAGGAAACCATGGAACATTTATCTCTGGATTGCCCAGTGGCTCGGGCACTTTGGGACTACTCTGGGCTCGAATACCTGGGTCAGGGGTTGCCTCGCCATACGTTCCCGCTCTTTCTTAAACGCTTGTTGGCTCTCATTCCACATTCGGACATGGTTATGACGGTAGTGGCGGTTCTCTGGAGGATTTGGCGCTCTCGGAACTGGGTTGTGTTTGAAGGTAAGCAATTTGGGATCCCAGCCTTGATGCGGCAGTTAAACCAGCAGGTTGATGAGTGGCTGCGGGTGCCAGTTGAGCGGGGGAATTCCGTTTTTGCTCCTGGGCCCCCCACAACTAATGCGGGGACTGATAGCCGGGTTATTTGCATGTGGGATGGAGCGACGAGACAGGGATCGCACTCGGCGGGAGGTGTGGTACTGATGACCCCTTCTAGGGATATTTTGGTAGCCAGAGGCTTCCAATTCCCGTGCATTGATGATCCTATGGTGGTGGAAGTATTGGCCTTGCGCGAGGCTTTAGGTTGGTGTCTGGCGAATGGGGTCTCGGAAGTTTGCTTTGAAGGGGATGCCAAAGTGGTCATAGACAAGATCAATCGGGTGGAGACTGGTGATATTAGGATGGGTGCGATTTTGGAAGAAGTGGTTAATTGTTTTGCTTTGCACCCGGGGTTTAGTGTTCGATTTGTAGGTCGTTCTCACAATAGGGTAGCCCACTTGGTGGCTAGGAAGTCCCTTTCATTGTTTCCGACTGCAAGTTGTTTGTTTGATTTCCAGACCTGGCTGTGCTCCAGGATGTAACTATCCTTTGGTTGATTCTATATATATGAATATCTTTTGTAAAAAAAAGGTGTTTTTTTTCAAAATATCCACCAGCAGCACTACGGTTCAACTCATAATTTTTTTTCCTCTTCCGCAACCCTGCGAAGTGCCGATCAGCGCTTGAACTTTCTTTCTTTTTTTTAATATTTTTATTTATTTGAACCAACGGCGTAAACCAAAACTGGATTGGTTATTCTCAAAAACATCGCAGTAACCAATCCCGCAAGCAAACTGCCGCAGGGCTGCTTTAGCGAAACGACATTGCTTGATTTTTTTTATATCAGGGCTGTTTGGCCGCACCATCCTCTCTTTTTTTTTGTTTTTTATTTATTTAACAATCAGACCTGGCGGCTTCCTTCCCTCAAAGCCGTTAACTATTAATTTTTTTTACCATGCCACATTTTTTTATTTAACCAAAGCGACCCATTCTGAAAATTTAATATTGCTCGCAACGATGCGGCAAGCTTCGCCATGCTACTTTTATATATATAGTAATTTTCTCGTGGCCTAAATTAGCCACACTCTATTTACTTAATAATATCTAAATAAATAAATAACGGCTAGACTTTGGCCTAAATCATTATGCCAAAAGTCCACACCCACTGCCAACTCTATGGATCAAACCAAACAAGCCATCCGTAAAGTCCCTGATTCATCACAGCTGGCTTCACACGCGTTGGTTTTGATATTTTGGAATCAATGGTGGTTTGTAGCTCTCCAGTTCGTCGAGCTCGAACACCTTTGTTTGAAATTCCACGAGCTCGATTTGGCTTCATCTTAGCCACAGGGTCGTGGCAGAGAAAATCACCAGTGTTTTTTACTCGTGGCGGGACCTTGAAGTTTTTAACGACTTTGTCCTGTCAAATCGACCATGTGACATCGCTTGCCCAGACTGATCTTGTTTTGTGAGCTGCACACAATAACGACGTTGTTGAGTTTGAGGCTTACGAGCTTCACCAACAGCCATGTGGTTATTTTGATTAATGCACTTATCACAGAACCACTTGGTATCTTTTGAATTTTCACGTGAGTTTGAAATTTTTCGGGCATTTAACTTGCCCCCCTGCCCGAAAATCATGGAAGACTTGTTCCCAGCCAGTATTGGTGTGGCAACTCCATGTTGGGGTTGATTGAACTTGCCCCCCTGTCCACTCAGTGGAGGCTTTGGGGACAAATTACAATGAGGGTTCTGTTGATCCATGCCCACTTTGGTGGCATTAGAGTTTTTCACGTGGTCACCACCTCCATCTTTAGTAGTGTTTGTGGTTATCCTAGTTTGATTTTTCATAGAATGGGGTGGATGTGGCAAACTTATTTGCCACTTACGGTGTTGTTTTTCTTTGAACCGGCCATGCGGTGGGATCTCATGCCCCCCTAACGGCTTAGATTGAATCCCATTGCGATGTTGCTTGGACAACCCATCATACGCGAGCTTGCTATGCTCAACGGGATTGTAAACAGATTGTCCACCCTGATTCTTATTTTCATTCTTATTAGAAATATGTTGATACTGACCTCTTTGTAGTGGCTTCTGCAAGCCACCTCCAACTTGTGTGTCCTTAAGACCAATATTGTTCACTGGAAAAGACACATTGGGATTCCTTGCTTCTGGCAACAGTGTCGTAGCCAGGCTCATCGATGGAATTTGGTTGACCATGGCTAGTCGATCAACCATTAAATCATCGCACGCAACAGACATGGTTTCAGATTTAAACACATCAAAATCATAAGTGGCTCTATGTATTGGCATACTAAAATCAGAAACACAGTCATCCAACTTACCAAACCATCGATCCATGTTGTTTTCAAACTTATCCATTTTCTTTTCAAGATTATCAAATTGGAGATTTACCTCTTGGTGAAAATCCTTCATGGATTGGCGAAACTCCTCCATGGATTGACGTAGATACAGGATTTCAGCATGTAGCAGCTCCTCCATCCCTTGAGTACGTCTATCTGCCTCGTTCGCCTGACCATCTTCAATGTCGGGCGCCTCCTCCCCCACAGGTACGTGTGGAAGATCACGATCTTGATTTCCTCGACGCGGAGCCGTATTCACATCAAACACATGAATCCAACCGGGTGTGCCAAATTGTATCCTCAGGAAAATCAAACTCCACCGCCGGTGCCGAATTTGGTTTCCGGCGATGTTGATTTGATGTTTCACGATGGAAACTCTTGCGGTGCCGTTTGATCGGACGCACCGCTGAATGCTGAAATCAACGTGACCGTCAAATATCCACCGAGCGGTGTTGATTTGATCGGTGCAACTGACTTCTGAAAACGATGACGATCGTCAGATATCCACCGCCGGGCGGTGTTGATTTGATCGATGCACCTCTGACTTCTAACCAAGAACGACCGTTACTACGGTTCGCACCTCTCCAAACTACGTTCGAACAAGGGTGTTTGAGTTTTTGGGAATCTACGTTACCACTACTCCTATGGAGATTCCTGTGGAGAGCTCCGCGACTACAACTACTTCTACCAACTATGGAGGTCCTTCCTGGAAGGAGAGCTCCGTGAAGGAGTTACAGAGAAAAAAGGTAAAATTTGACAGATGTGTTTCTGTGTTGATTTGGTTGTCCCTTTCTCTCTCCTTGCTCCACTACTTTTATTCGAAAAACCGCTTCGTAGTCTTCACGCTAGGTGGAACCGCTTCCTCAACTGCTCCGTTGTGAACTCCCACGTGTCTCACCCGTCTTGATCTCCTCTTCGCTCGGGTTGGTGTGAATCTCACGCGATGTCGTTTTCTTCCCCAAACAGCTCCGTTTGCTTTTTTACTCCACGACATTGTTTTATATTAAACACTGGCGTTCGCTAATACAGCGGTACCGTTGGGCTTACTCGCGGTACCGTTTTTAATTAAACGACCCCGCTAACATAGACAAAAAATTCCAATTCATTGAACCGCCGAGAGTTTTCACTTGCATTGGGCTGGGCGGAATTTAGGCCCTTCACTTACCCGATATTATTTTTTTTATTAATCAACTCCGCTTATCAAGGCCTCCCGCGGCATCGTTTTTACATCTGCGGTACCGTTTTCAATCTCCGCGATGCCGCTTGTCTCCATGCGGTACCGCTTCTCCCCTTCCGACAAGGAATAATAATAATACTAACTCCTTTTCCAACACCAATACTACGCTCGCGGCCCCCATCCTGTTTTCTGGTAAACAGTGTCGTTTCCAGTGCCGCGGTACCGGTGAGCTTCCTTGCGGTTCCGTTTTTTGTTTTGCGGTATCGCTTTAACTCATCCGAGATGCCGCTTGTCGCGGTGCCGTTTTTAGCCAAACGACACCATTTCCCAGCCTCGCGATGCCGTTGAGCTTTGAGGTTCGCGGCACCGTTTTATCTCTTCGCAACATTGCTTGACTCCAAACGGTGATGTTACTCTCCTCCTCCGACAAGAAAAAATAACATAAAAAACATTCCTTGTCCAACAGCAACACATGTCCTGCGCATGACTCACACATGGTCTGCAACCAATCTCGTTTCAAGTACCGCGGTACCGCCGAGCCTCTTCGCGGTCTCGCTTAAATTCTCCGCGGCATTGCTCGACTCCAAACGACATCGTTTTGGCCATGCAATATCGAATTAAATGCCGAGACTCATTATTACGACATTGAATTTAGACCAAAAATATTTTAGGTGTAAACAAATACTCATTATTGCGATATCGAGTTTGTTGCTTATCTAAAATGTGGGTATTCTTTCGCCTTATAATTAAGAGGACCAATCAGCCTACTTAATCCATTTGTTCTGCTGCCAGATTCCTCAATTGCACCATTATTGTGAATTGTAGATCTTTAATTGAGTTTTCAAAAGGAACATAGGAATGATAACTTCAATGTCAGTGTCTCCTAACAAAAATCCAAGAATTACATGATAGTGCATGTTTTTGTTTTCAATAGTGGCTTTAGTAGACCGTGACACCACTTCTAACATGCTACTGCTCGTTCTATGATGTTGAACTTGTTTGTTAATTGGTTGTCACTGCATTTCTATTTCCCTGTCTTCTGGGTTGATCAATTATGGGATTTTGTGGGTGTCACTAAACTGTTTTGATCAATCTGTCTTTTGATCTCCTAGAAATGTGTTATCATGAATATGATGAAAGTGGTTCAGAAGATGGTTGTCTAGTGGCTTATGCTATTGCTTGTTCTACGATGTTGAAATTGCTTGTTAAGATGACTAGAATCAATATTCGTGGCTACGCCACAGGATTTGTTTAGAGCAATGTAGTATTTTTTAGCAATACAATAATAGTAACATGAAATAGTTACAAACTATGTACACCAAGTATGTCATAAAAATTATTCACAAAGCATAAATCAGGACATACTAAACTCTGCCAAAAGCGTTATTTTAAACTTAAAGCAAATCTTATGCATTTACTCTAACTCAATATTAGATTATTATGTTCCATACTGAGACCACCTAGAGAAAATATATTTTACAAATCAAATTCATTAATATCACATGTTAAATCAATCCATACCCATTTTACTAAAGTTAGTTAATAGTTCATTAAAAAGCAACCAAAAAGATTGGCTCAAATTCTCAACTCTCAAATCAGTTGCCCATGCTTCAAGATGACGGTTGAAACACTGCTAGCTTAATGCTGATTTTGGGGCCAAAGCAGCTAGGAATGGTACCATCACTATATTGCTGCCTGCAAGGTATGGGCACTAACTTGCGGTCGCTGATTCTAGGGTAAGGTAGAAGAGAAGGCATGAAAGAGGAGGTATGGCATTTGGGGGTCGGAGAAGGAAGTGCGTGGGGGAAGCTCTTCTATCGCCTCCCACAAGAAGCCAAGAATTGAAACAGTGGTAACAAAAATGGGTGAAAAAGCGTACCCAGCTTTCATGTTCTATATAATTAGTTACTCACTCCAGTTGTCGTTTTCCTCCCCTTCACGTTCATCAACACAATGTTTCATAATCGGAAATTCCAATGTGGAGTCCTAGATGGGAACTTGAGAATGATTACACATCAAACACAGACTTGCAAAAACCTCATTCGTGTTGGTTCAATGGTTATCTGAAAGCTGATTTTGGCATCGCTTATAATAAGTAATTCATACTCATTACAGTTGCCCTTCTGATCCACTTCAGATGTGCCCATTTTTTAGTGAACAAAAAATACGATATGGACTCCTAGAAGGGAGCCTTCAGGATGAGTAGGCAGTAAATCAATAAATCATCTTTTATTGATTTCTGGTGCAACCCTGTCCTTTCAGGAATATCACATTGTGGGATTTTTGGGAGTCACCATAATCTGTCTTTTGGTTTCTTGGAAATGTGCTACCATGAATAGGGTGAATGTGGTTTCAAGGATAGCAACACGATGATCCATTTATTTTGGTTGGACCAGTGCTTCTATGATTATTTGTATAATATGCATCAGGCCGGAGGGTTAGTGTTGTTACTTGATTCGAAACCGAGTGTCGATTTGTCGCTACATTTTGGTTTCTCCTTAGTGCCTTTTATATATATCAAGGTGGTACTGCTTTCAGCAAACTGAAACGCTTTTTGTGCGTCCATCTAAGAGGAATGCTTCATGCTTTATCAAGATAAACGGTTGCCTCGATTATACATTCTTTGTTGATTGGACTCATTAGATACACCCAGAAAATACATGTCCATTATGTTCAATGTTTATCTAGAAGTTGGTTCAGATTCTTTCTAATAGTGAAATGATTAGTTACACACTCCAATTGCCTAAGTTGGACAATCTTTGACTCTTAATATACTTGTCGGGACTGCACTGTTTGAGAATGTAAGATTTCATGGTCGTGGACTCATTCAAGTTTCCCTCTAGTTGAGATGATCATCGACTGATTCGAGTTTCCTTTTGCTCCCTTTAAAATCTTCAATCACGACAACATTCTGCAAGCTGAAAGTCGTGTGTAGAACCCATCTTAGGTGAGACTTTCATAATGAGTACTACAATATAGTTACTTTTTAACGATTCCAAAGACCTTATTAAATAATATGCTATACATGTTGGTTATGTGATGATTTGAAAGCTTCATGTAGTTTTGCCTAATTATTGAGGCATCATGTACTCATTTTAGTTGCCTTTCAGCTCCCCTTTAAATGCATCAATTGTGATGCATTCAGAAACTTGGAAGTTTTTGTATGGATTCCTGGAAGAGATATTGGAAAAGAAGATTCAAAGGCTGGTTTTTATAACATTATTTTTGAAAGATCCAAAAAATACTATAGTCATGACAGTTTGTTTTTTTTTATGTCAAGCGTGGGTTTTGTTTCGTGTTATGATTAAAAAAATCAGTCTACTTAATCTAGTTGTCATTATACTCCATGCCATATTTCTCAATTGCACTATCACTTGTGAATTGGAAAGCCTGAATGGAGTCCTTGATAGGAACTTAGAAATGGTAACTTCATCGTCACTGTCTCGCTACAAAACCCCAAGGATTACATGATAGTTCATGTTTTTGTTTCAATTACAACTTTACTAGACATGACATAACTCCTGACATGCTATTCCTTGTTTTATGATGCTTATCTTGCCTGTTAAAGGGTTGTCATTGTGATCCTATATCCTTGTCCTTCCGGGCTGATCACATTGTGAGATATTTTTTGTGTCACCAAACTGTGTTTGCTCAATCTGTCTTTTGATTTCCTAGAAATGTGATGCCATGAATAGGGTAAAGTGGTTCCGAGGATGATTATACAGTAGCAACATGATGATCCATTTATTTTGGTTGGACTAGTGTTTCTATGATTATTTATATTATAATGTCCCCTTTCTTCTGGATTGACGGTATCTGTTGTTGTCTGATCTGAAGTGATGGTTGATTTATCGCTATCTTTCGATTTTCCCTCAATTCCTCTAATTTATCGAGGTGCTTCTGTTCTATGCAAATTGAAACCCATTTTGTGTCCAACAAGAGCCTAAGCAATGCTTCATGCCTTAGCAAGATAAACTGTTGCCTGGTTATACAGTCTTGGTCGGTTTGACTCATCATATGTTTGTTGAGACCCTACCTTGTTATTTGTAAAACCTGTTGTTAGTCCTAGAAGGGAACTTCACAATGCGTATTCTTTTATAGATAAAAGCCAGCTACGCTTTTTTCCAAAAGACTATCTTTACTGTTTCAATCCTTGGCGTTTAGTGCCAAAAGCCCTATGGACTTTCTCTCGCAAAATGGTTTGGTCCAGCTCCCCGTGGAAAGCTCCCAAGTCCCACCTTGCCTCCTCTTCGCAATGCTGCCGCACGCCATCGCCCATGCCTCCTGTTAACCACTGCTCACCCACGCCAACAGCCATGTACGGCTACAGCAACGACTCCACTGTGCTTTGGAGAAGAGATACCATCCCCGAAGCGTCGACGCCCTCCCTGTCTCGCATCAGCCTGTCATGCTTCCGTACTGCTATGCCTTGCCGACCTCACCCCTAATCCACAATCATGGGCTGCCATCTCAGCCGTTCCGTACTTTCACCATTCTTTTCACCTCCTCACCTTCGTTCCCACACGCCAAACCCATGAACTGTACAATTTCTCCTTACTCCCCTCGATTAAGGGAAGATCCAGCTCTTCTGTTTAACCCCTCTCAAATTCATCTACACGACCTCTTCAATTCCATTGTTCCTCTGTTCCCCATTTGCGTACCCAGTTTTTCAGGCGAGGCTCTCTTCCACCCTCACTTCGGCCATCAGCAATAATGGAACAGGTGAGCCTTTTTCTTAGGTTGCAGGCGAGCCTCTTCGTTCTTCCTCTCTCTCTCTCTCTGTGTGTATTATTATTGGGTGTTTGGGTGATGTTTGGTTTTAATTTTCTTTTTCTTCATCGATTACAATTCTCAACGCTACTGTTTGGTTTTACCATCGCAGCGACGACCTCTCTTAACAGAATCGAACAATCAAAGGTGAATCAAAATATTTTCTTAAGTTGACCATTAAGGTTTGTATTAGGTATAATGGTTATGTCGACTGAACCTTCTCCTTTATGTTGCTAGCTTTCTTCAATCATTGTCGTTTCCTTCTCTTTGAATTACACCAGCCTGCTATTTCATTGTTCTATCATGTTAAGAGAGGTGGCAGCTGCAAATAGTAAAACAAAACAGTATGTTAGATATAGATATTTACTATATTTCGAACAAATTCGGAAACTTTGCTTAGATTTGTATTCTATGCTTTAGATTCTTTTATTTGTTCAAGGTGCCTGAACTTCAGAATTACTGCAATATGCTTTTCCTTATTAATAGTTTTTGCCTGGTGTTTATTTGTTCAGGAGGTGGCTAGCATGGAAAATGAAGGTGATTTGGTTTGGCCTTCATAATTTGGTAGCATGGAAATGAGTATATCTTATTTCGTATTGGTTCTCAGTCTCAATCAGGTCAGTTTTTCAGAGTTTCGCATTGTTTTCATTGGTTCTTTGTACCTATTTTTTTCTCCAGAATATGATTTTGTCTCAATTCATCTTGAGCTTAAGCAACTAAGACAAAAAATTTGTTCATCAACCGGAAATAATTTTTAGTCTACCTAATTAACGGAACTATAATCCAAGTTCATTTGCATTATGTTAAGCTGCACTAACTCTGCACTGTTAGTCATGTTAGGATGCTGCTTGGTCCTGTTCCTTACATAGTCAATGTTCAGCTTTCTGACTCATCTTGCACATCAATTGCCCTTTAAGATAACTTCTACTGTTACTGTGTGATTTCATCCTTTTATATCGGTGTCATTAATGAGTTTAGATGTTGTGTAAAGATTGGTGGAGAACCAAACAATTGAAGAATATTCGAAGTTAACCAATACTGTTGTTGTTGATATCAACAAGAGCCAGGTTGCATTTCTTTTTCTGCCTCTATTGGCTGCACAAATTTTCTGGATTTTTTTCTGGTGGATTTCCCTAAATATGGAAGTCATGGTTTAGGTCAAGTCACCAGATTGATTTAACTCTAAATCTGATGAACCAGCCTGCAGACCATGTTAGGAGGAACATTGTGACCATGATGAGAAACGATGCAAGGATGATGAAACAGAAATTGAGCAATTTGGATGAAGATGCAAGGATGGATCAGTTAATACTTCTTAGGTTGAAGGTTGTTCTTCAAGTTGCTGGGGAATAACACAAATAAGCAATAGAGATATACAGATTGTTGCTATCACTTATTCAGGTACAATGTGATTTGTATGTACCTTTTTTCCAACAGTATGTTCAATTTCCATGTAAAGAAGGTTAATCGTAGGATCCATTTCTACATTTTCAAGGAAGTGCAGAGGGGAGCTTAGAGCTGGTACCATGTAGATTTCTATGTCAGATGCTGCTTAGAACTGGCGGTGAGGCTGTAACCTATAGGCCTATGACTTTGCTGCTACTGTGTTTATGTTCTGCTACCTGTGTAAAATTATTGTTCTAGGTATTGATCATGGATACTTGGGATTCTGTAGTTCAACAAGGAGGCAGGATACCAGGCTGAGGAAACCAAACTGAGGGTTGACTATGTAGCTCCACCTCAACCTCCTTCTCCTGCTCACAGGTTGTGTGGTGATCTCAATTTCATGTTCAATTTTGGGATTTTGAAACTAATGGCCGTTGTTGGTTAAAAAAAAGTTGGCAGTACATTGACTCCATGTTGGACCGTTCCCTCCTTTGCTTTCATGAATCAAATCGTCACGCTGCAGAAATTGAAAGAGGCGGTATGTATAGGTGCAGCAAAGCTTACCGTTTTCCTAATTTGATGCTTAAATACTGGGTTTAGATAGGGGATGATTATTTTCCTTTTCCTTTTGCTAGGGGTAGCAAAGTAACTAAGGAGCAGTGGGGCAATCGCCGTGACTGGTGGCTAAAATGGTGGTTTAGGTTGGGGTTGACACACTTGGAATGGCTATTGATTCTGCCGTTGGGGTGCTGCTGTCATTTTGTATTTCACAATAGTCCATTGAACATGAAATATTTTCTAACAAGTTCTCTTTCGTCTTGCAAAGTTCGTTGTCTCTGTTTTCTCTTAGTTTGTTAAGCAATCACCATTGTTTACCTTATGTAACCGTAAATTAAAATGGATTGTATACCAAGCATTATCTTTGGTGATAGGACTCTGAGGTGCCAACAAAGAGTATGATCATTGATCTCTCCCTCCTATTAATGCCACATTGCTGAACAAAACACGCAACGTAGCCGCATGCATTGATTCACAACACTTGGTAAAATGATGTTGTTCAACTGGAAATACTTGCTTCCTGTACAGATGCCATTGCTTTTGACTATTGGCCATAGCTAAGTGTTACGGCAAATACCCGTCTTTTTGCAAGTAGTGGAAATTCCTGTACCAAGGAGACTGGTACAATAAGTTTGCATGCCTATTTTAGAAGCTCAAGTTTCCTTTTTGGTGATCGTGTGGGGTAGCTTCAGCTTGCAGGTTTTGGTCTCTTATATTCCCTGAGGTCAATGCTTTAGAGTATCTTGAAGTTTTCTAAATGTTGGGTCTATTTTTCATCTAAGCTTCCTCCTTTCTTCTCTATAATACAGTGAAAAAATCAATACTTTGTGATGAACTATGGACTCTTCCATAGAGCTGGGAGTGAATGTTTAGTGTGCCCTCAAGTTGGTTTCTGAATTTTGGGTTTAACCAAAAAAACATAACCATTCTCTTAGAGAAACAATTGTTCAACGCCCAGTTTCTCATGTGTGTATAAATTGGTAGAGTACATGCGAAGTTTTGACGTAGACCTGTTGCATTCATTCTTGCTTCTTCAGAAATGGTGGACTTTGTTAGGCTTTGGGATCATGGGGACATGGACTCATGTTGCTTGAAGTATTAAGTGGAAAGCAACCAACTGATGCATCATTCATTGAGAAGGGTCTGAATATTGTTGGTTGAATGTGTCTCTTTACTTTGTACTCTCAAGATTGTGATAAGAAGTTTTGGCAGCCCTGCTTCAAAAGTTATTTTTGATCATTACAGAATATATTTTGGAAGGCCTGCTACTTCGGAATATTATAGCATGTGAGTGTCACAGATAACTAACAGACTACTCTTTAGTTGATAAATAGTTTTGAAGTTTTATCTTATTAAATGATTATAATTTGAAGTTGACCAAAATGTCTGCATGCTTTTCTATAATCATTGTATTGTAAGTTGTCTGGACTGGCATGATAATTTGCGTATATAATTTCTAACTATTTATGTCTATTGATTATATTGCAGCTATTAATTAAAATAGTGTTAAATCACCCGCGGCGTAGCCGTGGGTATTGATACTAGTACTACATAATAAGATAGATCAAGGTAATAGCTTGTCCATGTAAGTTTAATGCCTATCTGAAAGCCAGGTCCGATTTTGCCTTAGAATAAGATGATCAGATGCTCACTCCCGTTGCCCTTCTGTTCAACTTCTGTTGTGACTGCCTAGTGGTGGAAGAAACACAAATGAGCTCCAAGAAACCTGTGGACTCCTTGAAGGACTTGCCGCGCAGTTCAGTGGTTAGCCTTAGGGATGACAACAAAACCCGAACCCACGGGTACCCACTCGATCCAATCCGGTCAACGCGGGCAAAATTCGTGTTGACGGGTTTAGGGTCAGTTTGGGTTTAAACCCGTTCATTATTCACCGGGTTGGGTTGGGTTGAGTTTAGGTTTAGGTAAACTCGACCCATGGGTACCCGCCCACACTCTTATAATTAATTTTCTCGGTATATTTAATATTCTAAACAACTGGTCTTATTTATGTTTGTGGAGACATGTGTAATTTTTTCATTCTAATTGTGTAGAATGAAGTTGATGTTATCGAGTGGAGAGTGAAGAAACTTAATTGAAAGAAAGAAGCTTTCAATTAATCATGTTATTTATGGATAATTTGTGATTGGCTACAATTTTCTTGAGTTTTCTAGATTGGTGTTGATTGTTGAACAATTTGTATAGTTAATTTGTGATTTGCTTGAATTTTCTAGAATGGTGTTTTATATATGGATCATTTGTATTGAGAGATTGATATTTGACTTTAATTTTGATAGGAACTTGTTATTGTAAATTTTGTACGACAAAAACCCGTGGGTACCCATGAACCCGCAGATACCCAGCGGGTTGGGTTTGAGTTTTTTCAAACCCAATTGGTTTTACCCTGAGTTTTTTTCACGTATAAACCCATGAGTATGGGTTTAGATTTGGCAAAACCCAACCCGACCCATTGCATGAAAGAAAGCAGCATCAAGTCCTTAGGTATCATTTTTATGGTTTTTGCCCTTCTAAGATTATTTTTACTCATTCTGGTTAGTGGTTACCTGCCCTTGTGCTACATTTCCGGTTACTCGTGATGGTGTTTTGTAATCAAAAAGTCCTTTATGGTTCCCAGAAGAGAGAATGACATCATAGATAGACCAAGATGTCAAATCAGGGTGCTCAATTAGTATGATATTGACCGTTTTGGGCCAAGCCCGCACAGTTTTACTCTTGGGTGTCCTCCCCAAAAGGCCTCGTACTAATTGCGCTAGGTGGACACTAATATACAAGGGTCCCTTCCCTTGTATTATCGATGGTGGTACTTGGATTGTCAGGATTGTCCCATAACAATCCTCCCCTCAAGACAAGGACCACGAACATCGTGTCCTCACCTCAACAGCCCAGACGCAGATCTCCCTTTGATCTGCTTCCCAAATGCGGAACTCTCTTTGATCCGCCAAACAGACGTGGGTCTCTCCTGGATCCAAACTGACATCCACCGCCCTGGATCCAAACCATGCTCTGATACCACTTGTCAAAATCGGGCTGCTCAATTAGTATGATATTGTCCGCTTTGTGCCAAGCCCGCGTGGATTTACTTTTAGGTGTCCTCCCCAAAAGACCTTGTACTAATTGCGGTAGGTGGACACTAATATACAAGGATTCCTTCCCTTGTATTACCGATGTGGTATTTGGATTGTCCCATAACACAAGAAAATGCATTGTTTATATAATTTCAATGATTATTTGAAAGTTGAGTACTGAGTTGCCTTGTAATAAGTGATCAGTTACTCATTGAGTTACCTTTTGCTCCACTTCAATTATGACAATGATTTGTATTCAGAAAATACAATATAGATCCCTAGAAGGGAACTTGAGAATAAATAGTGTGGTGATGCTGAGGTAATTACCGTGGTTATTAAGGGTAAATTGGGTATGGAAAAATAAATTATATTAATAAATTTTTTAATAAATTATATTAATAAATTTTCTAATAAATTACATTTTTTGTAGTTACAAAAATCTATTAATTAAAATTCTCTCTTTCTCTCACTTCCGTAATCTCCAACCAGATTTCCTTTCCATATTTTTCTCAATCTTTCTGCAAAAAAAAAAAAAAAAAAACGAAATCAGTACCAATCCATTAGACAAACACTACCACTTTGAAAAACATCAATACCATTGCAGAAATAAATCTATACCATTACACGAAAACTACCAATATAAACAATCTATACCATAAACAAACAATACCATTGTAGAAATAAATCTATACCATTACACGAAAACTACCAATATAAACAATCTATACCATAAACAATCAATACCATTGCAGAAATAAATCTATACACGAAAACTACCAATATAAACAATCTATACCACTGCACATTGAATCAATAAACAAAAATTACTAGATCTAGGTTTTTAAATCTATACCACTGCACATGAGAGAGAGAGAGAGAGAGAGAGAGAGAGAGAGAGAGAGAGAGAGAGGGTACCGAGGGTGGTCGGGGGCTGCTGCCGGCGGTGGCCGAGGGTAGTCGGGGCTGCTGTCGGCGGTGCGACGGGAGTAGTACGTGGAGGCGGCTGCGATGGGTTTGGCTGGAGGGAGGATAGAACTAGGGTTTAGGTAGATTATATAGAATAATCAGGTGTGGTCACATTTTAATTTCCAAAATTATCCTAAAAGAATCTTGACCGTAAGATAAAAATAGAAGAAAAAATAATTAATCAAATGATATATAAAGAGGTTGCCACCGTGATTACTAAAAACAAATAATCACCCTAACCCATTCCGTGATGCCGATGCTCTGTTACTTGTTCGGAATGGAGTCCCAAAATGGAACTGACAGAATTCTATCAACTTATTGAGGGGCGTAGGAATGGTTATTACCAGATTATCTCAAATCGTCACCTTAACTCACACCCTTTCTGTTCAGATTCTACTTACAGGTGCGCTGCTCACTTTAATACATCTAATCAGAAAACTAGAATTGGGTATTTATTTAGATTGATATGGTATAAAAGACTCACCCATTAGAGGTATAAACGATTCAAATTATTGGGATTAGCTGGTTCTTGACGTAATATAATAACGCCGTTCGTGATCGAGAGATTTTTTATGTTTCGAATGTCGACGGCGATTTGATAAACACGTGGTAATTCCATACGCGCAAAACATGCAAACTCCTAGTCCTATAAAGTGGCTTTCGTCGATCTCAGTGACTCCCCCTTGCACTGGTAATTAGGGATGGCAAATTACCCACCCATGGGTAATTATACCCAAACCCAAGTAGACCCATTGATAATGGGTTGGGTATGAGTGAAGTGCATATGGATTTGGGGGTTTATAGATGGGTTTGGGGCTTCCATAATCTAAATGGGTATGAGTTGGATATGGATATCCATTTACTTGAGGGTGATTTAACTACACATGCAAAACTTGAAAAGTTTAGGTACCAAAATGTAAGACCCAAAAAATTTAGGTACCAAAACGTAATTTTCCATTGATATTTTGAGGACTTATATGCAAAAAAATTAAATTTAGGTACTAAATATGCATATCTATTAAGTTTGGGTACCAAAATGTAATTTGTATTTGGGCATGGGTACAAACTACAAACCCAAATCCATTTGATATAAACCCAACTCAACCCAAAGTAAATGGGTATGGGTACAAACCCATCAAACTCTACCCATATCCATCTATTTGGATTTCATACCCAACCCAATTGAGTTGGATAGTAAGAAACCCATGGATATAGGCAAAGTTGTCATCCCTACTGGTAATCACATGACGTCCGGTGTGTGTGTTTGTGTGTGCGTGCGCGTATTTCAAGCTCATGCGAGTATCCTTTCCTTTGAGACGACGACGACGTGTTAATAAACGATAAAAAAATAAATTCATAGTCAAACCTATTCCAACAATTCGAGTTATTTAAACCCGCCGACTCTCGATCGTTTTGTACACAGAGGGATTGCGAACCCCACATCATCCCCCCATGTGTGTGGCTTGGATAGTCATTCTGAACAGAGAAGGATTAAAACAAAGAGAGGACATCATGGCGGTGTGAGTGAGTGTGTATTCATTTCACCAGAACAGTTTTATATAGAAATTACACGAACTCCATAGAGGAAAGCTGGCGGGTGAATTTTCCATTTCCTCGACGAAAGAACACACAGAATCATAGCAGAGAAATGGTAAGAAAAGATAAGAGCTCAGCTGGGAGCCGTGCGAAGGAAGGGCTAATAACGTAGCCTAGGGACGGACGGAGCGTGGGGCGAAAGTCAGGGCTGCTGTCCCCATACTTGTAGGGCAGCGCCGGGCAAAGGGGACCAGACTTCAACAAGGACCCGACATCGTTTTTATTCACTGAGAGCGACGCTTCATTTTTTTTCTTTTTTCTTTTTCCCCTCTCTTCTTCATTCACACATAACCTCTATCTAACATCCATAAATAATTAAAAGTTTACATAAATTATGTCCCCCTGCCCTACTCTCCTTACTATTACTGATTTTAATAATGATAATTATTATTATATGATAGATCTATATCATTGTGGAGTGGACTACACATCTTGCTAGTCAAGCAAATGTAGCTGATAGTCGAAGAAATTATGAGGTTGATTCTCTATCTGCACTTTAATGAGTATATCTAATCCTGTTTAATATGATAATAATTTACTGGGCCAGGAAATTTCTGACGACTAGGCCCAAATACATGAAAAGCCCGAAGCCCACTCGGACGAGGTAACCAGACGGGCTCCTTCCCGCAGGTTCGATAATCAGATCTGCGTGGGGATTAGTAGGGCTGGGCATGTCGGTGGATCACCCGCTTGTTTGGGTCGATCCACTCGCATTTGACCCGGATTTTGTTATGTGGGTGGGTGATGGGTTGCGCCGGAAGCCATCCGTCGGGTGACGGGTGGGTTGTGGGCAGGTGCGCTGGTGACCCGCTCAACCCAATAGCAAAAGGAACAAAGTCGTTGACGTTGAAGAATGGAGACGTTAGACGGAAACTAGGATTGCTCCTGGAGATTGAAACTCAAAGCTAACCTTTCAAATTGCGATCCCCTCTTCTTCCCTTTATTTTTTCTTCTCATTCTTTTGCCCAGATCACCTCTCTTTCCTCCATTGAATTATTTTCCTTACTTCGCTGCACTTGATAATCATCTCCATATGTAGAAAACTCCTCCAATAGTAGAATTTCTGCTCAATTTTTGAACTAATTCGACATTTTTTTCCCATACCATCTTCTTGTTTCTGCCCGATAACTCTTTCCACCAATTATCATGTCAAGTTGACTCCTTTATATTATATACAATGTGATGTGGGGTGAATCCGCAAACCCACCCGCATCATCCACCATCCACCCGACCCAACCCGAGACTAAATGCGGGTGGGTGGTGGGTTAAAAATTATCAATCCGTTTAAGCGCGGGTGGGTGCGTTTTGTGGTCAAAATCCACCCGACCCACCCTATGCCCACCCCTAGGGATTAGATAGCCATTTTAGCTGGCCAATTAGACTAATAGCACCGGGTCGGTTTGTATCGAATCGATAATTCTACCTTCAGTGTATATCATTTTTCAATGTCTACCTTACAAATTATATGACAAAGTTCGATTCAGTTAGCGATGAAGTCCCGAACCGAAGGTTTCTATTAATTCAATCACGTTCGAAACCCACGATTGAATTCACTCCACTTATTTTATCACTCGAAACGTATGGACATCACTTAAACAACGAATCAAGTGTAGAGAAAAAAACGTTTGTAATAATTCTCAAATTGTAAGACTATGTTTTTGGCTTACCTTACAAACATTCGCCACCGGTATGAATGCCTAACTGCTCTCTCGCCGCGAGGAGTGGTTAGTAAAACAGCCATTTCCAAATTACCTCTTTGATTTCGAAGTGCAAAGCCTATAGCTTTCATTGAGTAACTAGACAAATTTAAGCAAACAAACAGAAAATGCCCCCAATTAGGAACATAATCTCAATCATTAATTTGATAATGTTGGTTGAATGATTGGATTGAAAAATAAAAAGGATACGAATGATTGAAATCTTAAGTACTGTGCTGTTGTTTGTAATTGTGCGTGCAAAATAATTAATAATAATAATAATAATAATAATAATTCAATGGCCTTCTCTTCAGTCTTCTCTCTATTCCCTTACCCCACTCCACTTACCCTTCACGTCAACGAACTGTACCGTTATTTTCACAGTACCAAAAAGCCCCTTCCCTCTCTCTCTCTCTCTCTACATATCACATCCTATCCTTCCACTCTCTCTCTCTAACCCCCCCAAAGGTTTCTTTCTTCCACCCCTTTCCTTCCTTCACAGCTCGAAACGTTGCTTTCCCTTCACTTCAATTGGCTCACTTCATCTTCCTCCCAATCTCCTTCACAGCCACAGAAGATAACTCGTAACTCCGTCGCCGGCCAACACCGCCGGCGTCCGTAAGCTGTTTAACGAGGAGAGCTAGCTGGTACTGTTTTTGCCTTAACCTGAATTGCTAGTTGAACTTGGAGTGGAGTGGGAGGGATTTTTTTCGTTCTCCGCAGTAGAGTTGACTAATTGGAATAATGGAGCCGCTATCAGGACCCGGAGCTAGATCCAGCCCGACCGCCGACGAGACGGCTCTCGATTCCGTCCAGTTCGGCGAGGATATCCGGCACCTAATCTCTGTGCCGACCGAAAACGCCAGCTCCTTCACCGCGCTTCTCGAATTGCCGCCCAATCAGGCCGTGGAGCTGCTCCACTCCCCTGAGTCAACCCGGCCCGATTCTTCCCAGCAGCAGCAGTACCAGCCGCCGCAGCACTTCAATGCCGGCTTGCTCACCTTCCCGACCAACGCCGCCTTGATTGAGCGCGCCGCCAAGTTCTCCGTCTTCGCCGCGGAGGAGGATTTGAACAACAACAACAACAACGGTATTGGCTCGCCGGAGACCAACTCGGCACCGTCGAATTCCAGCGCGGGTCTCCACAAGGTCGTCAAGACCGAGCCGGCGGAGCCCGTGGCTTACCTTAATTCGTCGTCGGTGGCCTCCGACCCGACGGTGGCAACCAAGGATGAGAATCAGAGGACGAACAACAAGAGGAAGGAGAGGGAGAAGAAGGTAGAAACGGAGGACAAAAAACCCCCCACAAAAATTAGGGTTCCTAGGGTTTTGATTCCCCCCTTTTTGTTTAATTTTCCCGAGGAATCTTCAGTCTGCTAACCCCGCCAATCGGTCTCACCGCAGGGAAAAGGTTTCTCGAAGAAGAGCAAAAGCGCTGCAAACGAGAATGCCGAGCAGCTGCCGTACGTTCACGTCCGAGCTCGCCGTGGTCAAGCTACCGATAGCCACAGCTTGGCAGAGAGAGTAATCACACTAATCAATCAACTAATCATTCTTGTTAAGCTTTAATTAATCCGTCACTAGACTTGCTAATAAATGCCCAACTACGTCCTTAAATACCCTGATTAGGCGAGGAGAGAGAAGATTAACGCAAGGATGAAGCTGCTACAAGAACTGGTCCCCGGTTGCAACAAGGTACCACTACTAGTACCACTCATTACTGAATTTTTTGTGTCGCAAGCACATCATCGTAATAATGAATAATCATTTGGGAAGAAGGATATTGAATGTGATTAGTCAATCATTTGGGTTTGGATTAGGGACTTGATTAAAGAAGTGTAGTTTGATTTGGTTGCCCTCCACCTTTTTGCCCCAAAAAGTTGTGGGTCTTTGCTTTTCTACCAAGAAAAGTTGTGGGGGGACAATGGAGGTGGTGGGCTGCCTCGTCATTTCTCCATCTCGTCACTGTGGTTCCCTTCTCTCCAAGACAGGTGTTTCAGAAGCCAGAGGTTCCTTTCCAGGGGTAGTTTTGTCATTTGTTATCCATTGATCAGAAGAAGCCAGTGTCTTAGCAAAGCGTTTAAAAAAAAATCCAGGAAGACAGTAGGCCCTTGTGTTCATGATACAGTGATGAGCCACTGGGATTGCACTGCAGATTTTGTCTCCCATTATTATAGTTGAATGTCTAGTAGTCTTAGAAGAGAATTGTTTATTTTTGAAGAAAAAAGGATGCTAGCTGGATATGGCTCAGCGAAGGACTAATATTCTGGTTGTGGTGGTGGATCAAATGTTTGGTCCCATCATCCAGCAGACGTGAGAATTGTGTTCCTTCTAGGAAAGGTGCACCGTACCAGCTTTCTTTTGCAAGTTCGGCACCTGTCTCTGAGATTTTTAACATACTAGAAAATGAAAGGGAAAGAAAAGATGGAGACTTTACTTTGTGATAAATTCATATGCCAAAAGTTCTGGACCCAATCGGCCAGGACCATGGTGTGATGGTTGATGAGAAAATTCATTTTATTTCTCTCATTAATGGTACATAGAGAGATATTAGTTACATAGATAATGGTGAATTACACCACCCGGAAAGTTAATTTTCCTCTCTTTTTTACCCCCCTTTTATGTCTTTCTTGTTAAGCACTGTTCAGTTCTTGACTGTCCAAAATTACGTGTTATGGTAATGGCATTCTGGGCTTCCTGAGCATGGTTCGTTGTATGATAGATGGGGTTCACTGGTTTATTAATGTTTCATTGATGGGTTGAAATTTGCCGCAGCGATCAAGCTGTCTTGGGGGATGTTAAAATACATGTCATATGTCATATATGATAGCTATGGATTGATTTTCTCATTGATGCTTTATGAGCTCCCTGAAAATTGTTTTGCAATATACTCTCATATTTCAAGAACTTTGTGAATCTGGAACTAAGTGTACGAAGCTGTTCTTTATGCAGATCTCTGGTACAGCACTCGTTCTAGATGAAATCATCAACCATGTCCAGTCTTTGCAACGGCAAGTGGAGGTCAGAACTGCATCCCTGTCATTACTTGTTAGGCATCTTAGTTATGGGATCTTGAGCCATTGTCCTTTTTCATTTTCTGAGAACTTGAGGATCTTAGTTTCCGCTGATCGTACAAGGCCTCTGCTTGAATCTTATGTCGACACACTTTGATACTTGTCTCAGGTCTTGTCCATGAAACTTGCTGCGGTTAACCCAAGAATAGATTTCAATCTGGACAATATGTTGGCTGCAGAAGTAAGTTCAGCTGCTACCTACTTCATTTGTGTTATTTTGGGGGTGAGCAAATAAGCTATGGTGTTTGTGTGTCTCTGTAATCTCCAAAACGGTAGGCATATCTGGCTCTGTGGTAGTTGAAGTGATTCTCTTACATCAGGTAGATCACTGGAAATTGGATGGCTGCATTTTCATATAGCCATAGAGCGAAATCGAAAGGGCTAGTGAAATGATATATGCATTGTCACAACGTGCCGGTCTGTCTGTTCTTTAGTCCATGTTTCCCACCCTGCAAAGAACAGCCCATTAGGGAATGCCATGAATAATGTGTCGTTCCAACGTCCTTTAACGGAGTTGCTGTTTGATAATTGTATTAACCTGTATGCTTGTCAGGGGAACTAGTACCTATGAGGCTATTCTCCAAGGACAACTGATTTACTTCTGTCCATTTGTCTATCAAATGCTTACACAATACTTTGTACAAAATGTTGCAGAGTGGATCTCTAATGGATAGCAACTTCCCAGCTGTGATGATGCCGATAATGTGGCCAGAAGTGCAACCAAATGGGAGCAGGCAACAATATCACCAGCAGCAATGGAACTTCGATGTGGTTCCCCAGCCTGCAGGAGGTGGTTGGGGAAGAGAAGATGGCCATAACTTCATCACCCCGGAGAACTCTCTCTTGAGTTACGTCTCCTCGGCAAATTCAGGTTTGCGACTTTTACAAGTACACAACAAATCCCCAATGCATCAAAGGGTCCTTCTTAGTTACACTGTCTTCTTATTTTACTTGGGTTGCAGCATCTCTAAACTCGAGTCAATTGAAAATGGAGCTATGAAGCAGCAGTTATATTGTAGCTATAGCTAGCTAGCTAGCGGGTGTAAATATGAAGCAGTATTAGCAGTTAGCAGGGCAGGGAAAGTGATTAGAGGAAGGCCTCTCTCAACTATTCGAGGGCGGGGTTTCTGTCATTCATCTCTGGGGGCCGACCCCCAAGATTTCTCTCTTTCTCTCAATTGGAGGGTGAGAAATTGGCTTGGTAGTAAAGCTATTTGCCACCACATGTTGATGATGATTGATGATAATGTTTAGTTGTCTGTCATATATATATAGATGCATTATTGGAGGTTTATACAGCAGTCCCCAACTTGAAGAAGTCGTTCGATCAATTATAGTAGGATCGCTTTATTTGATTTGCCTTATATAGATAAGAAATGTATTGTAGAAATATGATGGATAATACTGTACTCTCTCTCCCTTGAATTTAAGATGGAAGTTCAGTAATTTTGGTTTAAGTTTGGTTTGGTTCAGATTTCATGGTTCATTGTATTGTCTCCAGGTGCTTTTTATTTCTTCATTTTGGTTACAACTACAACGTTCTAAGCTCATTCGGCAAACATGGTTTTCGAGAATTATAACAAAATTTTGATACTGTGTATTAACAATGTCGTTAGGCAAGTATATGGAGCAGCGCGAATAGAACAATTTGGGTGATATAACGGCATAATGTGGTGAATGTTGGTTATTGATGCCTGACGGGTATGAGTATCCTGTTACATTTTTCCACGGAACATGTTTCAATTGAAGCTCACTCGATTGTTGGTCTGATGAGCCAAAGCAGTCGTCAATATGAAACAGAACAGAGACAGACTTAATAGAACTGAGCTCAGGCGTCAAAAGGACAGACTATCTAGTTAATAAGCATCCTGCTGCTGCAGCAGCACTCCTTCAAGACGTGCTCTCATGGCTTCGGTGCTCGCGGTTTTATTGATGTAGAAGACCATATCGCCACTGAAAGCCGTTTTCTCAGAAATCCATTCTGGAAGTAGTTCAGCCAATAGCTTAAGCTGCTCTTCCACCTCACCTGCCATAGACCAAAACCAACCCAGATCATCATCCTCGTCGTCATCAATTGTGTTATCTTTCTACCACCCTTTCACCCCAATTCCTAGCAATCCACAACCCATTTTATCATTACCTTTGTCGACAACATCCAAGTGCTGTGCAATGATCTTGTGGATGACCTCCTCCTTTGTCATAACGGATCCCCTTCCCAACTGAAACAAGGATTGGACCGTGTTAAAGACCCTGAGTAAGCTCGCCATCATCTCTTGCTGGCACGGCCTCTCTGCTCCTTCTTCCTCATTATCATTCTCTCTGACCTGCAAGCAATTCCAGACAAATAATTTCACATCTTTACTGTTTGCTTTATCCTTTATGTTCTCAAACACAATTTTCTTCATGCTAATACTATTGAAGTTGGAAAAAAGGGGGATGCTGATGAGCTTACCATCGTTGCAGGACTCTTCGGGACAGCAGCATTGTTCTTGTCAGCAGACACATCATCGGGATTAGTGTCAAACTTCAGCGATCGAGTTCGTACTGGATGAGGCCTTGTCAGTTTGTTTGCTGAGAAGTATATAACATCATCGTTGTCGCCTTCGTCATCACCAGGGGTCATATAGCATCTCCTTGGTGGACATGATGCCGCAGGTGTTGTTGTGCACATGATGGACTCAGATGGACCAGCTGCTGATTCAACGTTTTTCGCCGGAGTTGCCATTGGTTGGTCTCTTTTAACTGTTACCTTGCTTGGAGTTGGAGGCAAGCAGCAAGGCTTTGACAGGTGCTCAGCCACACCTGAATCCCCCTCAACAGGAGAAGACAACAGCAACGCCGAACAATCAGCTTCTGTGCTGCTGCCATGGGTTCCAGCTTCAACTTTCACAGCTCTCTTGGATAAGCACGGACGGAAATCCGGTGGGAAATGGGATGCTGCCGCCACTGGTTTCAATTCATCAAGTGGAATAGCTGCAGCATCTACCAATGGACCAGCAGCCGTCTCCACAACCATCTCATTAACTTGCTTCAACTGATTGAATGGATGTGGCAGCATTGCTGCTGGAACTTCAACATCCTGAACTCATAACAAAAAATTACACATTATTAGAAGAGTCTTGAAACCAGATACCAGATAAATGGAAAGACTACACCACCAAAATCAAATGTACCTCCGGGTGATCTCTACAGAAATCCGCCAGCCGATTCCGAAAAGCTTCCCCCAATGCCATGTAAGGACTGCTCTCCTCCAAGTTCAATCCAGGTGCAACAGAATCAAGATTCAGAGAGACTCGAAGTTCAGGGATCATAGAGCCTGTTCGTTCACCGAACTTGAGAGCTTTAGTTATCTCAATTGCCTCAGGGAAAATGTACTTCAACTGTGCCAAATTCCGATATGAGAACTCCTCCTTCGTCAAGGATTCAACCTTGGGGGAGATGTTGGTGAAAGAAGGGTGCGCGCCCTTCAAGCCCAACAATCGGATTGATGTGACCAAGCTGGTGAAACATTCCAGGAGAGCCTCTTGCCTACTGGGAAATCAAAAGGAAATTGATTGGCAACATCCTAATTAACGGAAAAAAACCGTAATTTGAAGCAAAAAGGAGAAGCTAGGGTGTTTTTACATTTGGGGGATCGGAGTTGATATCTCGGCAGCGTCCGCATCTTCATCCCACGACGAGGAGAGGTGTCTTCTGGCGGATTTGGTGTTGGAGTCTCCGGCGGCAGTGTATGTAGAGCGGCGATGGAGGTTACCGGCGTCGAGGATTCGGGTGCGGCGAGAGAGCGAGGCGGGTTGCTTATCGGGGGTTTGGGTGGTCGGGAGATTTGCCGGCGCCGGGTTGTGGGCCGATCCGAATGGTTTTTTTAGGGGTTCGGAATCGGGAGCGGGATAAGCAACACGAGGCTCGTCGGAGTTCATAGCTGGAGAGAGAGAGAGAGAGATTGGTACGGGGGCGGAGACGACTGCGCCGACGAGAAGAGAGAGTGAAAGAGAGCGCGGCGGGGAGTGGAGCGTTAGGGCGGACCGAGAATTGAAGACAAGACTGGATTTGCTTTATCTTTGTCCGATGAAGATCCTACACGTTGGTTCCCGCTGAATTGATCCGTTGGTTCCCGCCAAATCGAGCTCGGCCTTCTTGGTTAGACCTAATTTCGCCTTCTTCCTTTCTCCAATTATAATTCTCTTGATTTACTTTAAACTCGGGAGCCATATGGATAAGAAAAGCGATGAATAGCGATTCAGTAAGAAAACATCTCAGTTATATTATTCGAAATTATTGAACACCTTTGTTTCTATAGCGATATTTTTGGTGCACAAGAAAATACCAAAAGGTTGTTATCTCTGGTCAGTTGCCATCTCTTTAGTTTTAATGAACCAATCGTCATCTCTCTTCTTTCGTTCTCTTGAGCGAACTATGTCGAAGTGATTCAGATGCTTTAGTTTGCGGCTCAAGAATGGAATTCCCTTGTCTAGTTGGATCATGCTTGGCTTTCTCTTGTTCTGATCTTTTCCTCGTTGGTTTGTGTGTTCCTCTGGATGTTAAGGCTGTTCTTTCTTGATTTGTTTTCTCATGTTGTATCCCCTCTTTGTAATCGATCTTCCCCTCGAAAAATTATGCGGAATCAAAAAAAAATTCGCTACGATCGGATAACCGAGCACAAAGTTACGTTGTTTTAAAGTTTGGACGCAGTTCAGTGCTTCACCGTTTTGCTCTCACGCGGTGAAGCAATCACCGTTTTAGTCTCCCACGGTGAAGCAGTCACCGTTTTGCTCTCACGCGGTGAAGCAATCACCGTTTTTCTCTCACGCGGTGAAGCAATCACCGTCCTTCTCTGACGCGGTGAAGGCCCAAACATGTGTAGATTGGGAATTATTTTCATAACATGTGTATTTTGAGAATTTTTTTTAAAAACATGTGTAACTTGGGATTTTTTCCTGATCCCTTTGTCAAAAAGAAAAAACCATTCGTTTTAATATTGATACACCTCAAACATCTATATGATCATGAATCACTACTTGCTTCTACCCAATTCAAAAACGTAGACTCCCTCTCCTAATTACGTGAACAACCTATCAAAATGAGTTCTCGTAGTAAATTCAATGTTATCTTAACTACGAATTTGTTATGCGTTTCCAAAATTACTGATAGATGATAAAGAAAAACTATGGTAGAGTTTGAACACTCACTATGTTGAATCGTAGATAACAAGTTGTACCAAACATGTTTGCCAAAACTAGTAATGCTTTAAGGATATTGCAAATAGGCAAATTGCCAATTTGCAAATGTTTGTATAGCGCAGGCGGAGAATGCATAAATAGGAGCACTGATAGTGAGAAGTGAGAACCAGCAACGGAAAGTCAAAAAGCAGATCGTCACTCATTTGCTCGTCTCTCAGCTCAGATCCAAATCCCCCGCCGCCGCCGCGCCTCCGTCAAATGCCAACTCTACTCCTCTACTACATCCTCCTCCATTTCCTCCACTCCCTCTCCGCCACGTCACCATCACCAATCCCTAGCACAATCCAGCTCCCCCGCCCGCTCTCCACCACCGGTGCCGTCTCCGTCACCGACTTCGGCGCCACCGGCGACGGAACTCACTACGACACCCATGCCATCCAATCCGCAATCGACGCCTGCTCTCCCTCTTCCCCCTCCTCCTCCACCGGCGCCACCTGCTACGTGACCTTCCCGCCGGGGAAATACCTAACTGCGACCGTCCACCTGAGGTCGAATGTCGTCCTCGACATCCAGCCCGGCGCCGTCGTCCTCGGCGGGCCGAGGATCGAGGACTACCCGAAGGAATCGAGCAGGTGGTACGTGGTGCTGGCGGAGAACGCGACGGACGTCGGGATCACCGGCGGCGGGACTGTCGACGGGAACGGGCATTTGTTCGTGGAGAGGTTCAACAGCGTGAAGAACGTGATGGTGAGCTGGAACGCCACCGGAGATTGCTTGGGGGACGAGTGCCGCCCGCGATTGGTTGGGTTCATCGGTTGCACGAACGTCCGCGTCTGGAATGTTACCTTCACCCAGCCTGCTTATTGGTGGTGAGTTAGTTCTCTTCTTCTTCGTCTGATCTTTGAATTGAACTCGTCACAGTAATCGGTCAATTTCCTCTGCCATCTTAGCTGCAATTTGTTGAATTAGTTCCATCGATCTCAGGCCTTTGATTCCAGTTTTAGGTTAGATAGCATATGAAAAGTACGATTTGAATTGGGAATTTTCTGAGCTTCCTTATCAGGATTGGTTCTAGGAAAGGGAATGATTACTGTGATGAGCTTAGGTTAACTATGTTGATCACACTTCTGTAAGTTTTTAGTTGTTGATTTTAATAGTAGCACCAATACCTTGATCGAAGTATTAGAAATATGCGTTATAATCCAACAACGTTAGCACGTTTTGATCAAATTCGTGAGCTTACGCTATATCGAATGCATAACGATAATAGACGAGGACAAAGTAATGTTTGTTGCTTAGCGTTAATAGGAATCATTCGCTTATAGGAAACGCTTTCTCATTTCTGAATGCGACATCTACCAGTTGCATTTTATCAAAATGGGAACTCTATCCTATCCAAAAGAATGAATGCCAATAGCTTCACGCAATCACCTAGCTGCTTTAATTTGAAAAGATTTGTTGGAGATGACTGATGGGAAATATCTACAGCATAGTACACTACCGTTTTAAGGTTTCAAAGAGTCATTGCAGTTTCTTGCTGTTGGATTGTATTGTATTGTACATATGGTGACCTGCAGATTGTACTGTTGCAGCTTCCACCTGGTGAGGTGCGACAACACTCAGATCCATGATATTGCCATATACGGCGACTTCAACACGCCTAACAATGACGGGATAGACATAGAAGATTCCAATAACACGGTCATCAAACGATGCCACATTGACACAGGAGATGATGCAATTTGTCCCAAGACATCAAACGGGCCATTGTACAACTTGACTGCAACGGATTGCTGGATTCGGACTAAATCTTCTGCGATCAAGTTCGGGAGTGCTAGCTGGTTCGACTTCAAAGGGCTGGTCTTTGACAACATTAACATCGTGGATTCTCACAGGGGGCTTGGATTCCAGATGCGAGATGGAGGTAATTCTTTAGTTGTGTCTTTAAATGGCTTGTTGGTAGTTGATACTGAAAGAGAAAGTTGCCTGTGTGTTAGAAAAGAGCCAATGCTTGAACTAGAGAGATTTATTGGTCTTGGTAGAGGACTTTGTTAAGTAGCATAACTCAAATCACTCATGAGATGGAGGTAATTCTTTAGTTGTGTCTTTAAATGGCTTGTTGGTAGTTGGTACTGAAAGAGAAAGTTGCCTGTGTGTGAGAAAAGAGCCAATGCTTGAACTAGAGAGATTCATTGATCTTGGTAAGAACATTTCTTAAGCAGCATAACTCAAATCACTCGGTCGGGAAGTTGGCAAGAAGCCAATGCTCATTCCCTGCAGGTTAAGCACGGTGACTTGATCCAGTGACAGTAGTTAGCTGAAGGGTTGATTGTATCACTAGTCCATGCAATGATCTAGCAAATGCGTCGTATAGTGGGTTTTATGTTCCTTAGTCTAGCCTTAAATTCATCATGGCGGGAGTGCTCAAATTCAGATTAACTGAGAACTCCATCTGTCTCTGCCATTACTATAAGGAACCTATATGTGCTTTTAAGAAAGCTCCACAGTCATTACCAGTACTGAATCTTTTCTTCTGCAGGAAATGTGAGCGACGTCGTCTTCTCCAACATGAACATCAGCACAAGGTACTACCACCCATCATGGTGGGGGAGAGCAGAGCCCATCTACGTGACAACATGCCCAAGAGACTCGACTTCAAAGAAGGGCTACATATCGAACCTGCTCTTCGTCAACATAACCGCTCACTCAGAGAACGGGGTCTTCTTATCGGGCTGTGAAGGCGGAATGCTCAGCAACCTGAGGTTCGTGAACGTAAACTTCACTTACAGAAGGTGGACCAACTTCGATGGCGGGTTGATAGACTACAGACCAGGATGCCAGGGGCTCGTGAAGCATGGCGCGGCAGGGATGATCATGGAGCACATTCAGGGCTTGGAGGTTGAGAATGTGAGCATGAGATGGGCTAGTGGTGGTGCCAAAGAGGAATGGGATAACCCTCTGGAGTTCAGACCTTCTACTGTTAATAACGTCTCTTTCCTCAATTTCCATTCCGGTGTCTATGCACAGTGAGACGGAGAAATGAGATATGGGGAAGTTTTGGGGGTATACCTTGTTCTTGGAGGCGTGAGAGTGAGACCTTCAATTAATGAACACAACAGGCAAATCATATTCTTTTTCACAAACCAGTGTTTGTCGTCAGTATTTTCCCATTTTCGTCCCTCAACTATGGAAAATGGTTCACTTTCAAGTTCTTCTTGCATGCTTCTTTGCGACATATTCAAAATATGTCACGTTTGCGGTACATTTCGAATTTTAGGTGTATGCAAATAACAATTATCGACCATAAATAATCAATAATAAGTTTGCAAATTGTGACATTGGATAGGTTAATTGCAGGTTGCATTATGTTTGTTAGGGGAATGAGACAGTTGGGTAAATTTACTTACGAGGCGGCCTATACTTAGTTCTTGATGATTCTAGTGATCTCTAATAATGTTGCAAACCTCAAATGACCCCACTCCTAAGCTACCTTCAAAACCGAGAGCCAGTTCAAACAAATTGCAGAATCAATCTAATCATGGTTAACTCCACCTGGCCTCCAATACCATCAATGAGTAACCTACAAATGATACGACAGAAATACCAAGCTGTAATGATATTGGCCATGGTAGAAAATATCACCAGAATGGATTAATGCAAGTAAATTACGTGCCTTTCTGGACCATTACTCCGTTTTTCATTTTCTTCATGTATGCTGCAAATTACCTTTTGAAGAGCTGAAAAAACAACTACATTGAGGGATAAAGCTCACCATAAGGCAACTATTTATAGTGTTAGAATTATTAGATAAGTCTAATGAGTTTACCTCATTTGGTGTCCTTGTTCATTAAGCATACATCATTCAGTGTGTTACTTACAAACTAAAGTTAGTGACACTTAGGGAGTTAGGGTAATCTCAGTAAACAACATACCAAAATCCTTTAAGCTTTCAATGAGTACATGGACTGAACAGTTACTAAAGAGAAAGGATTCACCTTAGTAATTATGCAGCACTCATAGCAGCGCTCCAGTTCTCTTTCGCTGCAAACGAAGCGAACCAAGGGCATGTTTGGAAGTTAGGATTCTCTAAATTGATGTATTTAATCAATGTATGGATTATAATTAGATGCATTGTTTCAATGTATGAATTTGAAAAATACATTGTTTGAAGATTGAATGATTTTGGTGGTCCCTCAAAGAATAAGGAACAAAAAGTAAGACAACAATCCTTCAAACATAATCTCTACTAAAACTTGAGATTTACAATCATTCATAATGAATGATTCTGGTGGGCCCATCTGCTGTTCAAATACAAGCATTCTGTTTCATTTTAAGCCAAAAAAACGATGAATTCTTCTGATTACATGTATTGGCTAAATACATCATCTGAAATCCCAACTTCCAAACGAGCCAATCAATTGGAAAATCCAATGCATTAGTTGAGGTGAGAAGAGCATTAGTAGGCTTGGCTATACCAGCAAGAATTAAACCACAACATGAAGTTGGCAACAATTTTAAGCATATGTGAAGCAATCTTACCGAAATAAGATGTTTTATGGGCTGGCTCAGAGCCAATATGTCATTCACTCTTGGATAATTAATGTTAGAGAAAAATAGAAGGGGTAAATGTACTTGTAGAAGCTCCAAACAGCGTTCCAAGCATAGCCCAAGTAAGCTGATAGAAGATGAGAAAAAATTAATAATAGAAGCTCAAATTAAAAGGAGTAATAGCAGCTCCAATACTTGACAGCATCACAACCACAAACCAGTTGTTCACCAGTTTGATTAAGCTACTCCTTTTATCTTCTCTGACACAACCATAGCTAACAATTGCAGCAGTTTAATTAAGTTGGTCTTGGGAAACAGTATTATAAAAGCATTAAGCGCATTAATTTTGCTAGTATTGACAAAATCACTGAACTCGCAAGCATTCTATATGGTTCTGTTTTGGATTCAAGAGCGCATTACAAAGTAAAATCAAATATGAAAACCTTAGCAATTAGTAACTCGGTCATTAGTCACGTTGATACAGATTGTCAGCAAATTAACATGACCCATTGCCTTTGAATTGCAGCTCAAAGAACTTGTCGGATTGCAAATAGAGTTCTCACCTATCTCCTATCATTGAGTTCGTTTGTACACTAACATGAGTTCACAATGGTAAACACCAAGTAACAAAATATAAGTAGATGAATCATGCCAATAACACATGAATCAATTCACGTGTTCTGAAAAGGCCATATTTGGATTATAAATACATGAATACTTACAAAGCCCACTTTTTTCATTCATGTCATTTGGAAGAATGCCAACACCTGTGCTGTTCAAATTGGAATTAAGTCCAACCTGAAATGAATTGCACAACCAATTAGCAACTTTTTCTTGATTAGGAGGTTGATAAGGACTACAAAGGAAACTTAAAGAACTAATACAAATCAGATCAGTCAACACATGACAATTAGTGGCTCTAACTTGGTATTAGTATAGCTCAAAGTGCCTCAAACCCAACCCATGAGGGATTCCTCTACTTCGTTCCGCTCTCCATGAAGATTTGGTAGACTCACCTAGCTAGGGACACGCTTTCGTGGAGGGGAGGAGCTCTTTCCCATGGTCTCGGTTTTGCGGAGAAGGAAATCCAATTTCCCAAAGAGGATAATGGATTAAGACTTCAATTTGGTGGGGAAGAAGAAATATATAGGAGTGAGCACATTATAAAAAAAATAAGAATGAGTTCACCAGCTAATCAACGAAGAAAACAATCATTTGACGCCACCCAATCCCTCTTCTTCATCTTCATCTTAGAACTCGCCGGTCGAATGGGTTGCTTCCTCCGATTACCCTCCTCTGATCATCTGATCCCATCGCCAAAGAAACAAAATCTCCATGCATCTAACAGAGACTGAATCACTATGAGGAGGATGTAAGGCCGTTTATTGGTGGCGTCGAGGATTGGGTAGGAGGAGGGAAAATCGGCCTAGGCGTAGGCTTCGGAAGGGAGAAGGGTTCTGGAAGCTGGGCGGGTAGTTAGGCCGCGTCAGAGGAGGGGTCGAAAGGGGAAGCGGCATCCGATTAAAAGAAGGGCCACTGCTTGCTTAGCTAGCCGCCAGAGGTTGCTTAGGAACACCAATTTTAGTGTAGGTTTAGTTGTAGCTTATAAAAATCACCGAGTGAACAGTACTCCCGAATTTTTCTTAATGAACAGTAACTCCGGTTTTTTTGGAACTTGGGACTTAATAATTCTAATAATAATAATAATATGGATGAAATTATTTTCTCTTCACTAAGTTTATGGTGCCATTTTGAGAAAACAAATAGTCAAATGACCATTTTGTATAAGTATCAAAGTTAAGAGATCATTTTGACTATTAAATATTTATCGACTAGGTCCTGTAAATTGTAATCGTCTAGTTGTGCGGCCGAGCTATAGCAGTGGTCTTCGGGACATGATTTTGACCAATGGCGGCAGCTTCATTCTGCGACAATTTCAGTCGCCTGCGCCCTTTCGTCCGGCAACTAACGGTTTCTACCTCCTTGACTCCGGCTGTGCCGCCACCAAGCTTAGCTTCGCTATGCGCTCAGGGACACCTGCAGGCCGCTTTGCTCGAAATGGCTGAGCAAGGCCCTCTAATGAAGTTCGACGGCTACAATTCGCTGCTAAACGAGTGCGTCAATAAACGAGCCTTGAGGGAAGGCCAAAGGGTGCATGCCCAAATGATCAAATGTCGTTATCTTCCACCGGTGTACTTGAGGACCAGGCTTATAGTGTTTTATACCAAGTGCAATTGTCTGAGCGATGCCAGACATGTGTTCGACGAAATGCCTGAGAGGAATGTCGTTTCTTGGACTGCCATGATTTCTGCGTATTCTCAGAGAGGACTGGCCTCGGATGCATTGAGCCTCTTTCGCCACATGCTGCCATCAGGTAATTGTCATCATTGTGTTACCTAAATTATTGGAAAGAAAACTCAGATAGATATTGGCTATAATGATGTGCCTTCACCATTGTTTGCATGAACGAGTCCCATTTCTCCAAGTTGATAAATTTTTATGGGGGTTTGTCTTCTTGCTCATACCAGCAAGCAATTGATGCAGGCACAGAGCCAAATGAGTTCACTTTTGCATCAGTTCTTACCTCCTGCATAGGCACTTCCGGGTTGGAGCTAGGAAGGCAGATACATTCACTGATAATCAAGACCAGCTATGATTCTCACATTTTCGTTGGGAGCTCACTTCTGGATATGTATGCCAAAGCTGGCAGAATCCCCGAAGCTCGTGAAGTTTTCGAGTGTTTGCCAGAAAGAGACGTTGTATCTTGTACTGCAATCATTTCTGGCTGTGCGCAACAGGGTCTGGATGAAGAAGCACTAGAGCTCTTCCGAAGATTACAAACGGAAGGAATGGATTCAAATTATGTAACCTATGCAAGCGTATTAACTGCATTATCTGGGCTTGCAGCTCTCGATCTTGGGAAACAGGTTCATAACCACGTCCTTAGGCGTGAACTGCCCTTCTACGTTGTTCTCCAGAATTCCATGATCGATATGTACTCCAAATGTGGAAACCTTGGTTACTCGAGAAGAATCTTTGATACCATGATCGAGAGAACTGTCATGACATGGAATGCAATGCTTGGAGGGTATAGTAAGCATGGGTTGGGAAGAGAAGTGGTCGATCTTTTCGAGTTGATGACAGCTGAAAACAAAGTCAAACCCGACAGTGTCACTCTGCTGGCTGTCCTATCTGGGTGCAGCCATGGAGGGATGGAAGATAAAGGCTTGGAGATATTCGACAAGATGTCGAATGGAAGTTATGGAATTCAGCCAGAGAGCGAGCATTATGGATGTGTTGTTGACCTGCTTGGCCGAACAGGCCGAGTGGAAGACGCTTTTCAGTTCATCAAGAAGATTCCTTTCAAACCAACAGCTGCCATTTGGGGATCGCTCTTGGGTGCTTGTAGGGTTCACTCGAATGTCGATATTGGCCATTTCGTTGGTCGCCAGTTGCTACAATTAGAGCCGGAGAATGCTGGGAACTATGTTATACTCTCTAATCTATATGCTTCTTCCGGGAGATGGGAACAAGTGAGAGAAGTGAGGGAGTTAATGATGGAGAAAGCTGTGATGAAGGAGCCAGGTAAAAGCTTGATTGAAATTCAGCAGACATTGCATACTTTCCATGCAAGCGATCGTTGCCATCCAAGGAGGGAAGAAGTAGTGACCAAAGTGAAGCAGATGTCGACCGAGTTCAAGGAAGCCGGCTATGTTCCTGATCTGAGCTGCGTTCTCTATGATGTGGATGATGAACAGAAGGAGAAAATCCTTTTGGGCCACAGTGAGAAACTGGCTTTGGCTTTTGGGTTGATGGCTACTGCTTCTCGGCAAGTGCCCATCCGTGTGATAAAGAACCTCAGGATTTGTGTTGATTGTCACAATTTCGCCAAGTTTGCATCCAGGCTTTATGGAAGGGAAGTGTCGTTGAGGGACAAAACTCGGTTCCATCAAGTTGTTGGTGGAACTTGCTCGTGTGGGGATTACTGGTGACGGTTCTAATGAGAGATCTCTGTACGAAACTACATTGTTAAGTTGTTGAGTTTTAGATCGTTCTTTTGTACAGGGGTGTAAGTGGGTTCGGGTGGTGACAATTTATCTAGGGTCAAAATGAGTTATATTAGCTCCAAGATTTATAGTTGATCCGTCCCCATTCGTTTTCTTTCTCGACCCTATCTGAACCGTATTTGGGTTGGATTGGGCTGAGAATGCCGGCTCACCAAAATCACAAAATTTATTGATTTCAACATCAAAATGATTTTTGCGAAATGTAATGTGATGTTTTGAACGGAAAAACAAAATGTAATTGTGATATAACAAATGAAGATCGATTTGAGTTCATGCGAGAAGGATTGCTAGTTATTGTTCTTACCATCAACTTAAAACCAGATGGGTCAAATCAAACCAACTTACAACCCTCCAAATCGATCTACAACTCAATTTTACAGTTGTAAAAAAAACTCAATTTTTCGAGCAACTTGATCAACCCATAACCTAATTGCACATATGGTAATTAGGTTGAACCTGACCCGAGGCTGCCCGTTTGCCAAATTTAGGGGTGCGTTTGCTTGTTGGATTTGGGTCATGGATTTGGTATCCAAATTCCAAGTTTGATGGATTTAACATAAGTCCATTGTTTGTTGAAGGGTGCTAAATCAATGGGGTCCACGGATTTGGTCTTTATTTTGGAACCAAATCCATGGACCCCACGGATTTGTAAATCCCACATATTGATTTGGGATTTGCAAATCATTGATGGTTAGTTATTTATTTAACAAATCCATCACAAATCCATCATCAAATCTATCATGCAAACATTAGACTCTTCAAATCCATAATCCAATAAATCCAACATAAATCCCAAGGTTTTTATTGGCCAAAACCCTCATTTTTCAAATCCAACAAACAGACACCCCCTAGCTTCTGCGTCGTGGAAGGCTGGAACATCCTGTCAAAAAACGGCAGCGTTTCCCTCTCAGAAGTCCGTCATTTTCTGGGCCGGAAACAGCTCGCTCCGCCCAGCATTTCTACAAAATCGAAAAGCAAACCGATCGCAGAAATCCTCTCCCTCACACTCTCCACCCAAAGAAACGCAAAGGGGCAAACGAACGGGGGAAATGCCTAAGCTGCAACCCTTCACGACGGCGTCGAGCATGCTCCGCCAACGGCTGGCCGGCTCCCTCCGCACGCGGAGCGGCGGCGCTTCGGGATGGACGACCCCAGGGCACGAGGAGCGGCCCAAGGGTTACCTATTCAACAGGACGCCGCCACCGCCGGGACAGTCGCGCAAGTGGGAGGACTGGGAGCTCCCTTGCTACCTCACCAGCTTCCTCACAATCGTCATCCTCGGCGTCGGGCTCAACGCCAAGCCCGATCTCACCATCGAGACCTGGGCGCACCAGAAGGCCCTCGAGCGCCTCGAGATGGAGAAATTGGCTGCCGCTGAATCCGATTGAAACAGAAGAAAAGGGGTAATGGGGTTTCCTCTTGGGGTGTGAAATCTTCCCTCAGCGATCCATCGAGACAGTGGTTCGTTTGGTTTTTATGTTTAGTTGTGTTGATAATGTGTAGCCGAGTAATAAAAGTTTTCGGAACCTTTGATTTTGACGACAATTGGGGGCTTTCTTCTGGAGCTCTTTTGCGCATGTGTTACATTTACTTTTGGACCTGATTTCTGGGCATTATAAGTTTCGAAAGAGATGTTATTTACTTATGAATGTTTTCCATCTAATTGCATTGCCAGTGCTGCTGAATCTGGTTATCTGGGTTCGATTTGTCTTTCAGTTGGTGAAATTGGGCTGCTTTCTTATCGCTGATTTACTTGTTTTTGAATGGTGTTGTATGGTAAATATTTTCAATTGTGGCATAAGGTCCATGGCGACAGACAACCTGATCCTGCTTTGGGGTAATTGATGCTGGTTTTGTGACTTGCAGTTTGTTTCTTTGGTGAACCTAACCAGCTTAAGATGCTTGCCTTTGCCGTGCTTGTTGCCTTGTCATGGACATCAATCATGGCTATGAATTAAGCTGACATGGAGCTTGTTTGTATCTGTCTTCGGCCAACTTACTGGTAGAGGTTCCTTTTAAAAGTACTAGTTAACTTTAGATAATATTATGTGATGGCTTGAACATTGATATACTGGTGGTATACCTCTGGATGATAAATTCTAGTGCAGCTACTTTCTTACCATTTTGATTTCTACTCAGCATCCTTTTGAGTTTAATGTTCTACTGGTCGGCTATGTGTGGTACATGCATACTGTTTTAAGTAAAAAGACTGGGGTAAAGCTCTAATCTCTTGTTCGTCTGTGACTCTTGGCACTCATTTTGTCTTCTGAAGTGAGAAACTTCAGTGCAAGTACTATGTTCCCAGTTCGATGATGACTTAGAGTCCTTTGACTTTAGTATTCCGCTGGGTTATAATATGCTATACACATACTGGTTAAGGTAGTTAGACTCAGTAAAGCTAGAATCTGTGATCTTCGTTTCTCTGTGGCTCCTGGCAATCATTTTGAGGCTTTCCAAGGATACAAGCACAATTTTGGATTTACTTACCCTGGCTTCTGAATTTACCAAAGTATTAGCATGATGATATGTTTTAGCCTCCAGTACCACTAGGGTTCATGAATATTCGAGTTATGCCAAGTTAGATTGAGAATTCTTTGGAGGGTTTATACTTTATAGTCACTTTCGGAATATCCAGTTCAGTCAGGTGTGTGTACCCTACTTTGGCTTTGCTTGGGGTCAAATGATTTGAATGGCTGTCTAGTATGGTTCTGCAAATTTCTCCAGAAGGGTCATTTGCTACATGTGGATGCTTGCAGAGTGCTAATATGATTCTTATGGTGTACCTGATTAGGTTTCAACCTAGGACTCAGTTTGAGTTGATTAGGCTTTTAGAAACCAGTTTCATACATTGTTTGAATTCATGTTCGCTTTATCCGTGCATTGTGATTGCTGATCGCGTCCACGTTTTATACTTGAATTCCGTTCTGGCTCGGAGATTCTAGTCCTCCAATCAAACAACTAGTATGCAAGTTATAAATTGTGTTGGCATATTGCAGTAAGCTCGTACGATTGTGCCTTTTCTCTTCTACTTTGCAGCTGTTTTTTGCACTGAATATCTGCTCGTGTTTTAACCAGCACTTGGAGAAGAGCCAGCTGTTTGGTTCACATGGGTAATCGCTAAGTTCTTCACTTAACGGTTTAGGAGGATAACAAAGATATTGATGCAGGAAGTGTACGTGTTGTTAGTTGTTACTCTGGACAGCTGAGAGAACTTTTCTGGTTTCATTTTACCTTGAAGAAAAGAATACAAATTATATCATATGATTTTGCGTTTTTGGCCTTCTACAACAAAAGTGAAAATGTTTCTAGATTTTACAGATTTAGTTATTATGTTTCAGCATTAACAAAAAAAAAATAATAATAATATTCGTCGTCGATTTTCCGAACAGTCGGGCCGCAATTTCTTTCTTACTGGTCCAACACTGAATTGGGCTTTTTTGGGTCTTCACTGCAGCAGCTGGGCCTGTTCATTTGGTAACTTGTGCAATCATATTGCCGATGGAAGTCGCTTCCTCCTTAGCCATCTCCACCATGGAATCCTGCATTTCCCCACAAAATTCTATAAGTTGCAAAGAAAGGCATTACATCTTTTTTCACAATAACTTTTACAGCATATGTTCATGCTCACAATCATTTTTGAATTGTCGAGTGCACTATAACCGTCTAATTGCTATGATCTTGTTCCAACTTCAACAAAAAATAGACAAAATTCCCAGAACTGCAATGTAATATCGACTAAAATTCTTCAGAGAAATCATTTTGCAATTATAACTTACATGGGTAGACAACAATCTTATGATTGTTCTTTTACTCGATTCTTGAAACTCTCCCGCAATCAGTACCTCATCCAATATGTAGTAAGCCTGCATTTCCCAACAAAATAATTTTACAGTCAAGAACAATACATCAAATCTCTTTACACTATAATCCAAATAAAGATCAAGATGCAATGTGATGTGTACCTTGTGGAAATTGAAGATCAAGTCCAATTCACACACCTAAGTTTAGATCAAAGAAATCAAACTTGATCAGTATATTCTTCTTTGTGTTTTTTATTAGCGTTTTAATTATCGAATTGTTTTATCATACAACAAAAGAGCAATCACGCAACTCTTTAAGACTTTCCCGAGATCCGCTCATTGTAATACTTATGAATGACCCAACAATGTATGAGCTCAATGAATCTATCATAAAACTGGTACAAAAAAGATGCTTACGCTGCCAAAATAGCGATCAAGAATCTCGACAAAGTGATGAATGATGTCCAAAACCTCTAGTTCATTGTCCGCCTCGTCAATGCACATGCAGAAATACAATCCTGCATACCTACGAAAACCGATGTACATATATATTTCAAACAATTTATAAGTTCTAACAACAACAAAAAACAACGTCAAATTTACAAATTATAGCAAATTAATTAATTACCGTCTATATACAACTCTGTGTCCTCTCCATTCCACAAAGTTGCAGAGCTTGGGGCCTCGATTCAACACGATTCCACTCAACTCCCTAATTACCTTGGATCTTTCCTTCTGGGAATAAGGGGAGTACCATTTTGTCAACCTCACTTTGCCTTGACGGCTGATGAGAAGCACGAAATGAATCTGCAATTTGATTGATTTGTGTACGATTAGCTATGGAGTTAATCAATTAAGTTGATTGAAAGAAGATAAACAATTGAACAAACCATTTGGCTTGTAAGTAAGCTGGGGCAAAAAAAATTGGCCCCAAATCAAAGCTTTACAGTGATACAAAATCCCCTCCTCGTGTGTGGTGGGGCTATTCTTCCCTTTCAATCCCCTCTTTTTTCGCCTATAAAAATTGTTTTATTGACAACAACCAAGGATAATTATAGTTGTTGTTGGTTTTTTTTCTTTTTTCATATTTCATGGTGGTTAATACAATGTTTTACGTCGAATAGTTCAAATTATGCGACTACAATGTTTCTTGACAATACACGAGTCTCTCAAGGTAAGCTTAAGCAGTTGAGCCAAATAGCTTACCAAGGTCGGTTTAATGCCCATCATTTCTTTTACAATATCAATTTTAACATGAGTTCCGAATATTTTAAATGGGTGATTTCAATCTCAAAATTCTTACAAAAGATAAATTCCCTAATAATTAAAGGGGGCAAAAGAGTTGATTTTCAAAGAGCTAAGCTGTCATTTTGACATTTTTTTCTTCTTCTTCTTCTTCTTTTTCACGGGAGATTGGTTGACTTGTAGACTTCATACGTTTTCAACAAGCTGATCATAAACAATAATGCAAATCTGAACATGCATACTGCAATACATCAACAGACTTTCGGTCGAGCATATATATATACAAATCTATAAAAAAAAACCAGTGGGTTCAGATCTAATTCTTGGATTGATTCCAAAAAGGAAAAAGTGATTGCTTCTAAGAAAAGGTAGATCCAGCCATGCCCTAGCCTCCAAGTCTGATCTATCAGAGCTTTATCATGCACTCACTGGTTTTCCATAGAAGCCTGCACACTAGAGGGGCTAAAGGGCAACCGGAATGTGGTATGTTGGTTTTATAGGACCTATGGCTAGTATGATGCATCTTGGGGGTGTAGCTCATATGGTAGAGCACTCGCTTCGCATGCGAGAGGCACGGGGTTCGATTCCCCGCACCTCCATTAGTTTTTAACAAATTTATGATATCAACTGGCTTGATTAATTTTATCGATAAATTCTATCAAATGCAAATACTTGTCAACTTATCGATGCGTAGTTTGAACCTTTTATACTAGCCATACTACTAACACTAGCTTTTACTCGGCCTTTGGCTGAATGAGTTTTGCTTTATCATTTATATTGGTTAATTTATAATTATATTTAAAATATTTACTCAACCCGTTGGTCGGATGAATTTTATTTTATTTTGATCAATTTCTTCACGTTTTTAAATAATTTGAGGTTTTATAAATTAGTTAATTCGTTATTTCAAAGTAATCTTTATTGTATTTGTTGATTATGACATAAGCTATAATTAGTTTATATGTATTTTCTTATCAAGTCATCTAGTTTACTTTTATTTATTTTTTTCATATCTAAGAATAAATTTGTGGACTTTTTATTATCGGATATGAATTTGGAGTTGGAAGGAAATATATGTCATCTAGAATTGGTAGGAATTGAAGGTATAAAAAATTAAGAGAATAACGAAAAGAATATGCCTAGAAATCTAAAATATGGAAGAATACGAAAAATAATATTTATTGTATAAATTATTATAATTTAGTGTATAGACTTGTTGTAATAAGTAGGGCTGTTAAGTGTTACATACTACTGCACGTACAAAAGTTAAGAAAATCTAAACATTACCAAACAATAATACTATCTTTGACTTTTCATGTGGAGTTAGTAGCATAAATTGTCACTCTATTATCCAACTTGATGGTACAACTTCAAGTTGAAAAGTTGTACCACAACATAATGATACAAATTCCTTTATGGTACAACCTAAACTTATACATTTAATGTTATGGTACAACTTCAAGTTGTACATTAAAGCACCAATACTATATAGCATAGTAGAAGTGCTCTAATTAATAGCTACAATTCCATCCTCCATTTCTTCCGCTTTCTCTTTCTTCGACCCAACAATAATTAAACGCAAAAACTTGTCTGTCATGAAAGAAACTTGTAGACCGACTTTTGAATTTCAACCACTCTCTAAAATTTCACAATTATTGATCGATTTGACTCAATCGTAAAAATTGGAACCCAAATTTTTTAGAATATATGGATTTCAAAGTATCAAAGGTTGTCAACCCGATTTCGCCGTTAGCCTGGTCGATTAAGTGGGTTGAGGGTTATTGGTCCAATCGTTTTAGTCCACTTTTGCCCGGATATATGAAAAAATCATTATATTGTTCATATATTTATAAATTATATAAAATATCATCTACATACGGATAATATTCTTCCTCCCCTGGACAATCTACATTTGTTTCTCTATGTGCTACTTTCCGCTATCCTCCTTCGAGCTCCTAAAAAGCACTCCAACAACATGTATTCATCACGGGATGAAGGTCGCACTCCTATGGTGGCGGTGTGTGTCAGATGTGGAATTAATGGGAAATGACCAAGTGGGAATTGAACGTGGGTATGTTTGGGAGGGAAGGCAATATGTGATGGAAGGCGAGTTCTGCCATAGCCTCTTTGTCTATAGAATTGGCTCAACGGATTTAGCTTACTAAATCGTGGAGCGGGAGCTAGAATGGGAGCGTAAGAGCGTATATTCTTCGAGAATTATAATTTGAGTGCGCCGAAAGAGCGTGAATATTATATTATTTTAATTGATATATGACTTAACTTAGTAACATGTTTCGGTCAAAATATTACAACAATGCAACGGGAAAATAAAAATAAAATCATTTTAGTAGGATAATAGCTTTAAATAATTTGATTAGACCCGAAAAAGGAACATACTTCAAAAGTTGAATAGAAACCCATCAAAGTTTATGATACTGTTTTTAGTTTATTTTTTTAAGGAAAAGAAAAATGAATGCATTGTTTATCCACCCCCATGCACTCAATTAGTTGTTAATAAAAGAGTCTATATCTTCTTCTTCCCCTTCGATTCTTTGTTTCCTAAAATGACGCTGGAGATCTCCTGTAGATGTTGTCGCAACCGTCCCTCTGGGGGGTCCGAATGTCGTCGCGTCGGCATTTTTTGGGAGTCGCCATCGATCTTATTTGGAGTGGATCGAACACTCTTCAAATCGGCTCTAACCTTAGTGTCAGAACCGAGGCATGGTCTGCGAAAATAAAGTTCTGGGTTCGGGAGTACGGTTACGTGCGGGGAAGTTAAGCAACACCCCCACAACGCCCTAAATCGGTACTACTTAAGTCGATAAGTTTTTATGCAAGTTGGGTGTATTTTAGTAACAATTTTGTAATCTTAGGGTCCCACTGGACCATTAAAAAAAATCGTATTAATGGTAATTTAATTGTACGTCCACTGACGTAAACGATAAAGTTAGTTGGTTAGTTGGACTCGAACCTTATCGGTTGCCTACATACCCGTAAGACGGGATCAAAGTCCACGTAGTTCGTTCGGACTTTGATAATTTAATTGTAGCTTTACCACGTTTCACTGAACGTAATTCTCGTAATAGGATTTTATCGTTAAATTTTAGATTGATTATTATTAGGATTTTAATTATTAGGATGTATCTTGGTGTATTAGAAAAAGAAATGAAACAAACTTAATCCGCATTTCACATTTCGTATTAGGGATTTTGAAGGAATAAAATTAAGCGGAATGGTTAAATTGACGGATGATGGGCCAGCAGCCCAACTGGCTGGCCTACTAATCGGTGCGTCTTTGCCCCGAGGACGCGGGTTCGAACCCCCTCCTGCAGAATTTATTTTTGGTTTCTCGTTTTAGTGTAGAGATGGGGGAGGGCAGCTTGGTAATTACTCAAAAGGACGGTGGCAAGGCCACGTAATTTGTTAGAAACCCTAAGGGCATTTTAGTATTTGTAATTAATGAGGTATATAAACCTCTCTAAGCAAACCCTAATCTATCCTAACCAAGAGGCGGCTGCCTCCACTCTCCCTCTCTCTCTCTCGGCCGATTCTCTCGTCCTCTCCAGAACCAACCAAAAACCCTAACCCCGATCCAAATCCGCCGCCGCTCTCGTCTCTCGTCCCTCATCTCTCTTCTTCGAACGAAACCGCCGCCATCTTCTTCTTCTTCCTTCCCTACCAGAGAATAAAAACCAAAAACCCTAGCCTAAATAAAACCTCAAACAGCCGCCATCATTCCCTAAACCACTCGCCTCGTCCGAGCTACGAGTACGACGAGGATGGCGACATGCGCCGCTGGTGGTGATAAAATCGAGTTTTGAAGGTTTGTTTCCTTTTGCATGTCCGTTTAATGGTTTTATTTGATATTTTCGGTTTGGATTCGTTTACGACCTTGTTTTGATTTTTTTTTTGTTTATCTTTGGGGTTCGACGAGGGGAGGAAAAGAGACGGCGGAAGGCGGCGACTGTGAGACGATGGTAGTCGGTGACGACGGTGACATGCGCCGCCAGCGATGGCAAGAGTAAGGTTCGTTTCCTTTTTGAACGATTTCTATTTGCTTTCAGACTCGATTTTCTAAGGTTTCATAGATCTGATTCCTTTTTTTTTTGTTTATTTCCGTAAAACTGAACCGAGGCCGAAATGGGACCCTCGATCTACCGTCCCCTTTTTCGATCTACTCTCTTTCGTAGAAACGATGAGGATGGTGAAGAGATCTCGGTAAGATATTGTTTGCATGTGGGATTTTGTTTGATTTTAGATTCAAAATTTAGGATCTGATATTTTATTTTGGTTTTTTTATTTATGCGAGGGTTTTGGTCGAGGAGAATGTAGCGTTGGCCGGCGAGGTTTCCCGGCGGCGATAGGCCGACGGCGACACAGGTAGTGTTTTTGTTTCGTTATATATATATATATATTAATTTAATATTCTTTCAATTAATTCTGACTTCTATTCTTGTATTGATGCAGGTAAAAGAACAGATCTAGGTAGGTCTCACTATAACTCTTTTAATTTGAGATTTAGAGATTTAAACTAGAAGGTGGATTTTACTATGATAGGTCTAGACTAGATGGGATCAAGTATGGGTATTGGAAAACAAGGCTGTTAACGAATTTGCTATCTGGAATTTTGTTTTTATTTTAATGTTTTAGATTAGTTGTGGCTATTGATATGCTTAGAGTTTGTGAAAAGAATTTCCTTTGATAGAAAACTAATTGACATGAACTAGAAATGCTAATTTTGACTAATAATAAATCACTTTTGCCTATGATTTTGCTGGAGATCGGACTAAATCATTGCTTGTGATTTTGATTGGATTGTTATTTTGGTTGATTTAAAAACTGGTTAGAGTTTGTGAATCTGAAATTTTATTGCGTTTATGGTGTTGTTTTCGTTAGTTCAAGATCTAGGTTGATCCATGGACTTCTAAAAAGTGATTTTTTATTGTAAAATAAATTTAGTATTTAGTTGTACTTTAATTCGCATATATATATGGCTACGGGTGTGGGAAATCAACATGGCAGAAAGTTAAAGTGAAGCATCCGATTTCACTCATGGTTAAGTTAAATTGGCATAATAATTATAGCATAGACAAAGCTAATAATACGATTGACAAAAAAAACAACTTGGATGAAGGAGCTTGAAGAAACTGATATGAGCAGATCTTTGGTAAATAGAGTGGAGCTTGTAAAATAAAAGTCTTGCATAAAAATGGGCAAGTAGATGGATGATTATAACGTCATTGGTATTGTAAACTAGATGAAATGACAGAAGATCGGATTAAGAAGATGAAACTAGAGTACTAATACCAACCTGTTTGGAGTTTCTATGGAGTCTTCTCCTTCAAACTTGTAAATCTGCTCCTCGATCTCGCAGTCCTTCCCCCGAATTTTTGCCTATGAGCAAGAATTGCAGAAGAGTGTTTGATCTCAAATTCTATTTCTGTAGGAGTGTTTTTTTGCTGCCTCCAAAATCGTCCCCCTTCAAAGAGCCTGAAGAGCTCACTTATACCAAACCAAACCACCACGTGTCACTACATGATTCGTCCATTTTTTTAATATGACTTTGAAGAGTGTGCCTGGTCGGCTGTGGACAGGATTTGGTTAGACCGATTTGGTCAAGGTCGGTTTATGGTTATACTTTTCGGACCGAACTGGTTAGGCTGAGTTGGGCTTTGGGTTTTGGGCCGGCTTGGGCTTGGGCTTAATCAGATCTGTAATTGGACTAACTGGTCTCTTCTCATTTTTTCAGGTATCTGGGCTTCGTTGATTGAAAAAGTTGGGCCAGTGGACCAGGTTCATGCCTCAAGGCCCAAGTGCTTCTCTTTTTGAAATTATATATGTACAAATCAGATTGCATAGCCCAAATTTTGTAGAGTTAGCATTAGTCATTTAATTTTTGCTTTATTCAGAGTACCCAAGTTGTACAATGTATCAACTTTGAATTTTTTATAATAAAGCTCATTCCGCTATTCAATTTGTCCCATTACCAATACCAGATCCAAATCCAACTCGAGCAACCAAATTTGCACTATAGTCATTTCTCCCTTCTAAATGAGAATTTATATTTAAGATTCGCCACTGCTAATCTTAACTTAAACTGATCCTATCTTAACTAACTATGCCCTAGAATCGACTAGGAGCAAATTTGATAATTGTTGATTCATATTGACTTGCAACTGCTAGTCTCAACCAAACTATCTTCAACTTCTATTTAAATATAATTGTAGTATGACGTGACAAAATTATTTTCAATAAAACAATTATCTCGGACAAAATGTGGTGTCTACAGTTGCCCCCCTTTGTATATCTCTTTGTATAAAGAGTTATACAAAGTGTCTATAAAGACATCACATTTTGTGAGAGTAGTCTCGATAGTTGTGTTAGAGTTTCAAGGAGAGTAGGGGTTTTTATTTTTTATGTGAGAATTGTTGTTAGTTTTGTGTGTTGGCATAAGATCGCCGATTAAGAGGGCTTCAATTCCTTTGATAGTCTTTGTCAATGATGGAGAATTTACGTTTTTATATAGCGTTCGCCAACGCGAGAAATTTTCTGATACTCATTATATTATATTTCTTTAACGCTTGCCAATTCCGGTTAGATATTTAATGATAGAGGCGCTTCTCAGCTCCCGTGAGTTGTTGAATGATAGAGGGGCTCGCCAGCTCCTTGTGAGATATTGCTTGGTAGTGACGCTTTTCAGCTCTTGTGAGGTATTGATTGGTAGGGGTGCTCCTCAGCTCCCGTGCATTGTTGGCTTGTAGAGGGGCTCGCCAGCTCCTGTGAGGTATTAATTTGGTAGGGGTGCTCCTCAGCTCCCGTGCGGTATTGAATGGTAGGGGCGCTCCTCAGCTCCCGTGCGTTGTTGACTGATAGAGGGGCTCGCCAGCTCATGTGAGGTATTGATTTGGTAGGGGTGCTCCTCAGCTCCCGTGAGGTATTGAATGGTAGGGGTGCTCCTCAGCTCCCTTGCGTTGTTGACTGATAGAGGGGCTCGCCAGCTCCTGTGAGGTATTGGTTTGGTAGGGGTGCTCCTCAGCTCCCGTGCGTTGTTGACTGATAGAGGGGCTCGCCAGCTCCTGTGAGGTATTGATTTGGTAGGGGTGCTCCTCAGCTCCCGTGAGGTATTGAATGGTAGGGGTGCTCCTCAGCTCCCTTGCGTTGTTAACTGATAGAGGGGCTCGCCAGCTCCTGTGAGGTATTGATTTGGTAGGGGTGCTCCTCAGCTCCCGTGAGGTATTGAATGGTAGGGGTGCTCCTCAGCTCCCTTGTGTTGTTAACTGATAGAGGGGCTCGCCAGCTCCTGTGAGGTATTGATTTGGTAGGGGTGCTCCTCAGCTCCCGTGAGGTATTGAATGGTAGGGGTGCTCCTCAGCTCCCTTGCGTTGTTGACTGATAGAGGGGCTCGCAAGCTCCTGTGAGGTATTGGTTTGGTAGGGGTGCTCCTCAGCTCCCGTGCGTTGTTGACTGATAGAGGGGCTCGCCAGCTCCTGTGAGGTATTGATTTGGTAGGGGTGCTCCTCAGCTCCCGTGAGGTATTGAATGGTAGGGGTGCTCCTCAGCTCCCTTGCGTTGTTGACTGATAGAGGGGCTCGCCAGCTCCTGTGAGGTATTGGTTTGGTAGGGGTGCTCCTCAGCTCCCGTGCGTTGTTGACTGATAGAGGGGCTCGCCAGCTCCTGTGAGGTTTTGAATGGTTGGGGCGCTCCTCAGCTCCCGTGAATTGTAGCTATGTGAGATGTTGACTTGTTCCCATGACTGTAGGGAAGACTTTGGAGTTTGGTTGCCTGGTGTGGTAAGCAAAGTGGATGCAGATTTATTCCCGTGGCGGTAGAGCAGACTTGGGATTTTGGTTGCCCCCTTGCGGTATGCAGAGTGGGTGAAGGTTTTTTTCTTTCGGTTACGGTAAGCTGACTCGGAAATTTGGTTGCCCCCTCGCGGTATGCGGAGTGGGGTTAGGTTTTCTACATTGTCCGTGATAGTCGACGAAATAAGTTTTAGAAGGAGGGATCTCATTTGCTCGTGAAAGCCGACGAAGCAAATTTACTTAGTTATCTAAACTGCCCGTGATAGTCGACGGAACATGTTTAGCAGAGGGTCTAATTTGCTTGTGATAGACGACAAAACAAATTGACTAGTTAGTTTCTAAATTGCCCGTGATAGTCGACGGAACAAGTTTAGCAGGGGATCCAATTTGTTCGTGATAGTCGACGAAACAAATTGACTAGGTAATTTTTGAATTGTCCGTGATAGTCGACGGAACAATTTAAAAAGATGGTCTAATTTGCTCGTGATAGTCGACGAAACAAATTGTCTAGGATTTCTACCTTGTCCGTGATAGTCGACGGAACAATCTTAGCAGGGGATCCAATTTGTTCGTGATAGTCGACGAAACAAATTGACTTGGTTTTCTAAACTGGCCGTGATAGCCGACGGAACAACTTCGGAAGGAGGTTTTAAATTTGCTCGTGATAGCCGACGAAGCAAATTGACAAGGTAATTTTTGCCTTGCCCGTGATAGTCGACGGAACAAGTTTAGCAAGGGTCTAATTTGCTTGTGATAGACGACGAAACAAATTGACTAGGTTTTTTTAATTGCCCGTGATAGTCGACTGAACACATCACAAAGATTATCTAATTTGCTCGTGATAGTCGACGAAACAAATTGACTAGGTAGTTTTTGTAATGTCCGTGATAGTCGACGGAACACGTCTATTAGAGGGCTCGCGATTGTTCGCCCGCACCGATATCGTATGTTCATGGTATTTTCTTAGGACGTTCCTAAACCGTTGTTATGACTTGTCATAAATGCACGTCAAAGCTAAACATGAGACTTGAAGAATTCACGTGAATGTAGTTGTTGTATCTTGTAGCGATTCCTTTTTACAAACATCGGAAATCCAACTAAATGTATGAGTTATTTTGGGAATTGTTGGCAATAAATGCATGACCCATTTTAACATATGATGTTGTTTAAGGAGTATCAAAATGATTTTCGAAATTGATGGCGTGATGAATCATGCCGATGAAGTCGTGAATGTTGAGTGAAAAGAAGATGTGATGCATTTGATAATCTCTATGCAATTTTTGCCTGGGTCTCCTTTAAATTGCTCATCTTCGAAGATTGTCAATCCCTTTCGATCAACTTGATCCATAGTTCGTGCTAATGCTGAAGCGATTTTGAACTTGTTGTCCTGAGGTATATCTTCTTGGTGGTAGTTGCACGAAGATATACTTTGTGAGCTAAGCTAATGATGTGTTTTATCTATGTTCTTCTTGTGGGTCAAGTTTGGACCCACATATTTCGGAGTTGCGCATATCTTGGTATGTGCAGTATATTGGTTCCCTCTCCTTCCGACCCTGAAGTTTAAGGATAATAAGTTGGATGGTTGGTTTAATGAGATTTGAATGTTCTCAAATCCCTTGAGATTTCTTCATCAGCTCATGAGTGAAGTTGAATAATCTGATTCTTGGGTACTCAGACTTCCCCTTCTTCCATACTGCACCGTTTTTGCCCCCCCAAAGATCTGTTGCTCACTTTCTATTCTCCAGAACAAAGAGTGACTTTATCAATCTTGACTTAAGATGAATGCAACAATGTTTGAAAATGTTTATTGGAGAATTAATAATGAAAGCCATATTAAGACTTGCTTTCGTGAAGTGTGTGCAAATTGGATAAGATCGTTTTTGCGTGGTAGTTGCCATGTGGTCAAATTTGATTTTTTCAAATAAAGAAGTGTAAGTCAAGCCATGAGAATATCAGTAAGCCCTCACTCTCACTCTTGCTTTTGATTTTGCTCGCTCTCACTCCCGCTTTGTATTTCTCTCATCACTCAATCCTATAGGTGATTTGAGTGTACGACACTTCAGCTACCATTAAGATTCTAGTCACCTTGTGACGTCGCTTTTATGTGGTGTCCAACTGCGTTTCTTGTGAAGATTTACTTAATGTGGAAGCCTTTGATGCAATTGATTTAGAAGATCACCATATGGTTCACCGCAGACGTTTTGATCTCCCATAAAAGAGGCTTCTTGCTCTTGAAGTGTGGTTTATTCAGATGGGTGACAGATAAGTCAGATTTTGGTATTACCCCTAAGGCTTCTTGTAGAGGGATTCTGGTTTTGCCCCCAATGTATGGGATTGACATGATGGGTTGAGAACTACTACTATCCCGGACTTTTTTTCGGCGAAGATTTGTTTGAAAATGTCGCCAGTCTTGAACATATTTGGGGGAATGTGTGTTTGGCTGGCTTTGCCCCCTGTCTTTGAGATTATGGTTTCAAGAGTCGTGGTTTTGAAGTTTTTGCGAATGTAATCTGGTTATGGACTTGTCAAGGTTTTTGTTTGACCTCTAAATGTGGGTTGTGGTGGAGCTTCAGCTTCTGACTTGCTCTCAAAATGATGAATATCTGGGACGAAGTGATTTTGGCCGAAAAGGCTTTCTTATCATGGAAGGTCTTGGCTTGAGGTCATTATATTTTCCTTGTAAGACCTTGACTTGATGCATGCGGTTGATACTTCAAATGCTTAATTAGGGGCACCTAATTAGTAAGTCCCACAAAATATTTCTTTTTTTTTCCAGCTTTTTTCTTCGTGCGGGACTTACTTGGCTATGGTATGCCCACATATGTGCTTCTCATTTTCCTTGATCTAGAATTTATCTTTGGTAGGAGTAGTATCGAAAAGTGGAGAGTTTGTCTTGATGATTGATAATGTGGGTGCCTCTTCTCGTTGGCTAGGTTGAATAGACTATTCTTTTTTCTGTACAAGCGAGGATTCTGACGCAATGTGCTTGTTTGTATATATGAGTGCTTCACTCGTGAGACTCTGAGAGGGTTTTCTTGCTATTATAGAAATGTTTGGCTCCATGTGCATCGGGGTTTGGCTATTTGACTTCACGTAAACTGAGCCTCAATTTGGTGGTGAAAGTCGACTATAATGGTGACGAGATTCTACAAGTAGCATGATGTCGTATACTCATTACACCTTTTGACTATTCATGGTCACCAGTAGGGTGTTTATCTCTCGATTTTAGCAAAACACGTACACTCATAACACCAGTGGTGTTCAAATTATTGACAGTAGCATGGTGTTTATAATCACTTGACACCAGTGGGGTGTCCCAAATCTCAGCACCAGTGGGGTACTCACATTTTTTGGCATGAAAATCTCATGGCTTTAGCTTGAAAATAAAACTGGATTTTGATGGCTTTCATTTTTTAGAAAATAAATTCGTTTTTTCTTAAGATCGGAAGTGGCATTTGTTATTTTGAAAAAAAAAATCATTGATGCGAACTCTTAAATTAAGATTGACACTGTTCACTTGATGCTCCAAAGAGGTCGAAACGCGAAAGACCTTTTATTCATGACGGTGAAAGCAAAAGTGATACATATTTTGTTATGGAAAATTATCTCGATAGTTCATTTATTAGATAGGATCAACATCATCCTTGAATCGAGCTTTGCCTTGTAGTTCATCCACTAATTCTCGTGAGTTGGTAGTGGATTCTTGTTGACGTCTGGACGTTTTGGCTCTTCTTCGAACTTCAACCAACCAGCTTTCATTATTTGTTGGACTTTGATCTTGAACATTCGACAATCTTCAGTTGAGTGTCCCGCGACTCCTGAGTGGTAAGCACAGTGTTGATCTGACCTGTACCAATTTGGATAAGGAGGTTTCATTGGTTCACATGGTATTGGGGAAATTAGGTGACTCTGAATTAGTTGGGGGAGAAGTTCAGTGTATGTAATGGGGATAGGGTCGATTTGGAAAGGTTTTTTGTATTTCCCGGAATTGTTCTGGTCTTGGTTATTTGGTGGTGCAACTTGTGTCGGGCCTTGGATCGTTCGTTGAGTTTGAAAAACTGGACGTTGATTAATTATGGCAAGGTTTGCAACATGGGGACGCGCTTGATTGGCCTGAGGTAGATGATCCCACCTTCTCCCTCTTGATGATTCTGTTTGAGTATAATGGACTTCTGCTTCTCCCCTTCGGGATTGGTGCGGTTTCTTAGAGGCTTCTGGGATTTCCATTTTTCCTAGCTTAATCCCCTTCCCTATTCGTTCTCCAATTACTAACAAATCAGCAAAGTTTGTTGTAGTGATTCCTACCATGTTGTTGTAATATGGAGGCTTTAGTGTTTCGAAGAAGGTCGAAACCATTTCTTTTTCTGACAACGGGGGTTGAACATCTGCGGCCTTTCCTCGCCACCTCTGTGCATATTCACGGAAAGATTCATTTTCTTGCTTTTCCATGTTACGTAAATCTTCTCGGTCAGGAGCTAGATCTTGGTTGTGCTTGTAATGTCTTATGAACGCATCAGCTAAATCTTGCCACCTCTTCACCTTCGATCTTTCGAGTTGCATATACCATCTTAGCGCCGAACCACTTAGGCTATTCTGGAAGCAGTGTATCATGAGTTTGTCATCTCTAATGTGGTTAGCCATTTTGTTGCAATACATGATCAGATGGTTTCTGGGGCACGTGGTACTGTCATACTTTTCAAACTCTGGAATTTTAAATTTATTGGGAATTATTACGTCTAGCACTAGGCACAATTGTGTGGCATCTGTAGAACCATAGGATTCTACCCCCTCAATTGCTCTAACCCTTTCATCCAGGTATTCCCATTTTTCTTTTAATAGGACGTCGTCCATGGCTTCTTCCAATTTGTCTTCCTCTCGATCATGTATTGGAGATCCCATGTTCTTCTTTTCAAATACGTCTTTTGAGGGTATGACGGGGATCTTGGCACTAGAAGCTTCACCCTTCATGTTCCCATCGCGATCTTCTTCATCAGAGTGTATTTCTCCATCGTTGGATACTACCCCTTTCCCTTTAGCTGATAAGATATTTACTATCATATTCAGTTGATCCTTCATTTCATCGAACCCGGCTAGCTTTTCATCGAATCCGGTTATCTTTCCTTCAATGTCGCTTAACTTTTTCTGGAACACTTCCATGACGAACTCGAGCTTGGATCTAGTTAAGTACTTGAAGTCCTGACTTTTTCCTTGTGGACGAGCAATTTTAAGGAAACCTGATTTTGTCTCAACAGTGTTAAATTAATTTTGTTCTTTATATTTATGCATGATGCTTATGCAAAAATGCAATGATGTATGAATGCAAAATCATTTTTCATCTCATGCATGCATTTTTAAGCTTCTTATGATAAAATTGTGAATGGGTGAATGAAAATCTTATGAGAGAACAATGTTTATGAATTTTCAAAACGTTTTTCATTAATGCAATCACACAGTTTTACGAGTAAAAGATAAAACGCACATCATTACATCGTAATCAAACATAGATCTGGATAAGCAAACACATATCATTACATCATTACCCTAATTAGGTAGACATAGGGCTTTCGAACGGCGTAACGACACGGTTTCAGGGTGTCTTTGGGGATTGTTTTGGACGGTTTAGGGAGGCCTCTATGCTTACTATATGCTGGCAGAGAAATTCCTAGGGATTTGGTTCCCAAGTTGTATCCTGCCGTAGCCCTTTCGAACTGGCTAGATACCTCGAGATCATCCTCGGATCCGAGTTCAACTTGGTTAGAAAGTTTTGCGTGACTACCACTACTGTGGATGTCACGGTACTCCTTTCAATTTTCTAAAAGGATAGCTCGGGTATAGAGCTTTTATGCATGAATGCATAATTTAATTGCGAAAATATAATTGCGCAAATAATAAAGTAAACACCCAACACGTAATAGGAAGTTAGAAAAACTTATCAAACTTAATTATGTAGCTCGACTCTCTAATAGTCCCCAGCGGAGTCGCCAACTGTCGCAACCGTCCCTCTGGGGGGTCCGAATGTCGTCGCGTCGGCATTTTTTGGGAGTCGCCATCGATCTTATTTGGAGTGGATCGAACACTCTTCAAATCGGCTCTAACCTTAGTGTCAGAACCGAGGCATGGTCTGCGAAAATAAAGTTCTGGGTTCGGGAGTACGGTTACGTGCGGGGAAGTTAAGCAACACCCCCACAACGCCCTAAATCGGTACTACTTAAGTCGATAAGTTTTTATGCAAGTTGGGTGTATTTTAGTAACAATTTTGTAATCTTAGGGTCCCACTGGACCATTAAAAAAAAATTAAATCGTATTAATGGTAATTTAATTGTACGTCCACTGACGTAAACGATAAAGTTAGTTGGTTAGTTGGACTCGAACCTTATCGGTTGCCTACGTACCCGTAAGACGGGATCAAAGTCCACGTAGTTCGTTCGGACTTTGATAATTTAATTGTAGCTTTACCACGTTTCACTGAACGTAATTCTCGTAATAGGATTTTATCGTTAAATTTTAGATTGATTATTATTAGGATTTTAATTATTAGGATGTATCTTGGTGTATTAGAAAAAGAAATGAAACAAACTTAATCCGCATTTCACATTTCGTATTAGGGATTTTGAAGGAATAAAATTAAGCGGAATGGTTAAATTGACGGATGATGGGCCAGCAGCCCAACTGGCTGGCCTACTAATCGGTGCGTCTTTGCCCCGAGGACGCGGGTTCGAACCCCCTCCTGCAGAATTTATTTTTGGTTTCTCGTTTTAGTGTAGAGATGGGGGGAGGGCAGCTTGGTAATTACTCAAAAGGACGGTGGCAAGGCCACGTAATTTGTTAGAAACCCTAAGGGCATTTTAGTATTTGTAATTAATGAGGTATATAAACCTCTCTAAGCAAACCCTAATCTATCCTAACCAAGAGGCGGCTGCCTCCACTCTCCCTCTCTCTCTCTCGGCCGATTCTCTCGTCCTCTCCAGAACCAACCAAAAACCCTAACCCCGATCCAAATCCGCCGCCGCTCTCGTCTCTCGTCCCTCATCTCTCTTCTTCGAACGAAACCGCCGCCATCTTCTTCTTCTTCCTTCCCTACCAGAGAATAAAAACCAAAAACCCTAGCCTAAATAAAACCTCAAACAGCCGCCATCATTCCCTAAACCACTCGCCTCGTCCGAGCTACGAGGACGACGAGGATGGCGACATGCGCCGATGGTGGTGATAAAATCGAGTTTTGAAGGTTTGTTTCCTTTTGCATGTCCGTTTAATGGTTTTATTTGATATTTTCGGTTTGGATTCGTTTACGACCTTGTTTTGATTTTTTTTTTTGTTTATCTTTGGGGTTCGACGAGGGGAGGAAAAGAGACGGCGGAAGGCGGCGACTGTGAGACGATGGTAGTCGGTGACGACGGTGACATGCGCCGCCAGCGATGGCAAGAGTAAGGTTCGTTTCCTTTTTGAACGATTTCTATTTGCTTTCAGACTCGATTTTCTAAGGTTTCATAGATCTGATTCCTTTTTTTTTTTGTTTATTTCCGTAAAACTGAACCGAGGCCGAAATGGGACCCTCGATCTACCGTCCCCTTTTTCGATCTACTCTCTTTCGTAGAAACGATGAGGATGGTGAAGAGATCTCGGTAAGATATTGTTTGCATGTGGGATTTTGTTTGATTTTAGATTCAAAATTTAGGATCTGATATTTTATTTTGGTTTTTTTATTTATGCGAGGGTTTTGGTCGAGGAGAATGTAGCGTTGGCCGGCGAGGTTTCCCGGCGGCGATAGGCCGACGGCGACACAGGTAGGGTTTTTGTTTCGTTATATATATATATACATATATTTTTTAATTTAATATTCTTTCAATTAATTCTGACTTCTATTCTTGTATTGATGCAGGTAAAAGAACAGATCTAGGTAGGTCTCACTATAACTCTTTTAATTTGAGATTTAGAGATTTAAACTAGAAGGTGGATTTTACTATGATAGGTCTAGACTAGATGGGATCAAGTATGGGTATTGGAAAACAAGGCTGTTAACGAATTTGGCTATCTGGAATTTTGTTTTTATTTTAATGTTTTAGATTAGTTGTGGCTATTGATATGCTTAGAGTTTGTGAAAAGAATTTCCTTTGATAGAAAACTAATTGACATGAACTAGAAATGCTAATTTTGACTAATAATAAATCACTTTTGCCTATGATTTTGCTGGAGATCGGACTAAATCATTGCTTGTGATTTTGATTGGATTGTTATTTTGGTTGATTTAAAAACTGGTTAGAGTTTGTGAATCTGAAATTTTATTGCGTTATGGTGTTGTTTTCGTTAGTTCAAGATCTAGGTTGATCCATGGACTTCTAAAAAGTGATTTTTTATTGTAAAATAAATTTAGTATTTAGTTGTACTTTAATTCGCATATATATATGGCTACGGGTGTGGGAAATCAACATGGCAGAAAGTTAAAGTGAAGCATCCGATTTCACTCATGGTTAAGTTAAATTGGCATAATAATTATAGCATAGACAAAGCTAATAATACGATTGACAAAAAAAACAACTTGGATGAAGGAGCTTGAAGAAACTGATATGAGCAGATCTTTGGTAAATAGAGTGGAGCTTGTAAAATAAAAGTCTTGCATAAAAATGGGCAAGTAGATGGATGATTATAACGTCATTGGTATTGTAAACTAGATGAAATGACAGAAGATCGGATTAAGAAGATGAAACTAGAGTACTAATACCAACCTGTTTGGAGTTTCTATGGAGTCTTCTCCTTCAAACTTGTAAATCTGCTCCTCGATCTCGCAGTCCTTCCCCCGAATTTTTGCCTATGAGCAAGAATTGCAGAAGAGTGTTTGATCTCAAATTCTATTTCTGTAGGAGTGTTTTTTTGCTGCCTCCAAAATCGTCCCCCTTCAAAGAGCCTGAAGAGCTCACTTATACCAAACCAAACCACCACGTGTCACTACATGATTCGTCCATTTTTTTAATATGACTTTGAAGAGTGTGCCTGGTCGGCTGTGGACAGGATTTGGTTAGACCGATTTGGTCAAGGTCGGTTTATGGTTATACTTTTCGGACCGAACTGGTTAGGCTGAGTTGGGCTTTGGGTTTTGGGCCGGCTTGGGCTTGGGCTTAATCAGATCTGTAATTGGACTAACTGGTCTCTTCTCATTTTTTCAGGTATCTGGGCTTCGTTGATTGAAAAAGTTGGGCCAGTGGACCAGGTTCATGCCTCAAGGCCCAAGTGCTTCTCTTTTTGAAATTATATATGTACAAATCAAATTGCATAGCCCAAATTTTGTAGAGTTAGCATTAGTCATTTAATTTTTGCTTTATTCAGAGTACCCAAGTTGAACAATGTATCAACTTTGAATTTTTTATAATAAAGCTCATTCCGCTATTCAATTTGTCCCATTACCAATACCAGATCCAAATCCAACTCGAGCAACCAAATTTGCACTATAGTCATTTCTCCCTTCTAAATGAGAATTTATATTTAAGATTCACCACTGCTAATCTTAACTTAAACTGATCCTATCTTAACTAACTATGCCCTAGAATCGACTAGGAGCAAATTTGATAATTGTTGATTCATATTGACTTGCAACTGCTAGTCTCAACCAAACTATCTTCAACTTCTATTTAAATATAATTGTAGTATGACGTGACAAAATTATTTTCAATAAAACAATTATCTCGGACAAAATGTGGTGTCTACAGATGTACCAAATTGGCAAATTCTATATCATCAGTCATCTAACTATCCTCCTATAATTTTATTTATCCCCAAACCCGTGATTTGATGATCTATTTCACAGTGCCCATTCACGAACTCGTGGTGTATCCTTTTCGTCTTTGCTCTCTAGATCTCTGACGGCACCGCATGTATTCCTTTCTCCCACGAAGAAGCGGGTCATCGTCTTCGAGCCAAAGCTGTTGATTTGGCTATAACTTGTTTCATTTTGCTTTGTTCATAGAGATAAAAATCTCTCTAATAAGTGATCTATGAAATATAATTTATGAACTTTGATTTTCGATGCTCTGATTTTTAGTTTGAGCTACAATTTTTGGGTTTTGGAAGTTTGTAGTTTCTGTAAAATAATTGTGAAGCAAAAATATCATTCGTACTTTCGCTCTCGTTGTAGGAAATTTGAAATGAGACAACAATTTTCTCATTTTTGTATTATATATTGTGTAATGTGTAGAGTGTATATAAAGACATGTCCTTTCCCCACAAATTCATTAGCACATTAAGAAATGGTGAAAATGAACAAACTTATTAAAATCCTAATGATTGTTGGATCCAATCATGTCAAAATAAGAAGAGGTTTAAAATTGGACGGTTAGTCGAACTAAAATGTTCAAAGAAACAGTCTCATATAGTTTACACAAAGATAAGAATACAATTGTCTCATTGTAGATCTAAAAATTTATACTAATTTAAGAGTTATACATCACTTTTACATATCCAATACTGCAATTCGATATGGAATATTCGAACCAATGATATTTGGGCCACGATTTTAAAGTTATACCCTGTACATAATTTTTATAGGAATTTAATTAAATATTAAACAATAATTAAAATGAGGAATTTGACCTCTGTTAGTCACACAAAGTTTCAACACAAATGCATGTTTCTCTAATAATTTTTGCTTCTTATTTGTATGAGATGAGGTCGGCTGGCTCTATGACTGTGCAGCTTGAGAAAAATGAAATTTACTATTGCGGAATTATGATGACTTTTGATGTGGTTGGGTCTTGTATCGTAGGCTCTTGAATCTAAAGCAAGAAGAAGAGACGATGGGATAGCCGAACATGGTCTGTGATGTTTCATGTTGAAGTGGCCCGGTGCTCGAATCAGTTGGTTAAATCGGTCTGATTTCCCGCTAAGATAAACTTGACTTTGACCGAGCCTGAATAGACAACCAAGTGGGCCTTCGGCACCCGCCGAGATACTCATGTTTAGATAGAATTGGTTTGACCAACAGAGTCATACTCGAATTGACAATCATGGTTATGACTCTTGTACGTGTTTGAAGATACATGAGTTCAAATTTCAATACTTGTTTATTTTCTATACAAAATAAAAATAAATAATGGTGAAGACAAAAATGTCATTCATACTTTTGCTCTCGTTGTAGATAATTTGAAATGGGAGAGAATTTTATCATGCCAGTAATATATGTTGTGTAGAGTGTATATGTAGACATGTCCTTGCTCTACAAATTCACTTTAATACATAAAAAAAAGCGTGGACCAAGAAATCGGATAGTACTGGCCAGTTGAACTGGTAAAACCGAAAACCGGACCATGTACGATACGGTAGGTGGTTTGTGGCCAGAATATCGCGTCGGTCGGTTTATCCAGTTTAAACGGCACAATACGAAATACCGCCCGGTTTTGGTCTAACCGGGGGTAGGCTTTTGGGGAGGGAACGTCGTCATTTTTTGAACCAAATTAAAAAATAAATCGGCCGAAGGACAAAATTGAAAACCCTAATCTCTAGGGCAAATCGACTGAAACGAAAAAACAGGAGCACTCTGTTCTTTCTTCCCAGCGGCTGCCGACCAGGGAACCCCCGTCACTCCTCTTCTCCTATGGCAACCGGCGACCAGGAACCGCCGAGCCGTGACCAGCAACCCGCGACCAGCAGCGAGGCGACCCACGATCCCTGCTTTACTCCGCTCCAGCGACCGCCGACCTGACTGGCGACCAGCGATCCCTGCTCCGCTCCGCTCCTCCTCTCCGCTCCTCCTCAGATGGCGCGCCTCTCCCTCCCCTTCTCAAGAAGGCGTCGCGTAGGATAGAGACTTCTGACTGCTCAAGAACGCGACAGGCATAGGTAAGAAAAAATTAGAGAGTTTTTGGAAAAAATAGACTGCTCAAGAACGCCTGGGAGACTGCTCAAGAACGCTGAGTTTTTTTATCAGAGATGTTTTAACTTATTTGAAGTATAATGCTGAGTTTTTTGTTTCCAATGTTCTGCCATTTATTCTAATGAGAATTTTGGTTGTTTTGGCAACAATGACCAGTGGAGAAGAAGCCCGAAGGTTACCGTAAAGGGTGTACGAAGCAAAAGTGATCCAATTTGGGCTCATTGTTCCTTGCATCAGGATGGAAAAGTGGAGGTACTCACTTGTCTCTATTGTCAAAAAAAAATTTAGAGGCGGAGGAATCACTAGAATGAAAAACATCTAGCTGGTGTTAGTGGGGATAATGCAATATGCTCAATGGTTCCTCCTAAGGTGAGCGAAAATATGAATAAGCTTTTGACTACTTATGAAACTAGTAAGAAGAAATCTGAACTTGTTAAAACTAGATTTAAAGAACCTCGTTATACAAATTCTTCAAGTGCACAAGATGATGGAAATAGTGCTAGAATGAAAAAAACATCTAGCTGGCGTTAGTGGGGATAATGCAATATGCTCAATGGTTCCTCCTGAGGTGAGAGAAAACATGAATAAGCTCTTGACTACTTATGAAACTAGTCAGAAGAAATATGAAGTTGTCAAAACTAGATTTAAAGAACCTCGTGATACAAATTCTTCAAGTGCACAAGATGATGGTAATAGTGCTAAAAGAGTTGCTCCTAATGTGTCTACGGGTTCGATTGACACTTTCTTTGCTCCACGTTCATCTTCCGGTAGTCAACCGGGAATAAAGAGTGCCTTAGCAACTAAAGAAGTTGTATTATATGTGGATCGAGCATGGGCTAGCTGGTTCTATGATGCACGTGTTCCTTTAGAAGCAATTAAATCTCCACAATTTAAAATAGCATTGGATGTTTCTATGACTCTTGGTCCTGGACTCGTGGTTATGGTGGTCCTACATATTATGCTTTGAGGTTTACTTTGTTGGATAGCATTGTAAAAGAATGTCAGCTATTGATTGAGAATTTGAGATCTCATTGGAAGGAATCTGGATGCACTATTATGGCGGATGGTTGGACGGATAATAGGCGTAGATCCTTAATCAATTTTCTTGTTTATTCTCCTGATGGAACATGCTTTGTGAAGTCCATTGATGCTTCTGGTTTGGTCAATAGTAGAAGAAACTTGTTTAAGTTATTCTGTGAGGTCATTGATTGGGTTGGAGCTGAGAATCTTGTTCATCTGGTGACCGATAATGCATCCAACTATAAATTAGCAAGGACAATGATACATGAGCATTATGGTCATATATATTGGACTCCTTGTGTTGCTCATACCCTTAACTTGATCTAAGTGACATTGGATCTATGTCTCATGTTAAGAAGCTTGCATATCGAGCTACCAAGGTCTCAAAATTTGTTTACAATCATGGTCCAATTTATTTATGGTTGAAGACAAAGGAGAATTGGAAAGAAATAGTGAGACCTGGTGCTACTAGATTTGCTACTACATTTATGGGTTTGCAAAGTACTTTTGAGCACATGCATGATTTGGAGGAACTGGTGATTAGTGAGTTCTTTAGAGAAATTTATCTTTCAAGTACTAAGGATGGAAAGGATGTGAAGGCAATTGTACTCGATCACCAGTTTTGGGTTAATTGTGACTTCATTGTTAAGTTGACAGCTCCAATTGTTAAGTTGCTTTAAGTTATGGATTCAGATAGTAAACCAGCAATGGGGTATGCGTATGATGGGATGGCTAGGGTGTCAAATGCTATTATGAATGTTTGTGGAGATAAGGCGAAGATGTACAAACCATACATGGATATCGTTATTAGGAGATGGGATAAGTACTTGAGCCGTGATTTGTTTATGGCAGCTCACTATCTTAATCTGGCTATGAAGTATGTTGATGATTGGACATAATATAGGGCGGTTACATTTGGACTTCTTAATCTTCTTGAGAACTCGTCTTTATGTCCTGATAATAGTGTGGTGGTGGCGGAGATGAATTTGTATGCTGAAAGGTCGGGAAACTTTGGGAGGAAGATGACAATAGATTCTGTACAGAAACAACAACCAGGTAATTGATATCACTTGCATTGAAGTTCTTCTATTTATTACAATATTTAAGAAACTAACACCTATGTTTTATATGTAGATAAGTGGTGGAAATGGTTTGACATTGATGCTCCAAATATTCATAAGTTGGCTATTCGAATTCTTAGCCAAACTGCTTCTTCTGGTTGTGAACGTAATTGGAGTGTCTTTGAACGTGTGCATACCAAAAGAAGAAACAAATTGCAGCATAAAGTGCTTAGTAACTTGGTGTTTGTGAATTACAACTTGAGATTACAGAATATGTAATGATTTGAATTATAGAACTTGTGTTGAATTCATACTTTATAGGCTTATTATTGAATTGAATTATTTTATGTTTTCTACTTTGATTAGGGAGTATTATACCAAGAACAACAAAGAATCATATGATCCAATAAGCCTTGAAAGCATTGATTCTACTGTTACTAGTCACTGGTTGTCAGAAGGGGAAGAAGGTTCATCTTCTAGGGAAAAGGAATTGGATATTGATGAGCTGGATCGAGCTTTAGAAGATGAAGGTTTGTTTGTAAATCAATTATGTATGATATGAATTCTAATATTAATAAATGGTTTTGAACCAACGTCATATCAAACTAAATCTCATCTTATGATTATTGGATCCATGTCAAATTAGCAAAAGGTCTAAGGCTATTGGTCAACCAGGCTGAAAATTAATACTAGTTTAAGAATTATATATCGCTTCCAAAATGTTCAATACTTCAATTCAATATGCAATATTCAATATCCAAATAAATTATATATGAGTTTAAACCCTTTCTCAAAAAAGTTAGACTAAAAAATCCCCCCCCCCCCCAACACGCACATTTGCAAAGAAATACTAAATTCCAATTTTTCTTCACTTTACTTACTTCAAAAGTTATTGTTGACGTTGTTTGTTATTACTGCAAGTTGTAAAAAAGACTTTTCAGCTATTAAGTTAATCAAGAATGATTTTATAAATAAATTTTTAATTGTATACATTGAAAAAGGATTAAGTCTCAAAATAAACAATGAATGTATTTTATAAACCTTTTAGAACATGAGACGTCACACATTGATGTGAGAAACTACTCATTAATTCAAATTTTATTGTGTTATTTTTAAAATATTTTATTTTATTTTTATCAAATGACGCATTTCTCCATAAAACATGAGTTCAACAATATAGACTGTATGGTGCTCGCACTTGTGCGCGAGTCCTTGAAGTTTAAGTCTCGTACGACTCATGAAGCATTTATGCTTGCACATGGCCGATCCATATACATTGTCTTCATGGTATGCTCTAACTGTGTCATGCTAGCTCGTCCATGTGCCTAGGTATAGTTATATGCATTGTAATAATTAAGTTTCTACCTATTCACAACACCAAGATAAAAACAATCATAAATGGATCCAGTAGTCGATTTTGACTACCTGATGAAATATTACATTTGAATAAACTACAACTGATGTCACAAATAATAATTATACCTCTAAATCATACATAAAATATTTCAAACATCACAAATATCAAGATTAAATTAAATATTATAAAGAATAAAAATTGTATAGTGAGGTTAATTATAACTCATTTATATGTTAATGGCCTATAAATTGATCAACACATCCGATCCAAAACTGACGAAATGAACATCACATTAAACTCGATATCATCTCATTATTGTCGGGTCCATTCATGCCCGATTAGCAAGAGTTTAACGTTCAGCAGTTAACCAGGCTAAAATTTTAGAGCACCAGTCACCTATGGTTTCTACAAAATATTATTGTTTTGTATTAGTTCTGAAAGTTCATATTAATTTACAGAATTCTACATCCCTTTTGCATATTCAATACTGCATTTCGATATGCAATATTTCAAGTAATGAAATTTGTGTTGCAATTTTAAGATTACCTGTCATTTTATAGGTTATAAAAATTATAAATCGCATATTAAATTTCGCTTTTCAGAAGATTTAATAGGCTAGCTAACCGTGAAAAGTCCTCTGCTTTTCAAATCTTCGCTTAGTGCATGTTTACAATTTATGAAGATAAAATAAATTTGTTTAGTATAATTGATTGTGATTATTGTTTTGTTTGAAGAGACCATGGTTCAAATCTTGATATTTATACTTTTTCATGTGAAGTAGATAATAATTGTGATGACAAAAATACTCTTCCTACTTTCACTCTTGTTTCATGAAATTTGAACAGAAAATCTTAAAACATTGAATATATCTTATAGAAAGAGCTTCTTCAACCAAGTAGGAAAAATATTTTACCTGAAATTATTATATCTTATAGAAAGTGATAATTGTGAAATCGAAACTCAAGTAACATTGATTCAAATATTAAATAATAAATTGTATGTGTGGTTCAGTTTAGACAAAATACATGTGTAGCCAAAACATGGATATTTGTGACAAATATAATAATTTTTTTTCACAAATCTACACATAATATAAAGATATATTGGGCACTATGACAAAAAGAGCTTCATAGAATCATTCACAAACCACGAAATTTGAAATGAGACTCACATTTTCCAATTTTATCATTATATTATGTATAGATGTGTCACAAAAAAATGAGTATACTCGTCACAAAGGTCCATGTTTTGATTATACTTCTGTATTTTGTCTGAACTAAACAACACATACAATTTAATATTAATGTTTGAATCAATACTACTTGAGTTTCGATTTCAGAACTAATATCTATCTATAAAATATAAATAACTTAAAATAAAATATAAATATAGAAGCATCATCAGCAAACATATTCCTAGAGTTCAATTAAAGAAATAGAAATAAATCAAATGTAGCCTAGTTGGTTATAATGCTATTTCTTCAATCAAATGACCAAAGTTCGAACTCCAATGATAACTTTTTTAATATATAAATTTGAACTGGGTGCAATGACAAAAAGAACTTCCTAGAATTACTCTCAGGCCACGAAATTTGAAATCGGAGAATTCCAATTCATGTTTTGCCTTTATGTATTGTGTAGATAATTCCATTGTTATAAGAACTGAACCGGATCAACAGTCGGACCAGTAGAACTGTCCAACCAGTTACGATAGCAGTCCGACTCATTGCTTGGATGGTTATTAATGGACCAAACGGTTTTTCATGGTTCAACATAAAATCAGATGAACCACCACGGTTTAACTGGTCCACCGGTTCACTATTTTAGCAAAAAAGGTTTTAAAAAAAATACTTTAACATAAACTAAGACCATCAAATCATAATTATTAATTTTATATATGCTTCCTCTTCTCATTCCCGCCTTGTTGTCGACTTTACGTTGTCCACTACCGACTGACGCCGTAAATTTTAATTTGTATAAAAATATATTAATTCTTTATGTTAGATGGTTTGAATGATTTATTAGATATTTTGGTGATGATATGAATTTGAAATTGTTTATGATCAACAATAATTTCATTCTTAAATTAGTGTAATATACAAATTTTATATGTTACATATCATGAACAGTTCTATCAATGGTTCACTAACGATTTTGTAACGGTTAACCACTGAACCCTAAACCACTAACTTTCCAGTTCAGTCTCCGGTCCGGTTATGAAAACAAAGCATAATTCATTACGAACACTGATATTCATACAAACATAAAAAAGATAGTTACAGATAACCATCGATTTATCCAAAATTCAATCAATAAATAACATAAAGTTCAAAACCGTGGAGACAAAACAGGGCGGTAATTGGGTGTGATGGAAGGCCCTTCGGCACATGGTCCCTGATAATTAGGGGACCTCCACCTAGGCTCGTTAGTTAATCCAGTCATGTATTATAGGGTGTGTTTTTGGTGTATGATGAATTGATAACTATAATTTGAACCTTTTATATCAACCATACCACTAACGAAATTCACTAGGTTTTATCCCAATATTCAATCCATAAAATTAGTAATAACCAAAACTCCCGAGACAAAACCCTCAACATGGGCAATCATTAGGGTCGCCTTGGAGGCTCTTCGGCACAAGGTCTCCGAATATTGGGGAGCCTCCACCCAGGCATGTTAGTTAATTCAATAGTATATTATAAGTTATATTCGTGGTGTGTGATTAATTGATTGATTATGAGTACAAAAATTGATATTATTCTATAATAAATATTAATTAGTCATTGGTCAGTATTCTCATGTATAATTGTATATACACACATGTATAATGATTGTCAGAGTCATATTTGTGAATTGAAAGTGCAATTCGTGTTAACAATTGACACAAGAAATATGATTTGATATTTTTTACTTTCATTATACTAAAAAGTGCAATTCAATGGACGGCCGTGGAAGTATAGACCCAATTTATTCTAGTCTCCTCCTCATATACCTGTTCAATAGCAGTGAGTAAGTAAACAGAACTGTTGAAACAGATGAGAGAGAAAGATGCTGCTGGCGCCTGCAGCGCTGGTCCGCCCATGGAGCGACAAAACCTGATATTGAATGGCAGCAAGTGATGATCTTCTCTCTTCTGGCCCAGCAGATTTGTTTGCTTAGCTTGTAGTGTACTTGGAATGCAACCCTGAAAATGAATTGATGACTGTATCTGGCTGGCAATGGCATGTCACCCACCACTACTATCACATTCACACCCATTCTCCATTACCACCATCACTTGAAATTTCCTCCCAAACTTCTTCTACACTATTATATTCAACACGAATCAAATCAAATGGATCGTGTTCCTGAATTTGCTTCCAAGGTAGGATTCTTCTGATCATCTGGTGAATGATTTTCTGACTTGTGCCTATCTATTTTCTATGATTTGTTGTTGTTGCAAGCTAAAATATAGTTTGAGTTCTCGTTGTATATGTGTTCGGAGCTGGAAGTGTCATAATATATTGGGAAATCGACAATACAAGAAAGTAATAATAAAAAAAACGTAGAGATTTACTTAGTTCACTAACACAATGTGTGTTAGCTACCGTCCACGGATAGGAGAGAGTGGTTTCTCTATTCTTGAGAATATAGGAATTACATAAACTGTGAATATATATATATATATATAACATTTTTCTCCGGAAAAGGAAAGGCTACAGAGCATACCTAAAATAAAAACAAAACGTGTATAAGTCCATACACCGTGGAGTGTGGATCAAGGGCCACCTTGCACCCCCAACCGAGCGCTTTGCTCCTGGACCTGACTCGCTAACCGGATAGTGAAACAATATAACTTCTCTTCTTTAAAAAAATCATAGCAACAAAGGGTCTTTAATCTATGAAATAACAAGAGTCATTAGTTTCTAGAATCATAGCAAAAAAAAGGCAAATTCTCTTCTTTAAAAAAAATAGTCATTCATTGATTCGAAAAATAGGTAGTTACATCATGGAAATCAAAGAAACGACTCGCAAGTTGCAATCGAGTACAATGCAAGAGCCTTTCTAGCTACCAAATGGGCTACCCTATTGCTAAAATCATATAAGAAGAGGATACAACACGAGGACTTTGCAAGAGTTCACAAATACTATATCTAATAAGAGAGGGGACGAATTCTCTATCTTTAATTTCAATTATTATATTTATAATGTGCTTTCCTTTTTTGTGAATCACAAATACTAAATAATGTATTTCTTACATGCATTTTTTTTTCTTGCAACCAATACTCCATTCAAATGCACACATCATAAGAGCATTTGTATTACAAAATTAAAACATCAACTTTGAGTTTTTGGTAACATTCTATTTTGTCACCAATATTATCGTAACATTTGCTTTATTAGTTGAGGAGTAATTGGCGTCTAGCATAGAATTTAGCCCATAGCCCATTCTTCGTACACCTTTTTGTCTTCTCCTTCAAGGGCCTGCCGGTCACTCTTTATATCATAAGAGCACTCCATTCGTAAACAACCTTTTAGATTATTATGAACTCGATTTAGGGGGTGTTCTTCTGGTTTTAAATCGAGCCGATAAAAAGATTAATGGTTTCATCCATGGTTGAACCGAGATGATCAAACATGCTCTTCTGTTACAATTTCCATTAAAAAAATTGCCAACCATGGTTGAACCGAGATGTAGATGACCCGACATCGGCAAATGAGAGCGAAAATGTCAGTTTTGTTCCCCATTTTATTTTTTAGGTCTCGTTAAAGTGAAATTATTAGAGGTATTTGGCTCTACAAAATAACCCAAAAATTTAAAGTGAAATTATCAAGGATATTTTAGACATTTGTGTCGCCAAAAACAAGGTACGACTATGATTGACTGTTTTGAATGAAAATGTTAACAGAAGGGCATGTTTGATCATTTTTCTAAAATACAAGGGCATGTTTGATGTAAAAAATAGTAGAGGAACATGTTTGATAAAACGACATAGTAGAGGAGCATATTATACCTATAACCCAATTATCTTAAAGTCCAACATCTTAAGACAAACAAAGCCCAATCTTAGTGTCGAGATTATTACATTTGACCTTCCGACGGATGGGTCACTTTCTCCACGACACATAAAAAGGGCAAGCACAGCCATCCACGAAGCAGATTTACAAACAACGACGCCATGCCAAAAATAAGATCTAGCACCAGTTTCAGTTTGTTTGGGGAAAAGGACGTTCATCTATCTATCTATCTTCCAGAAGGGTAAATATTTACTTGGGGGCAGAGTTTTTAGGTGCACCAGTAAAACTTGCACTTAACGGTAACGCGATGTGACCGGCGGCCGCCCAGTGGGTGAAAAAACCACACCGGTAACCGTCGATTCCCGGTCACCCGCTCCTCCACCGACACTTCCCCTTTATCCCGGTCAGCGGTCACCGACTGCCCTCCCTGCCCGTACCCGTACACCCCCATTAATTAATTAAACAATTAATTATGGATAATAAAATCACGATTTTAAAATAAACCCCTCTCCCTCTCCATTCCCACCACTCTGATCTTTCCCGCACTCCTTGCCTGCTTGCTTGCTTCCTTCCGTCGGTGCAGAGAGAGAGAAGCACCGCTGATCCCGAAGCGTTCTGCGGAATTTTGCCTTTTCCTTCTTCCTTCCGTGCCGTCGCTGTCAGTTAGTCTCGGGGGACGAGGCGGGGAAAAAGTGGCATTGGCCTTTTGCAGGAAGCGTCGCCGTCTCTTCTCTGCCAACTGCGGCGGTGGTCAGTTTCTCTCTTTTGCTCTCTGCTTTTGGCGCTTCTCTCTTCAACAGCATTTCTTTTTTATGCGGATGCGATCTCTGGTCCCGTTTGTTTGTTTGTTTGTTTGCTTGCTTGCTTGAGCGGTTCTGTATGGTAGCGACGTGGAAGAGTGGTGGTTTTGTCTGATTCCGGGAATGCGGAGGGGAAAAGAATGCTCAATTTCGGGATTTTAGGCTGAGATTTCGCTTTCGTTAACTCGCTCGCTTGGCCTGTAGCAGAGATTTGTGTTCAGTTCATAGAGGTTTCTCTGCCACTTTCTTTTTCGGGAATTCTGAATTTGGAATCTTCTTTCTTTTTCTTGACTGCTTTTCTATGACGCATCGACTATTTTCTAGTTCGGGGAGAATCAATCTTCCGGTTCTTGAGTCAGTAGAGAACTCAGTTCCCTGAATCTTAGTTCAGTGCTTCTTCAGTTCTTTTATGGCAATATCCGTTAGTTTCTTCTCCTTTTCTTGAGAGCATGCGCGATGTCTTGAGCAGATCTGGATTCTAATGCCTGGGCGATGAAATTTGTGGTGATGCGGTATAGGAATCATTAGTGCTTCGATTCAAGAATTCGGGATTGCTGTAGGGTTCTTCGCTTTACTTGGTGAAGAAATTGCATTTCTATTCTACTGCTGCGTGTTATGGATGACTTCCGTTCCAAGTTTCAACTTTTGAATCTGTGTTTCAAGTTTAGTCAAAAGTTTCCTGTCCAACGAAGCAGTGAGTGGCTGTGGAAGCTAAACCTTTAATGGCTTCATGATAATTAGCTTTCTGCTTTAAGATCGCTAGAGCCCTGCAATTCCCTTTTTGCTTTATAAATGCGTTTCATATCCCTGATAGTCCCACGGTAACTGTTTGTGTTACTGCTCTCTAGATGGTTTGATTGCCCCAACAAAATGCTCAAGAAGCATGTTAGCTTATTGAGAAATTGGGATGGGGATTCACTGTAGTAGGTAGGATAAGCAGATTCTGGTTGTGTACAGTATTGTTTCTTTTCATTGTTGAATTGGGGTTCAGTTGTTTGAACCATTTCTTTCTCCTTGCAGCAGCTGCATCTGGATAAGTTGACAGTGTCATTTGGGGGAGGTGATATACCAAAACAAGTTGAACAATGAAACAGACGGACAAGAAGAAAACTCCAAACACTAACATTTCCAAGCGACCTGGGAAGACTGAAACTAAAGGCCAACGTCGACCGAAGGAAACGGAATCTAAAGCTGTGCATGCTTCTAACCCTGACTCCAGAACTGTAGTAAGTGATTCGAATGTGGGCTCAGAGGCCTCCGAAGTTTATGAAAATCTGGTTATACATTATGTGGATGATGTGAACAGGTGTGAGGACAGTGCAAAAAAAGGCAGCATCTTGGTGTCGAAGGAGAACATGGGCGAGGTTGTAGGTGATCATTCTAGTGATATTGAGAGAGATCAGAAGCTAGGGAAGGAAGAAGAGTCGGATTCTGAGACGATAAAAGATTCTGTGTCATCCCACGGTGGGGATTCAGTCTTAGGTGATGATGAGAAGGTAGAATCAGTTTCTAGAGCTCCTAAAACTGCTGGTGGAACTAGGAAAAATACATCAGTAATAAGAGATACAGAAGCTAGTAAATCAAGAGCTAAAGCAGTCACTAAAACCCCCAGAAAGCCAGCAGTCTCTAGTAAAGAACCATCTAAGGTGACCTGCAAAAACGCTTCTGCCCAAAAGATTGCTGCTAAGGAGGTTAAACTTGCCCCTAAACCTCCTTCTGAAACTTCTGATGGAGGAGTAGAAGATCTAATCATTGATGATGGTAAAGAGGCAGATGTGTTTGAGGAGACCTCAAATGCCACTACAAGGAGTGTTGCAAGTGACAGTGAAACAGTTGAAATTGAAGACAATGGTGAAAACGGGGAGGATGCCACACTCCAAAGTCAACGAATTGCAGAGTTGGAAACAAAAATTGAGAAACTTGAAGAGGAACTGAGAGAAGTTGCTGCACTTGAAATCTCCCTTTACTCTGTTGTACCTGAACATGGGAGCTCAGCACATAAGGTGCATACACCTGCTCGGCGGCTATCAAGACTCTACATTCATGCTGGCAAACACTGGACTCTGGATAAGCGAGCCACAATTGCGAAAAACACAGTTTCAGGGCTGGTACTGATCTCTAAATCATGCGGAACTGATGTACCCAGGTATATATATATATCAACAAGCTATTTGAAACCGTCTTGATAAATGTACACTTATCAATCTTTCTTCCATGTTTTGAAGGTTATCTTTCTGGCTGTCCAACACAATTGTGCTGAGGGAGATCATTACCCAAGCATTTGGGTGTTCGGGTAACTCTAGTATGTCAAGATTCACAGGATCCAATGGGAGTATGACACTGAAATGGAAAGGTGGTAATAAACAAGGTAATGGGTATCCCCACTTTGTTGAAGATTGGCAGGAGACTGGAACCTTCATTGCTGCCCTGGAGAAAGTTGAGTCGTGGGTGTTCTCTCGAATAGTGGAGTCTGTTTGGTGGCAGGTATAGTTAGAACATACTGACTTTCAAGTGGATGGTTTTCCTTAGCTCATTTTGTATCCGTCATTCAAAAGCACTTGCTTGTTGTTTATTATGTTTCAGGCATTGACTCCACATATGCAAGCTCCAAGCAAAGAATTGTCCTCCAATAAAAGCATTTCACGATTATTAGGCCCAGCGTTGGGAGACCAGCAACAAGGAAACTTTTCCATCAACCTGTGGAAGAAAGCTTTTGAAGAAGCTCTACGACGAATTTGTCCGGTTAGAGCAGGAGGGCATGAGTGTGGCTGTTTGCCAGCCATGGCCAAAATGGTACACGATCTTAATGTTGCTCTTTTTTTCTTGCAAGTTAAAGTAATTGAATCATTTCTTTCACCTCCTTACGTAGATGTTTGATCAAGAACTATTTCTTGGTGCCAGGTTATGGAGCAGTGTGTGGCAAGGCTTGACGTAGCGATGTTCAATGCTATTCTGAGAGAGTCGGCCCATGAGATCCCAACTGATCCAGTTTCAGACCCTATTGTGGACTCAAGGGTTCTGCCTATACCAGCGGGGGACTTGAGCTTTGGCTCTGGAGCACAACTCAAGAATTCTGTACTGTTTCTTCTTCCGTCGCCCATCTCATTAAACCAATCAAAGGTTATACCAGTTCTGAGTAGATGAAGCTTCGCTCACTAGCTACTCTATTGGTATGCTGCAGGTTGGAAATTGGTTAAGATGGCTCCTAGATACGGTGGCGATGGACGATGAGGAAACCCCAGATCGCGAAGAAAAGACCAGTAGTGATGTTGATGATGACCATAGACAAAATGCCAAACCCAAGTGCTTCAACCTTCTCAATGACTTGAGCGATCTTCTTATGCTTCCGAAGGACTTGCTAATTGACAGATCAGTGAGAAAAGAGGTGACTTTCCCCCCTCTTTTCACTTGTTTTATACCTTTTCGGACCTTCTTACGGGAAAACTGAAACGGTGGCCTATTCGTTTAGGTTTGCCCGTCAATTGGCCTTCCATTGGTGAAGCGGATACTCTGCAATTTTACACCAGACGAGTTCTGTCCCGATGCTGTCCCCGGAGCTGTACTAGAAGCCTTGAACGCTGAGGTACTTATGGTTCCACCTTCGAAATTGTTTTGTTTTTGCTCTTTAGGATGATTTTGGTGCTGACATTTGTCGGATTGTCTTGGCTTGTGGGTGAAGAGCATTGTGGAGCGCAAACTTGCAGGAGGAGCATCCATGAGGAGCTTCCCTTATACTGCTGCACCAGTTGTGTACATTCCACCTTCATGTGACGCGGTATCGGAGAGAGTTGCAGAAGCTGATGATAATAATAGTGGTGGTGGTGGTGGTGGTTTGGAGTCTCACTTGTCGAGAAATGCTTCAGTTGTACAGAGGAAAGGATACACTAGCGACGAGGAACTGGAAGAGCTGGACTCTCCCCTCGTCTCGATTCTCGACAGCTTGAAATCCTCCTCGAATTGGATTAACGGAAAGCAGAGTGAGCAGAAGGTCGCAAATGCGAGGTACGAACTGCTTCGCGAGGTATGGTCAGGCTGAAGTTGCTTTCATGTGTCGAAAAGAGTTGGATATATAGTAGTGGATTTCACAGGCTCTGTATGATAATGAACAATTTGCCTCTTTTTCGTTTTGCCTCTGTGGTTTCTTGGGTCCTTAGCACCACAAAAGTAAATATCATGGAAAGAAATGAAAGCTGAAAATGGTGTCAAGAGAAGTATAATCAGAGTGGCAGAAGTGTCATCTTGCTTGTGTTACAAGGCACTAGTTTGGGGGTTGGAATCCATGGGCAAAAGAAAGGTTGATGATTGATTAACTGAATAACTCTTTGCTTATTGATGGTAAAACTGTAACTTTTGCCTTTTCACTTGAGTTCCATTTGGTAATGGAAGTGAAGAGGCAATACACAAACTACATTCCATTGAAATGGAATAGACAGAAACATTACACTACAACAACACACAGACTGACAATCCGACAGACAACCTCAAAGGGAAAACATAGAACAGGAAAATAAGCAAAGAGCAGGACAAAATTCGAAGATTCGGCGACTCAGAGACTGAGCCACCCCTCTACATTTTCAGCAAATGGTCCACTGTTAGGAATCCTTTGGTTGCCTGCTGCAACTCCATTAGGGCAATGGTCGTTCTTCGACGAGAACATGACCCCTGGGAATTGCAGGTTGGGCACGTGCACATGATATCCGAGCCCAGCGAGTGGTTGGGGAAGATGGAGGGGAGGCTGAAGTGCTGCATTGTTACTATCGAATCCCCTCAGATCCATTGGAGTCTGAATTCCTCCAGCCTGGGGAAAAGGGAAGCCGGTAGTGTTCACAGCAGCAACATAAACCTCTCCCACTATCTCCACTGGCTTAACCCTGCCCACCTCCAAGCTTCGATTCAGATGCCCGGTCGAGCCACCACCACCGCTCATCATCAGCAGAGCAGCAGCAGTAACCGGTTGGATTTGAGGAGGGACAGGATTCTGATTCTGGACAACAGCAGCAGCAGCAGCTCCTCCAGTCATGTTCAGTCGTTCAACCAGGTGTCGAATTTGTAAACCTTCATCAGGCTTCGTCTGGTTTGCATTAGTTCTCCGCCTTGCAAGGATTTCATCCACCTTGAAGAGCTCAAACATTCTGGAAGTGCCGTCTCCAAAGTACAGCTCTTGCCTTCTGAGAATATCAGCCACGTTGTAATGTCGCTTGCTGAAGTTGGTGACAGCATCTGGTCCTCTCACCCTGATCGCGGCTACATCATATGCCCTCGCAGCTAGTTTCTCGGTGGCAAAAGTTCCGAGGTAGATTCCTCTGAACTTTTTGCTCCTTCCGAGTCTCGCTTGCCATCTGATCACGGTAGGGTTCCCTGCAGAAGGCTTCCTGGGAAGGCAGAAAGAAGAAAACCCAAGAAAAAGGAAATGTTGGGGAAAATCTGAAAATGCAGAACACCATAACCCTTATTGGATAGAGGAAGAAGTGAAAAAGGACCTAATGACTCCGCGGTACTTAGAGGTGCCTCTCACGTAGCCATTGCTCGTTCTGCAAATTTCGATATATAGATTTGAGACTTGCATCAGTGATAACATGGAGTTATTGATTTGGATCTTCTTTTCTTACCTTCGAATTGCCGCGAAGTACTCACGTATGGTCATGTTCTTCATCTCCTCCAGTTCATTCTGGTAATATTTCACCTGGAAAAGAAAAGGAGAGGATGGTTACAAAACCTCCTTCTGAGCCTCTCGAGTGCGATTTCGTTGTTAACACAAGTTTTCAGATAAAAGGGAGGAAAGAGGCTTGAAAATCTCTTACTGGGTAATTGATTTTTGCAAATGCTCCCTTCAACTTGAGAGAAAGTAAGTCATGAGCCCTAACAGCCATTCTCTCATTGTGAAATGCACCAATGTAAACTTCATAGTTTTCAACATCAAAGAAGGATACAGGAAAACAGAGAAAAATTAGGTGCCAATAACAGCAGGAAAAGAAAAAGGGTTATCACAATTGTAGAATGGCTAGAAATGTATGATATTGTTTCTCAGGAACCTGACTTAGCCCTTCCAGTAGGATCAGATTTGATCCACAGGAATGCCTCATACTCTCCTCCAATGGTCCTAAATTGAAAGGGTTGAAGAATTATGTAAAGGTCAGTGCTTTTACCCCCCAAAATTATAAACATGGATCCTCAGAGAACGAAAGCAAACAGAAAAAGATACCTGCTGACACCCCTGAACCCGGAGCCATCCCAGAATTTTCTTCTGTGCCTATTTCGAACGACCCTACGTTGCATCGCGGCGTTAGAGCTCTCTGCATCAGCAGCCCTAGCCTTAGCCTTAGCCTTAGTCTTCCTCCTGCAAATGACCATTCATACTCAGAATCACACATCTGTTGTGACGTTTTATAAGCGCTTCGTTACAGAATCACCATACCTTGTGCTTTTCCCTCGATTGTTCGAGGACATGGTATTGTTGTCAGCAGCAATACCCTGGACCATGGATTCCTGTTGAGCTAGGTTCATTGTGAGTAAAAGGTCACTGAAAGGGTCCTGAAAGGTGTGATGAAGGAGAATCGGGACCCCGGTTGGGATGGTGGCAGCAGCAGGCAAGGTTGATGATGGTGTGATCTGGTTGACATCAATAAGGTTCATGGATTCATTCACAGAAGCCATTCTTTTCTTCAGTGAGAGCTGGTGAGCACCCTGCATGAATCAGTCAGGAATTTTAACAATGAGCTAACAGATGCACAAGTGTATAATGAACAGTAATTTATAAAGGGTGAATGAAATTATTAGTGTATGAAAAGCAATACAATTTCTGCTGAAAGCAAAGTAGAGAGTTGGAAGTATTGCCTGAGGGTGAGATTGGGAGATGGCTGTATTGCTGAGAAGAGGATTATGCTTTAGCAAATTTACTTGGTGCCTTTGGTTCAAGAGATGGGACCTGTATTTATAGGCACCATGGATGTGTAAAGAGAGAAGCTAGCATTGTTGGTGAATTTGATATTTGGTCTATCATTGATAATGTTGTAGAGTGGTCAAAGCCTCACCATGGAAGAAATGCTAATGTCTCACCTCATCTATGGAAGATTATGTATGATGTTGCTCAAAATATGAAATGGAGGTGATAGTAAGAATGTTATATTTTGCAAAAGAGTTCGATTTGTTGCCTTAAATTTGCGAAGTGTCAGATTACATAATCACCCCGGGCGGGCGAGGAGAGTGTCATAATTTAATTATATAATTTGCCATATAAAATAAAGGAAAGTTGTGATTTGCGTAAGTATATAAATGTTATTTTATTCTTTTCGAACTTACCTTTTCATTGATGGATGATGTTTTAGAAAGTTATCAAGAAAAATGAATTTTCTTGGTGAGGTAAGCAACTATTTAATAGTTTGCCATTCTTTTCGAACTCCAAAGTGAAGCGTGTTTGTGAGAGTAGTATCAAGATTGTCAACTTCTAAAGAAGTCCTAGTGCTTTGCCCACTTAGGATTTCTATTCTAAGTCCTCTGTGTTTTTCAAATATGTTGTCATATTACCTTGAGTACCTCTTGTTCTTGTTTAGATATCAAAGAATATGACATTACGGTAGGTAAAAATATTTACTCTTCACCGTTTGAGATGAGATCTCGTGACAACCCTTTAGGGGGTGTCATTTTCACAACCACACTCTAGTAGCGTACCACTCCATCTGATAGCGTTTCCGGATGGAATGATAGAGCTACCAAAAGGGTTGTCACCGGGTCTCAACCCTCAGTGCTTACTTCAAGAGGCAAAGATATGGTTTTTACTTTATTTTTGTTTGGGTGTACCTTTCTGGATAATATACTTGACTGGTACACATTAAACCTCACAGTCTAGACATCAATCTTTATAGCTCTAATTATTTTCATTAGCCAAATTAAGAAGGGGACGAAATGAACATTTTGGTCTTCCTTTATCTCTAGAATCACAACATTTATATAGCATACAAATCTCAACCAAAATATTGTCAATCAGAAGACCTTTGAAACCAAACTTATTTTAAACATACATAAGTGTCATGTTAATACACGCACCATGATCTACCACGCCAAAAGTTTCATTCTTGGATCTTCAGCTTTGTGTACACAATAATACAGAACATAAAGAAGGAAGTGCTCTAGGGTCCCTATAGAAGTCCCCTATCAAGTTCTGGCAGATCATATAATATACAATGAACATCACATTTTCTTCTCTATTCTCGACAACATATGATAGGGCAGCGAGCTCAAATGTGAATCATTTACAGATACAAGTAATAACAAGGGCCGATAACAGAACTCTCAAAAGCAGCAACCCTTTGTTGATGTCCATTTCTCAAACTGGGACATCGTCGGGTTCCTCTGCTGTTTCGGGAATTTGGACCCTCCTAGTGCTCAAGGACTGCAATGCTCTAACAACCTCGTACATCGATGGCCGTTTCTCAGGTGCCGCCGAAGTGCAACAAAGGGCAATGTCAAGAGCTGCCAGCATTTCTTGCTGGGAAGAGTTTGATATCTTGGGGTCCAGAACTTGGATAGCTCCATTAGCTATGTTGATCTTCCTTCGAACCCATTTCAGGATGTCTACAAAATCTCCACCTCCTGAGCAATCTTGCTCAGCTTGTCTTCCTGATATGAGCTCCAGGAGCACCACTCCGTAGCTGTACACGTCCATTTGCTCAGTTGCTCTCTTGCTGTATCCATGTTCTGCAAATATTATGAAGTTTTGGATTACTTCAAAATTAAAATGAGATGATCATTTTTATTATAGAGCTATTCTCATGGAAATCATGATGGTGTTCTTACCAGGAGGAATGTAACAGGAAGGCGCATACTCCGAAGCTATGGTCGACTGAAAAGCGGTTTCTCCCACGACTCTATCGAGACCGAAATCTGTGAGCTTTGGTTCACAATCAGCATCCAGAAGAATGTTGTTGGACTTGACATTTCGGTGTAGTAAATGTGGGATGTAGTCCTTGTGGAGGTAAGCTAGTCCTTGAGCAACTCCAATGGCAATCCTCAATCTTGAACTCCACTGCAACAGGAAATCAGGTCTCTTGATCATATCCCCTAAACTTCTCTTCTCCAAGTGCTCATAGATCAGAAAGATCGATTCATCCGAATGGCAAAACCCAAGAACTTTCACAATGTTCTTGTGTCTGATCTTGGCCAGTGTCTTCACTTCAGCTTTCAGTGATTTTGAAGACTGGTTCCCAATGTTCACAAGCTTCTTGACAGCAACAAGCTCGCCACTAGGTAGTGTCACAGCATAAACTCTACCATAAGCTCCTCCACCGCTGCCCATCGCACTTTTCTCATTCATTGCCATGATTAGGTCTTGCTCAGTGATCCTTAGAGGATAAAAGAACACAGAATGCCAACCTCCCTTTTGAGCTTTCCGATGAAAAGATCGATGGTAAGTGAAAATTCCAGCTGCAACGAGTAAAATAACAACACCAAATGATATCGTGATAAGGGCAAATGCCACAGCACTATGTCGATTGTGATTATGGCCTCTGGCAAGCTCATCTGAACAAGGTGTGGGCAATCCAGGACCACAAAGGTTGGGATTTCCTTCCATGAAAGAAGCAGGCAGGCCCGAGATGAGAGCTGGAGGCACTCTACCGGACAACCGGTTATAGGACACGTTGAAGAGAGCAAGCTTCAAGTTCTGAAGCCCTTGAGGGATCGAGCCAGTGAGATTGTTGTTAGACAGGTCGAGGTACGTTAGTACTGGCAGGTTAGCAAGGGAAGCTGGGATTTCCCCCGTGAGACTGTTCTCTGCCAGTGACAGTGAAACTAGCTTCCTGCAATTCTTCAGCTGTGGAATTGGGCCAGAAAGAGAGTTGTGGGAGAGGTTCATGATGCTCATTACAGGAGAATCACAAAAGCTTGGGGGTAATTCACCATAGAGATCATTGAGGGAAGCTGAGAATCTGTACAAGGTCTTTACCGACCCGAGAGCAGCTGGGATTTCGCTGCTGAAGCTGTTGTTATCTATCTGAACTTGCTCGAGTTGAGCAGCTTCGGATATGGAGTCAGGTATCCTGCCAGAAAATCTGTTGTTTTCAGCTCTAATCAGCTTAATCTTGCTCAATGACCACAACCCATCTGGGAAATCGCCAGAGAAGCCATTATTCTGAACTTGAAACCTCTCCAGATTCAAGCACTGATCAATGGAGGTACTAGGTAAAGTCCCATCAAAGGAATTGGTATGAAGGCTGAGATTTATAAGCCCTTTGGGATTGCACAAACCCTCTGGAAATGAACCCAAAAGCTTGTTCTGAGAAACATCGAAAGAAACAAGGTTCTTGAGAGAAGAACCAAACTTTTGAGGGAACACACCACTAAGATTGTTCTGAGACAGGTCCAAAATGACCAAACTCTGCAAACCCACAACGGAATCAGGAACCTGGCCATAAAAACCAGAACTTTGCAGCAGAATCTGCTCAAGCTTCTCAAGCTTCCCAATCCCACTAGGAATCTCACTCACCAAATAGCTATTTTGAGACAAATCAAGATAAACTAGCTCAGTCAAATTTTCGAACGCGCTAGGTACATTACCAGAAAGCAAGTTGCTCCCCAAATTGAGCGTCCTCAAGTTGATCAACCCACCAATGGCTTCCGGAATCCGCCCCTCCACATGATTCCTGCTCAAATCCACAACCTTCAGTGACTTGAACCGAGAAATCTGGTCCGGGATAGTGCCCCAAATGAGATTGTTGCTGAGATTCAGAGTCTCCAGTGAAGTACAAGCAGAGAGCTGGAGTGGGATTGGCTGGTTGAAGAGATTGTCAGCGAGGTCAAGAATAGTCAATTTGGGCAACTGACAGATGGAAGCCGAGATTTCGCCGGAAAGATTGAAACTTTGGAGGTTGACGCCGGTCACTGTGGCTGAAGGAGGGGCGGAGCAGGTGATTCCGGTCCAGTTACAGTGATGATCCGGCGAGGCGGGGGACCAAGTGGAGAGAGAGTTGCTTGGGTCTTTAATGGAGCTCTTGAATGTGAGGAGAATGTCAGTTTCAGTTGTGGATGAAGTGAGAGCTGCAAATGTGAAAGTTAGGGATAGAAGAAAGGGAATGCAGGTTGAGATTTTGGTAGCCATTGAAGAACCAAGAACTGAGAGAGTAAGAAAGAAAGGGTTTTTGCTTTTGGCTCTGCTCTTGTGCTTTGTGTATATAGTAGCAGTGAAGAGAGTGAAGAGTGAACAGTGGGAGAGTGAGAGAGATGTGTTGTTGGGAATTGTGAACTAAAAATAAATGATAATAACATTGACAAATTTTGAGTTTATATTATTTCGATAATACGATTCGTTGAAAATCATTTTAACATTTAGTCAATAATATGTGATCATTTATACGAAAAGTTATTTACGATTTTACTTGTAATATAGAAGTGTTTTTTAATGTTATAAATTTATTTAATTATCATTACAACGATAAGTTTATAATTGAGTATTTGTAATTCTATATTGTATCATAGGAAATGAATGCTAGTGAATGGCGACTAAAATTTTTAAGATTAGAGATTACAGTATGGTGTTATGAGAGTAAATTTTAAATTTCGTGATTTAAACGTAAGATCATTTTAACTAATGCACTTAGATCAATTATGGTTAAAAGGAAAAAAAAAAGAAAATGGAGGAGACAAGTTTTTGGGTATCTCTGCCAATCTTATGCTAGTTTGTTTAAGTTGGGAAACAGCCAAAAAGGTGATTAGTATTATTAAATCATAATCATGATAAGAGAAATAAATTAATAACTGAAGGAAAGACTGTTGCATTGCAGCTGACTTTCTCAGGGTTAAATTATTATTTGATTAAGCAAAGGGCATCTTTTCTTTGTCTATGTGGTCAGTGGGTAGTGTAAAAGGCTGGTAGAAAGAAACTTTTTTTTTTTGGTTGAATAAAATTGGGAATGGGGAGTTGACTTGAGGAAAGGATAGGACTTAGTAGGACATATATAGTCCATCAAGCTATCATCAGCATTTCACAATTCACCAAGAAGTTTTTTTTTTTTTTTTACAGTATCACCAAGAAGCTTGGTGGTGACAATTTTGTCACTTTCTTTTGTTTTTGGGGTCAGACTTTTCTAGGGTTACAGGCCATGGAAGAAGAGAAGAGGAAATGGTGGTGGTGGCAGAAGAAACATCTTTTGACATGAGGAAGAATCCATGAAAGAAAAAAGAGGAAAGTTGGTTTCAAGGGGAAGATTAGGGTTTAGCTTAATTACTTGACCTAACCAATTTTTTCTACAAGAAGCAACTTAAATTACATTTTGGAAAAAAGGCGGTTACTTACTAGAGGCAAATACACAATTAAAAATCGGCAACATAATTTGAGCCAACCACAAGTCCACAACGCATCCAACTTCGACCGTATAAATGCATCTGAATGGATAAGCAAAAAAGCTGACAATAATTGACACAACAATATCATAAGTCCGCCTTTTGAAAATCATTAAAAAAAATCGATTATAATGAATCACGGAGATTACTCAGCAAGAGTGCTTTTTTTTTCCACCACTTTCAAGTTTTAACTTTTTTAACCCTTCTTCCATATGCTTTACCACGTTCAAAATGTTTGACTCTCCTCAAACAGAAGTTACTGTTCTGTTCTTTACATGGCAGGCATTTACTATGGAGTAAGTTCTCTTCTCTCGCGTTATTGTTCAGCTCAGCTCTTTTGGGCTTCTTTCTGATAAGGCAAGACAACCATAGGAATAATGAAATGTCTTATCAGCAGACATCATGGGCAGCACCATCACCAACAGTTTTTTTTTTTTTTTTTTACCCATTAATGTTAATTAGTTGCAGGCCTGCCATCTCTCCTGTCCTTTTGCCATCTTCTCACCCAAAATTACTTTGTTTTTCTACTTTTTACCCACTTTTTTTTATGCAAGTTTGACCATCTATTTTAACAGAGACTCAGCTTTGAGACATCTATTTACCAGCTTCAATAAGATTGTAATGATGGATATTTTCAAACATGTGTTACAAATTTTCCTTAATATAGTCGTATCATAACCCAACAAAGTTGTGTAACCTAAGTGTTAATGAGTTGGGTTTATATCGAATCAAGTTCCAAATTCAAATTCATCCTCTCCCCTACGTCAAGGCACCATTTCATTGGAATTTACCTTAATTTTTTTTACTCCAATTCGAATATCATGCTGATAGAAGTAAAAGTCTCTTGATAAACAATAATCTCAGCTGTCGAATGCATACGTAAATTATGATATCCAACCACCACCTCTGCCGACCTATCCTAACTGAAAACTTTGTCTATACCGTGCATGTTCTTCCAAACTTGACTAAAATAATATTTGGATAATTTTTTGTTCTGTGAATATCATTTACCCTTAATTATGTATCAGGTATCCCATTATTATTTACTATTAAACATGCATTATTAATTGCATGCATGCACCCTAGGAAACTAAACTACAAAAGAGTACCATCTACAGAATAAACAAAGCTATCAGATATATTAAAAGCCCAAGTAACCATTTACTGTTGCATACGAAAAAGTAGGAAAGGTAATTAAAAAAAATCCCAGTTGTACTGTTCACAAGAGCCTCTATTTCCCTATACTCAATTTTATCGTAAGTTCTTTTTTATTTGCATAATACAATAATTTTGCAAGATCAATTATTTTTATGTAGCATTTTATTTCCTACACTTAATCCCATATACTAAATGTTATTCAAACATGATATTTTTTGCAACTTTATTTTATTATTAGACCATAAATTACTGTTCACAAGAGCTTCTATTCACTATACTCAATTTCACCGTAAGCTCTTTTTTATTTGCATAATACAATAATTTTGCAAGATCATTTTTTTTTACATAGCATTTTATCTCCTACACTTAATCCCATATACTAAATGTTATTCATATATGATATTTTTTGTAACTTTATTTTATTATTAGACCACAAATTACGAAAGAGTTACGCAATACTGTTCAATAAAAGTTAGGTACATTACGAATACAATATGTAAATCTTATGAAGTAACCACACATTATGAAAAATTTATGTAATACTGTTCTATAAAAGTTACGTAGATTATTATATTAAAAGGCCAAGCATGCCAAGCATTAGTTTACTGTTGTAGGAACAAGGTAATTAAAAAATTCCAATGGGTACTATCCATAAGAGTTTCTATTACATATACCCAATTTTTATCATAAGTTCTTATATAAATATACGAAAAATAGGGACAAGGTAATTAAAAAAAAATTCAATGGATACTGTTCTCAAGAGTTTGTATTATCTATACACAATTTCATCGTAAGTTCTTATATAAATCTTATCGAGTGACCACACATTATGAAAGATTTACGTAACACTGCTCTATATGAGTTACGTACATTACGAATACAATATGAAAATCTTACGAAGTGATAGTTATTTCTTATGTATCAATTACACAACAGATAAGTTCTCCGTAATGATTAGAACTTGCATAGTAGCTATAAAAGGATAGTTATTTATTGTGTATTAATTAAATAAACTCATTATGTAAGTACTTCATAATATAAGTTTGAATGAAAAAGGTTTCATAATGTTAGTTAGCTTTTAAATGACATATTAGTCAAATGTGACATTTTACATAAATTAATTTTATTATTAGACCATATTTATGAAAGATCTACATAACAAAGTTTATTAACAGATACATTATGAAAATATATCACAATGTTAGTTCATTTTACATGATAATTTAATCAAATGTGATACTTTTCATAACTTAATTTTATTATTAGTCCACGCATTATGGAATATTACATAACACCCTTCATTAACAGTTACGCAAATTACAAATATATTACCTTAAACTTATGGAGTAATAGATATTTCATATGTATCACTTGAACAAACTTATGACATAATTCATTCGTAATGATTTAGATACTACGTTAAGCATATAGTGATATCTTACTCAAATTTTATGAATTACTACATCATTAAATAAGTGGATAAAATTTTAAATATAATTAGTTTCTCCCGCAGCAAAAGGGCAAAAAATTAGTGATAATTAAGATGACAATGTATAAACTAGCCTACTAATTCAATAATTATATTCAGATCGGAAATATAAGAATGAAAAAGAAGCAAGGTTGTCAACCTGCGGGTTGACCCGGACCCGGTTGAGCTAGTGGGTCAATGGTTAATGGGTCACCCGTTTTAGCCCGGAAATATGGAAAGCGTCATTATATTGTACTTATCCTGATAAATTATATCAAATCTCATCTAACATATGAGTTATAACATATAATATTACACCAAAATAACATTTCGTACTTAGATTCATCATATAGTGAAAATTCACACACACTTATATAACATTAATATTCAAATGTTCAACTTAGGATTCCAAAGATTGAGTTAGGCGAAAAGAAAAATCGGAAAATAGGCGCATTTCGCAAAACAAAGAAAAAAATGACACAATTTGACCTCCAACCCGGTACCTTGTGGCAGTTGATCCGGCGGGTGCGTGCGGCCTGTTTTTCTCACCGGGTCAGGATCAATGTGGGTCGACCCGCTTTAATTATTATTATTTCAATTTTCCACCTTTTGTGGTTGCTTCTTTTCAAGGTTGTCAACCCGCGGGTTGACAACCTTGAAAAGAAGCAACCACAAAAGGTGGAAAATTGAAATAATAATAATTAATAAATAACCCTTTTATTAAATTTTTCCAACAACCAACTGCATCTATCTCGAAGCTAAAAGATAATGGCAATGAACATTGTAAAATATATTTTATATGAAAAAAGGTCTTCTCGTGACGAGTGAGTGTCAACAGGTACTTGAGAGTCGAGTTGAGAATGGGAGAAGAAGAAGAAGACAAAAGTCACCCACTTTTCTCTCCTCCTTTATCTTACGTACGGCTACACAGACAGCAGAAACCACTTTCAACGATGACAAAACCCCAAATAGAATAATCAATCAATTCTTGGGTTAGTCCAAAGCTCTAGAGTCTAGAGAGAGAGTGAGTAAGCACGTTCGTGGAGCGAGAGTGAGAGCGGGAGCGAGAATGAGAGCATGAGAGCGTCAATTTTAAAAGAAGTCAATTTTGAGAGCGTGAAGAGAGCGTCATTAAAATATTATTTTTTATAAACTATTTACTATACACTTCATATTTTGAGCGTATACAAATACTTGTAATTGTAACAAGACCTATGCACCAATAGTCCAATACTAAATCCAAATTAGTAAACATCATATGTCTCATTATTATTAAGATTATATCTACATGCAAATCTGAAAATATCAAACACTAGAAAATATCTCGTAGATTTTAATATTTAGTTGGGTCGTATTCCTTAGAGATGCTCGTTTCTTACTCTTTGATTTTATTCTAAGTTAGTTTCATTTTAATTTTATTTCCTTGGGCGTTATGTGACTCAACCCACCATCATAGGAAGACAAATGATCATAAAGTCATGTTCTTTGGTCTTCGTCTTCTTCCTCTGCCGCTCTACTACTGCTTCCCGTTTCCTCTACTCTGTTTTTCCTTTTCAAAGTTAAAATCCCTAAAAATAAGCCAGTCCCATTCTGATTTTGGGTCTTTAAAGTCAAGTCAAGATCCTCTCTCCAAGCTTGTCATCGTTTACTATCTATCTCTTTTAGAATTGGGGTCTTCTTTCTCCCTTGCAAGCTTCCTCCATTTCACATTCGCCAACCTAGAAACCAGCCGACGTCCCAGATCTATTAATTTTGGGCTCTTATCCAAAACTTTCCTCCCTACGATATTGTTAATCGCCAACAAGTTATTGTTCCCTGCGAACTTCAAAACCTCCAAAATCAACAAACTCCCTTCCTTTTCGGCTCCGTACATCAACCAACAAGCATCTCCTTCACTAAATCGACGGACTCCTTCCTGGAATCTCTCCCGCTCCGTCTCTATAAAATGAATCCATGAATTATCCAACAAAATTCGCGCTCCAAATAAAAGAAATTCGCGAATTTTATGTGAATCCTTTGAAATTCGCGTTTCTGCGCGCTAGAGCGGGAGCGCCGACCCTTCCTCTGCGAATTGTGTGACCTAAGTTTGAACTTTGCAGAGGCATGTCAAACAATGTGCTATGTCGCATGTGCTTATCCAATGGGGTAGTTGGGATTCGAGCAGAAAACCTCTCGATAATAGACACACCGCCCCCTCAAACGAAAGCCAAGTCGCAGGTTTGAAGTTTACACGGGTACACCATACCTCATGCTTTAATCAACTTTGTTGGAAGAACACTATATACGATACTTAATCACCCGAAAGACAGTGCATTTATATGAGAGCGTGTTCTCACGAATTGGACCGTGAGCATTATAGCAAAATGAAAAAGAGTAAAGAGAAGGGTGGGAAGTGGGAACTGTTGCCTGCCGTGTGGTACAAAGTCAGTCGGCCGCAATGAATCACCACCCGCTTTTGTAGCTGATATAATCTCGGTTGTATATATGTGTTGAGAATCGTACGATGATCTGATTATGATCCTTGCGGGGAAGCTATCTCCATCTCATCATCATCTCTTTCCATCCACTATGAACATTGAACAGATCTCTGTTCATCATACCAATGGCGAAACTTTGGTTCATTGATAGACCTAAAACATGCTGCTGCAAGGTGTTGATGGACAATTTTGGAAGCGGCCCGCTTAATGGCGATCCTGGGCCTGGCCTTTTACGATGGGCCCGGGAAGTTCTTCGGTATCGGTTTTTCTCCGGCGGGAAAATTAGAGTGGTGTGGCGGGAATTGGGAAATATATTAACCGTATTCACCCTAGCACTGTAAACGAAAAAAGATTTATACGCTTTTCAACTTCGACTTCTCCAAGGGATTTCTTCAGTTCTCCATTTCAGTCTCGTGGCTGGCTGATTCGATTCTATCTGCGCCGCTGCTGTGAAGATGGGCAAAAGAAAGAAGACTAGGGTTTCGCGCGAAGAAAAGGAAGTCAAAATGGAGGAGAAACGGCAAGCGGAGGAGGAGGAGGAGGAGGAGCATCAAAGTGACACCGAGACCGCCGATCAGTCCTCCGGCGACGACAGGAGCCTCTACGAGGTATTTCTATTTACCCCTTTCCATCCACCGTCGATTTCATGTGCTGCCGCCTTACCCCGGCTAGTTATTTGTTTCCTTGTTGGTATGAATTAGGGTTGGTGTGTTAGACAGTGTTATGCAGTGTATTGCGCCTGAGAATCTAGAATTTGTTGCAATGTTGGATGGTTTAGGCTTGATTCTGATCACTTGACTGTTATAATTGATAGTGCAATTGTTCGTTAGTGATCCACATAGTGGTATATGCGTTGCACATATCATCGGGTTATGGACCTGCTGCGGTGCCAGCAAGCTAGTTTTAAACAAGAAACTGAAGCTCTCTGAAATGGATTCGGATAATTTTGCCTAGGCTGAACTTTAGAAACTAGCTTGTAATGCGCATTTCAAAGCTTTGGGAGACATTCTGAATGGTTGGTTTACTTACTGGGTGCTTTGGAATTGATACCATCTGTTCCTTGATACATTGCTGTTTGGATTTCACAAAATTACCTTATAGCGCTTGTTATTCATCACACAAGACCCGACTCCCGCTTCACTAATTGGAAATGCACGAGGACTTAGCAATAGCATTTCTGTGTTTCATCTATTTTTTCAGACGTTGGCTATTACAAATCCACTTTGTTTTGATTGGTAGATTGTGTATAATTAATTAGGATTGGGTGCTAGCTTTATAAAATGTCACTGCGCTGGCTGTAGGTTCTTGGTGTGCCGAAGACAGCATCTCAGCAAGAGATAAAGAAAGCGTACCACAAATTGGCCTTGAGACTCCATCCAGATAAAAACCCTGGTGATGAGGTGAGTAACTAAGACTGCAGATTACTTTTTTTTCATGGGATGATGGAATTTTGTCATGTTTGTTTGATAATCTTTACCATGTTGCTTTCTGACAGGAAGCAAAAGAAAAGTTTCAGCAACTACAGAAGGTGATATCAATCCTTGGGGATGAGGAAAAACGTGCACTTTATGACCAAACTGGTTGTGTTGATGATGCAGTAAGTTCTTATAACTAGCAGCTTGGTGAATTTGTTGACGCAGTAAGCTCTTGAGATAGCCTGCTTCTAATTTTTTCGTTTTGTTTTCTTGTTTTCAGGACCTTGCAGGAGATGTTGTCCAAAACTTGAGGGAATTTTTCAGATCTATGTACAAAAAGGTAGTGAAGTCTGTTTGCGCATCTATTTTAGTGCCATGGTTTTGCATGCTGTTATGTATCAAGTCTCTAACTGATTCAATAAGTGAAATAACAGGTTACTGAAGCTGATATCGAGGAGTTTGAAGCAAATTACAGAGGATCTAATTCAGAGAAAAATGATTTGATTGAGCTTTATAAGCAGTGCAAGGGTAATATGGATAGGTATGTAAGCATTCAATCCGACATTTTTTTTTTTTTTGGTCTTCAGGCTTCTATACTCAGTTTTTAACCTTTCTCCGTTTTCTAGGGTCTTCTGTTCAATGCTGTGCTCTGAACCTAAGCTTGATTCTCACCGTTTTAAAGACATTCTCGACGAGGCAATCTCTGCAGGTAACAGCTACTGGCTAGGGAAATATAGTTACTAGTAATGTCATATTACATTGGGATGAGATTAATTCGATAATACATTTAGTAGATTCGTTACACACTAAATAGTCGAATTGTCTTCATACAGGAGAACTCAAAGCCACAAAGGCTTACGACAAATGGTCAAAGAAGATCTCTCGAGTGAAACCGCCTACAAGTCCCTTGAAAAGAAGGGGGAAGTGAGTCTCAACACCATTGGATTTGTTTACATGGTCATATGCTATTGTTTATATACTTATATGCAACTGACATGACCAACTGGTTCCATGACTTCTTCACCAGGTCATCAACTAAAGAGTCAGAAAGCAACTTGCTTGCGGTCATATCCCAGCGGCGGAGCGAGAGGAAAGATCGATTCGACTCCATGTTCTCCTCTCTTCTCTCCAAATATGGCGGGGCTGGTGGCACTGGCACATCTTCAGAACCAACAGAGGAAGAATTTGAAGCCACGAGGAAGAAAGTGGAAAGCAGAAGAGCGTCCAAGAAGGTTAAGAGAAACTAGTAGAACTACAACCTTGCTGTAGGCTGTTTTTAAGTTGCTAAACAATTCAGATTCTCGTACAGAAATTATGCTTTGGTTATCTGAATTCCATTATCAGATGCTTTCGACTCGTTAGAGAAAACGTTAACAACATTCAGTGTTCGAACCCTTTGAGACTGGGGCTGAAAATTGGCCCGATCCTGTCCTGACCCTGTCTGACACGCCCCTGAAGGGTCAAGATGTATAACTGACCCGCCCCGATCCTGTCTGACCCTTTAGGGTCGGGACGGGTCAGGAAGGGTCGGGTTAGTGGGTCGACCCTAATAAATAGACTACTTTTCTAAAAGCTACAATTTGGTACCCGGATTTATTTTTTCTTACATTTTAGTACCTAAATTTATTTTTTTTACAAATAAGTCCCTAAAATTTGATGGTAAAATTACATTTTGGTACCCAAATTTTTTAATTTTTACAATTTAGTACATAAACTTTTAAAATTTTACAAATAGGTCCAACATGTTTGTATGATGCTAAGGGTCATAGGGTCAAAAAGTGACCCGACCCTAAGTTGACCATATAGACAAACTGACCCAGCCCGACCCTGAGAATCGGTGCGGATCGGGGCGAGTCAGTGAGTTTTAAAGGTCAAACTTACACCCCTACTTGAGACTACCAAACAAGCAAACCCTATAATTAGCTGGACAGATCCTCATCCTTGACAGCAGATGGTTGCAATATTATTGTCATCATTCATCACCTTGAAGCTGTGTGCCTAATTATTTGAAGTTAGGATTTGGGGATCACTATGGCCCATCGTAAGCATATCCAAAACCCATCATCATTATTATTAATACTGGTGGGAATGTGTGCTTGCTATGATGCTAATTAGCTTTTTGGTCTCACAATAAAGTGGGGTTTTTTAATTAAGAAAACAACAGCATTTGCCATTATCAGCACAAAAAGATTAAACATTGTGGAAGTGTGGAGCCCTCGGGACTTGCCCTCTTTGAACGTCTTCATCCTCTACTACCATTTCACTAATCACAAGGTCTTTTAGAAAATCTGAGTAGTGGATAGAATTGGTTGAAAGATCAAATCATTTAGTACTGTGCATCCATTCCTATCAACATATTAATCAGACTACAAATGATACGTCTAACAGTATGGCAGACATCAATTAATCGTATTATGTGGACCGTAATCTCAATCAACGATATAGTTTATAAAATACTGCATGTAACTAATAAGTGAGATTGCTGGACGGTGTGGTCCAGCGATAGTGACATATTAACCGGTCCGGATTGGTATCAAACTAGTTGCCCCAGAGAAAGAAATGAACATTTAACAAAAAAAAAAGAGAAGGAAATGAACCAGGTGGATCATTAGTATCGGATGAGGAGGTAAATAAAATCATGAATTGGATCTCTTTTTGTGGTATTTTCGGTTTGAATTTTACAATTGAATGGTGGGGAGGATGGAGACATTGCAACTGCATTGCTAGGGAACATTTCCCCACGAAACTGTAAATGCAAGCAAAAGCCATCTGAGTTCTCAATTTTCATTTCTTCACTACAATTTTACTCCTTACATGGTCCCATGATTCAAACCGAACCCTAGAAAATATCATATCCGACTCTCATCATGTTCGTATATACAAATGGTAAAAGTACATTACAAGATTGAGACGAACGAAATATAAATGAGAGAAGCTAACGATTTTCTTTTTGTCATAGTGTCCTCTAATGAGAAGTAACAAAGATATAAATAATATACAAGATTTTTGCAGGTCGGGTCACAAAACGTAAAAGAAGGAGAAAAATACGTTGGTCGGCAAAGTGACCAATCCAATGATACAATAGCTTGTTTTGCCACGATATGAGCAGTCACGTCATTGTTATGAGGCACACTGAAAAGAACCTTATCTAGACTAGACCACTTGCAGGATAGCTTCTATCGCGTACGATGAATCCTTCGTATTGACCTTTCGAATTACCGCGTATGTGTTACTACAAAAACAAAGCTTTAGAAAATAAAAGAGTCAAACACCAACAAAGAAAATGGGAGTTGCTAAAGGTCGCCCTTAGAATTGCTAAAGGTCGCCCTAAAAAAGTTTAAAGTTACACTTATAACCCCTTATCTTCTTTACCTTCCTTTTATCAAACAAACACCACTTGGACTAAAAAAACACTATCTAAGGAGAGAAAAATCCATCATCGTCATTTTGAAGCCGATATCGTCGGTAGGACGTCTGAATCATGAGTAGCGACTCCGACGAGGTAAATACCGAAACTGAAAAACGAAAAAAAAACCAAAAAATGCCCAACCGCAATTGACCTGCGGTTGGACCATGGCCGGACCGCAAATCCCCTGCGGTTGAACCATGGCTGGACCGCAATTGACCTGCGGTTGGACCATGGCTGGACCGCAAATGGTCCAACCGCAGGTGATTTGCGGTCCATCCATGGTTCAACCACAGGGGATTTGCGGTCCGGCCATGGTCCAACCGCAGGTCACTTGCGGTTGGGCATTTTCTGGTTTTTTTTTGTTGAATAATTTTCTATTTTTTATATGATTTATGATTTGTTCCATGAGATAATTTGTTGGGTTTTGATTTATATAATTTTCTAGATTTATTTACATAATTATTTTTGGAATTGAAGGATTTAGCATTAGAAACCGCGGTTGACCGTCGGTCAGACCGCGGTTTGACTGCGGTTGCCATTTTTTTTTTTTACCTTCTTCTCCGGCGCGACGGAACGAGATGCTGTTGGTGACTGTCGGGCGCGCGGAACGAGCGGCGGGAGCGAGCGGCGGGCGCGCGGCGACGTGGGCGGGAGGCGACCGGGGGCGGCGGGACGAGCTGCGGGAGGTGACCGGCGGGCGCGCGGCGACGCGGGCAGCGGGACGAGCGGCGGCGGGCCGGCGGGAGGCGACGGGCGGACGGCGGCCGGCGACGTACAGGTGGCCGGCGGTGACGTGGTGATCTGCAGAGGTGAGACGAGTTGAGGGGGAGGGGGAATTGAATTTGAATTGTGAATAAGGGTTTGTTTGTTTTGAGTTTTTGCTTAAGGGCATATAGGTAATTTTTCATTTAAGTTAGGGCGACGTTTAGCAATTGTTAGGGCGACATTTAGCGATTCAGAAGAAAATATCTCGAATAATTAAGAAGTCAATGACAAATGGTTAACAAAATTAAGTTGTCTATTTTCTTAGTTGAGTTTATTAAAATGATAGCTTTTCTTGTAAAAATATTTGGGACATTATTTGAGAAAGCAGTCTGGTAAAAATTGGTCTGCCTAACAAATTTCCCAGCACCACGAATCCACGATTGAAAACACCACTTTTACCTTTTCTTTTCCTTCTATGGTTGATTAGAGATCATCCGTTGCTTTCACTTTGCGCTCTTTCTTGCACCAATTTATGGTGCAGACTGCAGACTAAACCAATATACACCCAACCACCAAATTCCAGTATTTACTATGACTAACTGCTCTCTGTCCCTATCCTCCTCTCCAGTTTCCAGAAACCTCTGCTTTCTGGGTGCGGTATTTTTTCTCGTCTGTGTTTTCTTTTAGGTAAGCGTCACTCACAAATTAATCGACACCATTTCTTTATTAATTTGTTGCTGCTGCTTTCATTTGTATTCTCTCTTGGCTTGTCCTTCCTCTTTCTCTCCCGTGAGCTCATCATTGTGGAATGTAGCTTTGCTCCCCACACACTGCCCACCAAAAAGAAAAAAAATACACCTTCCTTTCTCTCTCACTCGACTCCCACCCTGCACCAAACAAATCTCCGCTCAATTTCCCCTTCTGGGTTTGCTTCCAAGTTCCGACCTTTCTCAGCAGCCGCTTTCATTTCCCTTTCACGCTGCTGCCTCTTGGTTCGGAGGTAAACTGGAAACCCTCTTGGCCGCCAAAAAAGAATCAGCTTTTCGTTGCTTTTGGTTCGTTTCTCAAGCTCTCTTCAGTTCTGCTGATGTTTGTTTTTATGGGATTTGCCTTTGTGAGGCAGTTATGGAGTCGGAGAATGGTGAAGTCAAGTCGAAGATGGAAGATTATGAGGTCATTGAGCAGATTGGAAGAGGAGCTTTTGGCTCCGCTTTCCTTGTTCTCCACAAAGCTGAGAAAAAGAAGTAATAAGGCCTAATTCTCTCTCTTTCACACACGCATTTGTTGTTTCCTTTGTGTATCATTTTCTCTCTGGTTTTTGTCATCTGGTTTGCGAATTAGACTGCTATTGTGCTGAATTCGTGAGCTTGGTTCATGCTTGCACCTTGTGAAGCTAGTAAGCAATCGTGCTATCGATGAAATTAGTGGGTTGGTGGATTTTTTTTTTTGGGTTTTCTTGATTTCTCACAAGTCATATGTTTTGAAAAGTAGAAGGTAGGTGGCCGCCAATCATGTCGGCATGGTTGTTTGTCTATTAGCAATAGCAGCACATCATTTTTGTTTTTGCATTCTCAACCTTCCAAATTATTGATCCTTTCCTCTTGGGTTTCTCGTTAGGTATGTGCTGAAGAAGATTCGGTTGGCTAAGCAAACCGAGAAGTTCAAACGCACAGCTCATCAAGAGGTTTGTTGCCTCCTTCACTTATGCTTATCAATAAACATGACCCACAAAAACAAAATAGTGAGGAAAAAGTCTGTACCTTTCATCGCATTGTCTCAATGCTGTGCTGAAGCCCAACATGCCACTTCGTGTGCTATTGAACTACTGGATTCGACGGATGTTGAAATGATCGAAGTACTCGAGACGTTGATTTCCTCTATGATAAAGTCACCCGATTGATCTCTCTATTGCAGATGAACCTAATTGCCAAGCTAAAACATCCATACATTGTGGAGTACAAGGATTCTTGGGTGGACAAGGTGTGGCGCCTCACTTGACTTCTCGTTCAGTCCAATGTTCGATGTTGCCATCTTTTGATACCATTCCATGTATTTTGAAGGGAAGACCTCTAAAAACTTTTATTAATTTCTTCTTGTAGGGGAATTGTGTGTGCATCATGACCTCACACTGTGAGGGAGGAGACATGTAAGTATATTAATATTCCTAGTCAAATGCTAGTGAGGGCCAATTGAAAATGCCATTTATTATTTATATTATTATGATATTAATGCATGTTGCATGTTTGAATCTGTTCATAAGCTTGATATCATTCATCAAAACTTTCAGAAGGTCATATGTTGGTAACGTTAGTATGATTAGTTAATAAATTAACTTGAAAGTGTATGAGATTTGACGAGCTCATTGGTTATTCTCTAATCAGGGCTGTACTTATAAAAAAAGCTAGAGGAGTTATCTTCCCGGAGGAGGTAAGCTAGCAATCGGATGTCTACATTAGTTAAGTTCTTCACTTTTACCTGTTCCTCATCAACACTTTCTTCCCTCTTTCAGAAAGTATGTAAATGGATGACTCAATTGTTGCTAGCTTTGGACTACTTGCACTCGAATAGAGTCCTTCACAGGGATCTGAAAGTAAGCCTCTCTTTGCATATGTTCAGGGCTATTTATCTGTTTGAATTGCTGCTAATATGAGCTTTGAAATTCCAGTGTTCCAACATATTCCTCACCAAGGAGAATGACATCCGCCTTGGTAAGAATGCAAATTGAATTGTTAGCAAGATGTTATTTTTTGTTCTTTCATATTCTGGTTCTTTGGTATGTGCTTTCTTTCTTCTTACAGTACATGCCCTTGTTGGGAACATGAACAGGTGACTTTGGACTGGCAAAACTACTGAACACAGAAGAACTTGCCTCCTCGGTATGTATTCATAATCTTGACACATTTTTCTGTATCTTTGTTCGTCAGTTTAACTGTTACACTCGACTGCAACCTATCTCAGTACTACTGCTATGGTACAATTCAAATTTTACATTTCAGACAAGAACTGAGGCCAGCTACTTATGATAAGTTAGGTTATTATGTCTATTTCTGAGTTGCTTACCTGCCTTCTCTTTTGCGAGGTAGGTTGTTGGAACTCCCAATTACATGTGTCCTGAACTCCTGGCTGACATACCTTACGGGTACAAATCTGACATCTGGTCACTTGGTAAGTCTGAAGGATGAGATGTCGAATAAAACTTTAGGCATTAATTATTTAGAGAAGAGAGAACTTTAGACTTTTCAATACATGTGAGTGACATTTTGTGTCTTGTATCCAGGATGTTGTATGTTCGAAATCGCAGCCCATCAACCAGCCTTTAAGGCTCCTGTAAGTACTAGTATCATCTGACATCTGTCTTTGGCCACCAGTATGGGCAACCTGGATTGAATTTGTGAAAATAACTTGAAACATAAGTAACACCTGATGCATTGAACAGGATATGGCTGGACTTATCAACAAAATAAACCGATCGCTGTTATCTCCTCTTCCCATTGTTCACTCTTCTTCATTGTGAGTGTTTATCCCTGCTATCTTATCAAGGGAGTACTGTATTGAAAGTCTCGATGCAAACTTAGCATTCCTTCTGTCTATTTGAATTTTTCGCCTCACAGGAAACAAATTATCAAAAGCATGCTCAGGAAGAATCCAGAACACAGACCAACAGTAAGTTTAATGGACTTGATTTTGGAGCTCAGATCACTTATTTGGAACTTGCCAATGGTATCTGATACAAAAATATTATATTCCCAGGCTGCAGAACTTCTGAGGCACCCACATCTGCAACCATATCTATTCCGTTGCCGTAATGCATCAGCTGTTTTTCTTCCAATAATGTCTTTAAACAACTCTCCTGAGAAATCAAGACGAAAATCGTTGACTAGGCGGCTTAGTGGTGGAGGGCCCAGCATTCCTGCGGTCAGCGGAGAGATGGATGAACAAAATGATCACAGCCCTCCCGAGAGATCAAATGGCAATGCTACATCATCTGCTTCTAGTGCAGATGACAGCCTCGACATGAAGACAGCTGATTCCAAAACATCTGATACAATCACAGGTCCCAAAGATTGTTCCACTGACTCCGAGATCAGTGTCTGCAATGGTGGAGGAGAGAAGCAAAGCGATGATTCGAGAGGTCATCAAAAGGATGTAATTGAAACTGAAGTTGCCTCACCAAGTTCTCAGCATGAACCACTAAATGTGGAGATCAATGTTGTGACTGAAAGAGAAGAAGATTTCAACCTACAGGCTTCTGAGAAGGATCAAGTTGAAATTCCAAATGGCACAACAGATGAAAATTGCAGAGAAGAACCTGTTACCGAGGAGGCATTGCTGTTGCCAGCTGCGAATGAAGCTCCCTCCACGAAGTTGCAGCCAACACTGCTTGAAAACCAGCCAGAGTCGCCAAAACCAGTGCCCCCCAGAGTTCATGCACTTGAAAAGGGTCTTTTAGATCTGCATCCAGCAGGTAAAGATGAAAATGGATCGAATCTGGAGAAGACTAGGAATGATGATGATCATCACGGTGGAGAAGCAGCCAATGATGAGGCAGGGCCACTACCACCTACAGCAAACCACATCTCGCTGCTACGAACGCTTGCAGCAATAAACGATCAGAAGGGGGAGTGGGGGACTCCAACCCAGCAAAGGGCCGATGCGTTGGAGTCATTGCTCGAGCTGTGTGCACGCTTGCTTAAACAGGACAAGGTCGACGAGCTTGCTGGCGTGCTGAGGCCATTCGGAGAAGAAGCCGTGTCATCGAGAGAAACCGCAATTTGGCTCACGAAGAGCCTTCTTTCTCAGCACAAGTATAATGGAGAAGGCTCCTCATGAAGAAACTGTGTCTATACTTATTTATCTGTGTATACATGCAAAGCTGATCACCTATTCTTCACCATCACCCATTTAATTTATTCTGTGTGAGAGTGACATAGAAGTGTTTGTGTTAGGTTTCTGGTAATGTTTGATGGTTTTGTCCTGAATGGTTCTTCCACTTACCAGAGAGTGTTTGTATTGTATGACTTGTGAGCGTCGACGAAGATTGATTGATTGATTTCTTTCTGATAAATGTACTTGTCATGTTGAGTTTAACGTATATTGATTTTGATGTTTATATTGAGTTTTCGATATGCTGGTAGTTTAAAATGGCGTTTTAACCTGTATTATTAATCAAGAACGAAACAAATAAGAAATGAGAGCAGTATTTTCAGGAGAATCAAACTATAGGCATTTAGTGGAATTGTAACCCTTAGTGGAATTGTAACCCGCAATCTATTGCAAAAGATAATTGGTCACAAAATTTAACATTATTAAGAATGCGATTAGTCATTGATATTCAATCAATTGGATCAAGTATATTGATGAAGTGGAGCTATGCAATAATTTAATAATAAATTAATTAATACCCTTTCATTTCAATATAATGCCACAAATCAAGGTGCGTTGCAAATTACAAAAGAAACATAAATGAAAAGGGAGGAAAAACAAATACAAATGCTTGAATGACATTACTATCCTCTCAAGTCTCAACCAATTTCCCCTCTTTAATTTCTCCCAATTTCTCTTGTATTTGGGTATTTTGTTTTTCTACTTTTTTTTTATTATTTCAATTTTTTTCCATATTTATTCATGCCCACGTGTCCTCTCTCTGGGAATTTTCACAACTTACTGGAAATAATAGGAAACGAGAGAGACGAGGGAGGCTCCAACCAAAGTCCCAAAGGCCGGCAACGCCGAGCCGGCGGCACTGGTGGGCCCTGCAGCAGGCCCACCCGCAGCAGCAGCAGGCCCGCCAGCAGCAAGCCCAGCAGCGGCAGCAGCATCGGCGCCGCTTGGGCCGGGGGCGGGAGCGACTGTTTCAGCAGCCATGACGGTGCTGAGGGAGGCAGCGGCGAAAACGACGGCGCAGCAGATCTTCTTCATGGCCATGGTTGAAAGATCGAAACGTTTCTTTCGTACGAACAAAAAGACGAGAAGAAGACTTGGCTTAGGCGCCTGAAAACGGCACCTGCTTTTTTTGTTATTGAGGTTTTCCTTTATTCTTTTTTATTTAATTATTTTCTGATTGAGCAGGTCTGAAGATACCGATGGGGATTTGTGAACAATTTATAGGGAGAGGTTTGAAGCTATTGTTGGGTGGCTTTCATGGCGAACTAAAAAGTTATTGGTTTTTGCTCGAGTTTCGGAAACCACCGGTCGCTAGTGAATTTGTTCGAACGACCGATTGGTTTCCTCTTTCTTATGTTCGTTTGAAAATGTTTTACTCCGAAAATTACGATTTTTGAAAATAATTAGTGGAGGTGAAATTTTGTTTCAATTTAATTTAATGATCCAATTCATCGTGTGAAATTTATAATTCATTATATATTCATCTTTTACCAATCATTATTTATTAGACCTAATGTCGATTCAGTAGACCATCTTAACACATTTTAAGATTGTTAGATTTTGATGAAATTAATTGTATCATTGCAATTATTAATTATTTTTTTTTTGAACTACCATTGCCCTAATACAACTATCATTGACTAACTGGAATCGAAAATGCTCTCTACTGACATTGGCGGATCAGCATCTCCGGCACCGGCACTACTCCCATCTGATCGTCCGCCGGATTCTCACAGCCCGCCGGCTGCTAAAGAATCTTCTTCCATAGCTTTTCACACGATTCAGGCTAGTAGTTCGTCGATTATGGCTATTGATTCTTCTCATTTGAATTTGCAGGAACAGGAGATTCATATGACGGCGACGGGGCCGTTATCGGGACAAACACCAGGGTCGGCCTCCGGGATGGCTCTGTCGTATGCTAAAGCAGCCATGGGGATGCCGCAATCGGCGGCTATCCCGAGTCAGGCGATCCAGTGGACACCGGTGGGTGAGCATGATCTTGTGACAGGAGATCGGAACGGGGAACCGGCCCTAACAATTTCAGCGGAGTTCAAAGCAAAGATTTGCGCACCATGGCAGAGGACACTCGTGATTCGTCTTCTTGGGTTGCGGATTGGATTTATTGCTTTGTGCAATCGCCTGAAGAGTCTTTGGCGGCCGGTTGGAGCTATGGAGGTTAAGGACCTGGATCATGATTGCTTCATTGTGAAATTGGATAACGAGCAGGACTACTTCCGAGCTCTGACCGATGGACCGTGGGTGATTTATGACCATTACTTGGTCGTGCAACAATGGACGCCAAAGTTCAAAGCTTCGGACCCACTTCCGAAGACCATGATCGTTTGGGTTCAGTTTCCGGCCCTGAAAATTCACTTCTACCATAAGGAGGTCCTAACTACGTTGGGCAATCTCATCGGTCGGACTATCAAACTGGATTATCATACTCTCACGCAGCAAAGAGCTAAGTTTGCTCGCATAGCAGTGGAAGTTGACATTTCGAGGCCTCTAGTTCCGAGAATCTGGCTAGACGATGAGTGGCAGAAGGTCGAGTACGAAAATCTGCCGGAGGTGTGCTTCAAGTGTGGGAAGATAGGGCATCGCTCCGGTTCTTGCCCGAGGAATGCTACCGGAGTCTCTTCGGCTCTGGTGGAGGCCGCCGGTGATCTGTCGGTGGCCAGCTCCTCGCCGCCGCCGGAGGAACCCAATCAGGGGTTCGGGCCGTGGATGCTGGTAACAAGGAAAGCACGGCGTAATTCAAGGGACATTAATCGGAAAGGAAAGTCGGAGCATGAGACAGGGACTCAGATTGCGACTTCAAACGGTAAAGCTGGAAATCCGGAATTGATATTTAGGGAAGGGAATCACTCCTTACCTTCCACGAACACTCCCAGCGGCGCCTCTCTGCAGCGGAGCCCAAGCCAAGAAAGGAAAGCGGCCATCGGGAAGAAGAGCGGGGAGGAGGCCAAGAAAGGGAAGGAAAAGATGGTTAAGGAGCCTGGGGGGAAAGGAAAAGGCCTGCTTGGGCCGGGGCCCAGTTCGGGTCCCCTTGAGACAGCTGGGCCGAAGCTTGTGCTTAAGGAGGGGACTCAGTCAAAGCCTCAGCAACAGACTATGTCAAGTGGATCTGGAAGTTCTAAGGGGCCTCAAGACCATCAGGAGTTTTCGGGCTCCCCTCCTCAGCCACCCTTATTTCATACTATAGTGGGCCCAAATGGAACTGTGATGAACATTGTGGAGAGCTCGCCAACAGAGAGTGGCGACCAAACATCAGGTTCCAACCCATCTTTATCGACAAGAACGAAGCAGAGTAAGAACAAGAAAGCGCATGGGAAGAAGAAGTCGCCCAGCAAGCTTAATCCGGCAAAACCCCTCCAAATTTGGTCACCGGTTAAAGAAAGAAAACCAAAATCTAAAGCTCGAATGGCGTCGTTGACACTACAAGAAATCCATGCCTGGACTGAGGCAGCAAAACTGCCGAAGAGGGATGAGAAGGCGACGGATGTCGTTGAGTCGGCCGGCCGTCCAAACCCAGCGAGCGGCCCGGACGAAGCGGTGGCCGCCAGCGAGTGATGGGGGGGTTCCCTCGAGGTCTGAGCCGCCTTTCTTCTCGGTCTCTCTTTCTGGATTTCTTTTCCCTATGTCAATGAATCACAGTCTTAAAGTGTTCGCGTGGAATGTGGGGGGAGCGGGAAGCCGTGCTTTCTGCCGGGCCTTGAAGCTAGCTATTCAGACGCATCGTCCGGACTTCGTGGTCCTGCTGGAGCCTCAATTGAGTGGTGAATCGGCCAACAAGGTGTGTGATAAATTGGGGTTCCCCAATTCTTTCCGAGTGGAAGCCGAAGGCCGGTCAGGTGGGGTGTGGGTCTTTTGGGATGGAGGTGTTTTCTCTGTGCATCCTTTCTCTGCTTGTTCACAGCACCTGTCTTTGCAAGTGAACAGGGGGAACGAACCTCCGTGGATGCTGACGGCGGTGTACGCCTCACCGCGGCAGAGGGACCAGCGGCTTCTGTGGGCAAGTCTGATCTCGTACAGCAGACTCATTGATATGCCTTGGTTGCTTACAGGGGATTTTAACGCCATCAGCAAACCTGAGGAGAAGTCAGGGCCTCCGGTGCGGAACACTTTGAAGAGATGTCAGCTGTTCACTGAAAGACTGCATTTGGCGGAGCTGGTCGATTTGGGATTCTCCGGGCCTAAATTTACTTGGTCAAGAGGCGATCAAAGCCACTCTTACAAAGCTAGCCGTTTGGACAGGAGCCTCTGTAATCTCCGGTGGAACATATCATACCCCAATTCGACGGTGCTTCATTTGCCGCGCTACCAATCAGATCATAACCCGATTATGACCTCGGTGGAAGTGCAGACGAGACAGCAGCATATCCCAAGACAGTTCAGATTCGAGGCGGCCTGGCTGACTAGTGACCGATTGCCGCAGGCAGTAGCAGATAGCTGGGATGCGAATGCCCCTCTTCATAGTGCTCTTAAGGTGCTGGCGGACAAGCTCTTGGAATGGAATGATGAGGTTTTTGGAGATGTTAATCGCAAGAAGCGTCGGTTGCTGGCCAGAATTAAAGGGGTTGAAGCTTCTTTAGCAGGAGGGTTCTCCCCCGGCCTCGCTAAGCTTCACTCAAAGTTATCCAGAGAGCTTGATATGGTTCTCGAGCAGGAAGAGCTCATTTGGTACCAGCGTGCTAGGGACAAGTGGGTGAAGTATGGGGAAAGGAACACGGCCTATTTTCATCAGCAGGTCAACATCAGGAGACGGTTTAACAAGATTGAAGCTTTGATCGACGACAATGGGCTTTGGGTGACCGATCCTCATTCTCTTGCTCTCCTTGTTTTTGATTTCTTTACTAACATTTATATGCAGGATAGCTCCATCTACGAGGATAGGTTGCCAAAAGAAGCCTTTCCTCGGATGTCGCAGGCGGAGGCAGCAGCCCTGTTTAGACCCTTCAGCATTCAAGACATCCACCAGGCAATCTTCGACATGAAGCCGTTCCAAGCCCCAGGTCCAGACGGGTTCCAAGCCGCGTTCTATCAGCAGTTTTGGCAGGTAGTGGGGAAGGCTCTCTCCGCGATGGCGGTCTCCTTCTTCACCACAGGCACCCTTCCTGAAGCGGTGACGGAGTCGACGCTTGTCCTCATACCTAAAGTTGATTCGCCTGAGAGAGTGACCCAGCTTCGGCCTATTTCGCTTAATAACGTGTGTCTAAAGAGCATTACTAAGGCCATTACTTCGAGGCTGAAACCTCTCATGAGGAAGTTAGTGTCCCCGAGACAGAGCAGTTTCATTCCCGGGAGACAAACGACGGACAACATCATTGTTGTTCAAGAGGTTTTACACAGCTTGAGGAAGAGGCGAGGAAAGAAAGGCGGCATGGTTTTCAAAATTGATTTGGAAAAAGCATATGATATGCTGAGGTGGGAATTCGTGCGGGATACTTTGAAAGAGGTCGGGCTGCCGAGCAGCTGGATCACTTGTATCATGTACTGCGTGGAGCACAACACCATGAGAATCCGGTGGAATGGAGAACTGTCTCAGCCGATCACCCCGACTCGTGGAGTTCGTCAGGGAGACCCTCTTTCCCCTTACCTCTTTGTTCTTTGTATGGAAAGATTATCTCACAGGATCGATGAGGCGGTTAATAGTGGGCAATGGAAGCCGATACGGTTAACTAATGCCGGGCCGCCACTGACCCATCTGTTTTTTGCAGATGATCTTTTATTGTTTGCAGAGGCTGAAAGGAGGCAAATCCGGGTCATCAAGCAGTGCCTGGCGGATTTCTGCTACAGCTCGGGTCAAAGGATCAATTTCAGCAAGTCTATTCTTTATGTTTCCCCGAACGTTGCTAGACATAAAGCCGAGAACTTGAGTTCCTGTGCGGGGATTCCTTTGAAAGCTGCTTTGGGGAGATATCTCGGTATTCAGGCAATTCAAGAAAGAGTCACCAGAGGGAGATACCAGCCTCTTATCCTGCGCATTCAAAGAAAGATGGCACCCTGGAAAGCGAAACGGTTATCCTTTGCGGCTAGACTCACTGTCGCTAAGTCGGTAACCGCTTCTTTGCCTGTCTATACGATGCACACTGAATTGATTCCTAGTGGTGTGTGCAGGAACATTGATAAGATCACTAGGGACTTCGTCTGGGGAGCTGAGGAGAATCGCTCCAAATTGCACCTGGTTGCTTGGGAGAGGTTGACTCTGGCGAAGGACCAAGGTGGGGTGGGCCTGCGTCCAACTCGCCAGGCTAACTTGGCTATGTTGGCTAAGAGTGGCTGGCGTCTTCTTCAGGAGAAAGATAACCTTTGGCGGCAACTCCTTCTCTCGAAGTACGGAGGCCAAAGGACAGGGCTCGATGTTCTGCGGAAAAAACAGGGAAGTTCCTTCACCTGGAGCAGCTTCTCCAAAGCTGCGGATCTCCTTAAGCAAGGCTGTGCGTGGAATATTAAAAATGGAAGAAAGACTAAATTCTGGTGTGACCCGTGGATTTTGCAGGTACCCTTGAAGGAGGTCATGACAGGAGACTTGCCAGGCGAGGCCGATGAGGCGGTGGTAGCGGATTTTGTTCGGGATGATGGGAGTTGGCGCACGGAGCTGATCTCTAGTCTGCTTCCACCGGACATCTGCGCCAAGATCACTAGCACGGCCGTGGATAAAACTTCTCAAGAGGAGGACGCGTTGTTCTGGTCTCCGTCTGCAGATGGCCGCTTCACCACCAAATCTGCGTATGGACTTCTTATGCCGCAGGAACAGCAACCTCGGGAAGGAATTTGGAAGAAGATCTGGCGCCTAGAGGTCCCAGAGCGGATCAGAGGGTTCGTTTGGCTAGCTATTCAGGGAAGGATAGCGTCTAATGCTCTTCGGTTTCAGAGGAAGGTGGCGGAGACGCCTTGCTGCCCGCGGTGCGAAGGTTGTACGGAAACAGCTCTCCATATTATGCGTGATTGCCCTCCTGCGTTATATTTTTGGTCCAGACAGGTACCTCAGGGGAAGCAGCAGGTTTTCTTCAGTGCCAACCATGATGAGTGGTTTCGCAGTAATTTATTGAGTACGGAGAGCACCATTTCGGGGATTAATTGGCCAGGTTTCTTTAGTATATCTATCTGGCTCCTTTGGAAGAACCGCACTACCGCTGCGTTCAAAGGCTTAGGGGCGGCTCTTACTGCTCCTTCTCTTATGCAGTCCATTATAACCAAGAGTAGAATTTGGAATGAGTCGTGGCAGGCACCGGAGCTGTTCCTCAGTCATAAAAAGCAGAAGGCAGATCGGGTTGTGGCAGCAGTGGGGTGGACACCGCCAGCAGAAGGTTGGGTGATGGTTAACACGGACGGGGCCTCAAACGGGAACCCGGGTCCGGCCGGAGCGGGCGGTGTCGTCCGGGATTCTTTGGGTCACTGGTTGGGAGGGTTCGTCGCCAACATCGGGAGTGCTACTGCCGCCTTAGCGGAGCTCTGGGCCATCTTCTATGGGTTAGAGCTGGTTTGGAAACTTGGTTTTCGGGTGGTGAAGATTGCCACCGACTCGCAGCTTGCTATTCAGTTGATTCAGGAGCGGCATGATCCTATTCATCCTTATGCCACCTTGTTGAGTCTCATTCGGAGAAAGATGGGCCAAGACTGGTTGGTTAGCCTGACTCATACATACCGAGAAGGGAATAGAGTCGCGGACTGGCTCTCGAAGCACAGTCTCGTCTATCCCTACGGTCTGCATGAGTTGGCTGATCCTCCTATGAGCTTGGTTGCGATTCTGCAGGATGATACGAGAGGAACTACTTTTGATCGCAGTATAGTGGCTAATCATCCCCCTCCTTCTTAATCTGCCCCTGTAATCTTCTTTTCTTTGGCCTCGGCCTCCCCTTGATGCAAAAAAAAAAAATTGTATCATTGCAATTTATGTGCAATATGAATAGTAAAAAACGGAAGATGGGAAGTGCAAGGGCCAGCTCAACGGCTTAGGCTTGATCCGTCTGTTACAAATACAATGCTTGCTCAACATTACTCATATCTTACTCTAACATCAACAACAAGCAAAGAAGTACAAGCAGAGAGTTGTCTTCCAGGAAATAGGGATTGGGTGTTGACACTAAGCATCATGAAACAGAAGGAAGATGAAGAGAATTGTGAACCTAATTCATGCAATTCCATAAGGAAAGCTTGATCAAGCTAACAAAATACTGAAAGTAATCACCCCCCATGTTTGGTTGAGTCCTGCGACAAAAACAAGTGGCTTGATCGACTGATTACATCTTTACATGCTAACTTGACAACTTCTACCACTCCATCAACTTCAACACTTTTGTTTCCTGCTAACTACACGTAAAGCCATCGTTGCTTCATCATTTGTTTCCTCTTCTCAAACTTGACAGATTTCCCTCCCACCCTGTGAGGAGACCGTTCAAAAAAGTAGTTGATTACTTCACAAGGCGTCTTTGGTGGAGCTTGAGGGTACTGCACTCTCAAAGTCTTCAGCCGGGTGAACGGAGATGCTTCGGACTCCATCAACGACTTCATGCTGGTAAGAGGAAACTCGTCTTCTTCCCAAATCTTTGGAGTGCTGGTAAGACGAGACAGTTGTTCTTCCCGGCTCTTTGGAGGCCCCGACTAATTGATTACATGAAAACAACACCAACGAATCAACTCAGACACAAGGTGGCATGTTCTGGGCTAGTGTTTGGCTATGGAGTACCGTTCAAAACATGTGCATCCTACTACTGGAGTAAGAAGTAAAACATACCTTGTCATATATGTCAGCAAAGCGTAGGCAGAGAGATTTAGCATTATGCAACTCCCCCAACAGCTTCATATACTTACAATGCAGCTCCAGCTCTTCAATCTTCATGGGATCCCACCAAATGCGTATGTCCGCCCAATCCAGAGAAGGAGCACTCAACTTGACCAGCTCGGTTATGAAACCCGAATAACGGAAAGATTTCAGCTTTGGAGCAAACACTTCAATTTTCTCTGACGTGTGAGACTCTTTCTGAATTTGGAAGTCCAACAACTGAGGTCCCGTTATCTTGAATACTAGACTTGTTGCGGAGCAGTTAAAGAGTTTGAGGTAGTTCAAACAAGGGAGACCAGCAAATGGATCAACTGGGAGTTTCTCCCTGCCAGTGTAAAGCCAGCAGCCACGCAGCTCAAGGGCTGTAAGGAAACTGAATCCAAGTCCAAATCCACTGCCACTGTCGAGATCCGACTTAGTAACCTTGAGAGTCTTGATTGATTCCCGATGATGAGCCGCAATGCTGGCAGCCAGCATGCCGAATCTGATCTCACAGACCGCATGGGCAATGGACAAATGGTCAAGACCATGGCCACCATTTCGACGGGAGTCAGCAGCATATTTCATGATCCTGTCAAACAGATGCATGTCCGGTTGTACCATCCAAGAATATACAAAGTTGAAGGTGATGCTGGCGACAGGTGCATCGTTGGAGCGGAGGGACAGAAGATTGCGGATGTATTCTGCAAAGGCGGTCCTCTTGCAGACCGACCTGCTGAAATTGAGGGCAGGAACATCTCTCCACAAGAATCGCCACCTCTTCGACACGAGGCTGGTTCGGACTGCGCATTTGGTGTCCAGGAACGAGAGAATGTGATGCAAAACTCCGTCGGGAAGATCGCTCAATCGGTCTATTGTTCTCTCTTCTCCTCCCACTATGACCTGGCTTCTCCATCGTTTTTTCTTGGACCCCTTTGAACTACTTGCCATTTCTGCCTCCTCCTTCCTCTCACTAGCAGAAGTCGACCGATCAACAACTTATGAGTGCACCTTCACAGGCTGAAACATGAGAATTGATTGATCCTAATCCTCTTGTTTTAGTGTTTTCTCAAAATCTCAAGAACATCAATCGTCAAGAAGCACGAATCGTCATTTTTCAAGACTAATCATAGTATCAACAAAAGGGTAATAAGGACAAGCAGAGTTTTCCAATACAGGGATTCAGAAAACTCAGAAGCGGAGAAATAGACATAGGGCACAAAAATTGACGGTTCCCAGAAACCCTAGTCATGAGAGCTCGCAGTTTACATGAGACCTAGGAAAATTCTTGCAACCGTGAAGACATGCAAAGCGCTAACGAATGAAAAATGCTGCCAAGGAACCATATGGAAGAAGCGCCTGGAAAAGAAAACTACCTGGCGATGGCGGACTCCGAAGCAATCACGGAAGTTGAAACTTCTTTACCACATCTCCGGGAGGGAATTCGTGATTTCTGGGGCTTGATCTTCAAATCTCCGGCGAGAAAAATGGGAATTGAAGGAGCATGCAGAGGAATTGGCCGGCTGAAGAGAAGACGGGAGGTTATCGACAGAGATGAAGAAGCCGAAGCTGAAGAGTGAAATACAGAGTGTCAGAGGGAAAGAAAGAAACCGACGAAACTCCCATCTTAAATGGCCGCGGGAACCGGCTGAGTCAGCAAGTAACCGAATAAGCTGCCACTCTGACTCCGCCACTCCTCCCACGTTTAACAGAGACTTGACGGAAGTTTCGATGGAAGAGATTGTTTGAAATAATACGTGAAATTTCAAATTACAGGGGTCTTTCTGAAGATTTGTATAATACAGAGGGCCAACATGTAACTTTACCTAAAAACAAAAAACGAAAAACCTCCGGCTAGCCATCTTCCTCCTCTTCTCCACTTCAATCGATTCTGATTCTCGCTCGCAGCAAACGCTGCCCCCGTTCCAGAGAACATCCTCCGCCGCCGACTTCAGTACTCAGTTTCCCTTCGCCTGTTGCTCCGCTGCGGTGCTGCCTGTATCTTCCTCTATGTAAGTTTTTTTTTAATGCGGTCTCTGTTATTGAAACTCGTTTTCGGCACCGGCGAGGAGGTTGGCCGGCTACTGTCCTTCTCCAGCCAGCACCAGCTATCCTCCTTTCTGTTGTTACTCATTGATGTCGTTTCTTTTGTTAGAAATCATGAATGAGAATTGATTGATTGAGAAAGGGGGAGTCGATTGTATAGAGTTTTGTAAACCCTAATTGAAAATTTGCGTTGGTATAGAGACCTTTTCTTACTGGAAAATCGTGAAGCACTTCATATGCGAGCTGTGATGGATCTGGAAACGGAGAACAGAATAGCTGCAATGCTTCTCAGAGAAGCTGCAGAATTGAGGCGGCAAGCTGAGAAAGAAGGCGTCCGTGCTTATCTTGAGAAACCTACTGTTAGGGCTCGGCCGAACTCACGATTCCTTACTGCAACTGTTCTTGGAGTACAGCAAGGTCAGTGCAACTAATTGTTCAAGTTTGATGGCTATTAGTATTTAGTAGTCACTTCATAACAGTTTCATTTGAAACTGGATCGACTTCTACGTAGGATTTTGAATATCGCTGGCATGTGAATTGCTGTTTTTGTTATGAGAATTGTGCTCTTTGGTGCATTGTTGAGCAATTTTTATCATCCCAAATGCTTGTTCGTGCTTGGTAGTCTGAAAGGACTTGATACGTAACTTAAAAGGATGGAGCATCGATAAGATAACAAAACCTGTCTTCTTGATTATCTCTGATGATCGGTCAGAATCTTTGCACAACTTAGAAGTATATCTATTTATGTCTATAGTATTTAGTTCATACTGCTGTTATATTGGTATCTCCTATTCAATATGCCGAAACCGCCCTTTACGGCCTTACCTACTGACAGTGGCGGATCCAGGATTTTTTTATAAGGGTGTCCTCTTCCAAACATTAAATTAAACTAAAAATTTATTAAATAATTCATAAATCAGAAAATATCCGACTAGTACATATTTAAACAAAAGGTCCGGACGTATTTTCATATTTTGAAAAAAAGAATATAAAATAGACTCAATATCTACATTGCTCAACAAATCTGTATATCATACTAGACAGTAATGCCCGAACTGATCGCATATTCGATTCCTAACCTTGTACTTGATGTAACTCAAATAGAAAGACCATGTATCCGCCACTGCCTACTGAGTATCGATTAGAAGGGCATATAATTTGAATTTGGACCTTTTCTGCCGTGATTAACTGCGGATAATATTGCCATTCTTTTTTCTTGCTAGAAGTATGCTTAAGAAGCTGGTGTGCTTCATAGGGGTGACAACCAGACTACAAATGAAATTGTTCTCCAGTTTGAGTTAGAATGGGGTCCTAAGTATGCTTTTAGGGTGAGAGTTACACCTTTTTTGTCCAATTATGGGTTGCCCTGATTACTCTATTGCTGAGGCTTTAACACACCGAAAGCTGTAGCAACTATTCCTACTTCTTTGCACTTTGGAACGAAAATAAAAACATGATCCGATCGCCTGATGTTTGAAGTTTCCTGAAAAGAACAAAAGATTAAAGCAACTGCATAACCCATGTTCTTTCACTGAACAATAAACTACTAGGCATTGATTGTAGATTGAAGACTTGGTGGTCCATCAGTGTCTTTTCCATTTTTGGGTTTAGGAAGCTTGTGCTTCTTCATTTACTAGAAACTGGGTTATGTTTCTTTTGTGTTTTACTTTATTTTATTAATACTGATACTATGGTTACTTGCTAGCTTCCAGCAAATCGAGTCGTGGAAGTAAATGAAATGTGGCGAGCTCGGGAGAAAGAGAAAGATTTGGGCAAACAACTTGGTGAGAGATCCAAAGGTAAGAAAGTCGAGATTAACATGGACAGGAACATTGGTGAATCTCCAAGGAGTTCAAGCAAGAGACTCTCTGTACATGGTAATGATGCAAGACCCTCATGCTCATCAAATGATGTGGTACGGGAGGGCAGCCGCTCGATGAAAGAGGAGGGATTGAAGGATGAAGAAATTGAAGAATTCTTGCATTCCAGGTGCTTAATGGCCCCATCCCCCCTTTTCTACTGCTGCATTTCTTTTTTGTCTACGTTTGCAGCAACCAGCATATGAAGTTTTAGAAATTCAAATTGCTTTGAGATGACATCTTGTGCGCTAAATTGCAGGATGAAGCGCGGTCGAGGTGCAGTAGGTTCAAGGATGGACGAGACAGGTCCCTATCGTCCCTCCGGAGAAGACACCATCGAGAATCCGTCCTCGAATGAAGGCAGAGAGCATCATCGTGCAATCTTGGGTCCAGAGAAGCCTTCTTTTTTTAAGTCGGGTGATTCCTCGGAAGATGAATCTTACGAGGACCGGAGGAAGAAGGCCAAAAAGAAGAGCAAGTCGGAAAGAAAACACAAGTCCAAAGCGAAGTCTTCGTCGTCATCATCTTCATCGAGAGATAATAAGAAAAGGAAGAGGAAGGAAGAAAAGAGAAGGCAGAAACAACACTAGTTGGGAAACCAGGCTTCCAAACACCTTCCTTGATGTAGCTTCTGAATGTAGGGTTGTGATGACAAATGTTAGTGATCTCTACGCTTGGTTCAGTTGGTGTCGGTCATATGGTTTTTGCCTGTTGCACATTCGATTGCTGCAACGTTCAGGATTGATTTCATCAACAGAAAAAGGAACTCCAAAGCGAACTGGGTAGCTAGATCTTGTGCTAAGAAACAGCTTCCTAATGAATGGTGTTTGAACCTAACTGAGTGTAGGAGTGAGGTTCACGAGAATGGGTCGAGAAGGATGAACAACAAGGATTAGTCGAGAGCTTGGGAATTGAAGGAAGGAAAAATAGAGTTGAGAGAGTGTCTTTTAGTGAGAGAAGTTCGTTCTTTGCTTAGAGATAGAGCCTGCCAAAAATTTGATCCCCTCACCCACCAGAGTAAATGCCATATTTATAGGCTACATGGTGGTGGGTGAGACACATGGTGACATGACCACTGACATGACAGAGGTCAGAGGTCTAGACCACACCCCTACCCCTACCTAGGACAAGCACATTCACCCTCTCATCCTTAGGACTATGATGTGACTACCTAGGACTAAAATGGTGACTACTCTCCGAGGAGACACGGCGCCGTTTCCATGGTTTGCTGGGCTGGTCAACGCTGGGTCTAAACGTCGTTGCTCGGTGTTCATGGTGCGGCTCTGGACTCATCGGTGTCAAGGAGCCAGACTCTCTTGTTGGTGGCGCTGTCGCGCTTCGTCAGTGCTAGCGCACCCGATCCTCATGTTGCTCGCGCAATCGCGCTTCGCAATTTCTAGCGCGCCCGATCCTCATGTTGCTTCGCCGTTGCTAACGCGCCCGACTCTCATGGCGGCGGGACTGGAGTGCTTCCTTGGCGCGGCGAGATCCGAGTCACATGCCCAACAAATGGATTCAAATTCTTGAAGTTGATGCCCTTTTCTGTAACCTGTGGCTTCTGCCACAAGTAATAGAAAAACTTTGCCCTTTGTAAAAAAAAACACGGGATATCTATTATCTAGCTGCTTTGAGAGTTGGAATGTGGTAATGTAGCACTTTACTTTATCGTAAGACGCAATCATAGTTTGAGGTCGTTTGGAAGTTGCGAATGTTAAATCGTTGCATTGTAATGAATCAACATAATATAAAGGAATGTATTGATACAATGGATGCATTTTAATAATACATTGTTTGGTTATTGAGATTCTATTTTATGCATTGATTTACATAAAGTTACTTTTATGGGAAAATGTCATATTTACTTTCAACTTTTAGTATAAGACAAAAACTATTAGGGATATAAATGGAAAGAAAAAGTTGACACAAATCTAAAAGCAAAAATCACAACAATTTCAACTTTTAGTTGAGATTGTACAATGCATCATTTTTTGTGATTGTTGGTGGGACCTACCTAAAAAAATGTATTTATTGTTTTACATTTTGACACTTCCAAACATTGTATTGTGCACGATACATGCATTCAACAAACACAACTCTAACAATCACAACTTCCAAACGACCCCTTAGACTATGGCAATAAATAAACGCAACTTGTAGGTGGAGAGGTAGTGAGACTGACATAACACCCTCTAATCATATCTCCAAGAAACTCTCGTTAAAGTGGAAGACAAAATGTCAATTGCAAATGACATCGTTCATCCTAAAAAGGATTATAGGTATAATATGCGACTCTATTGTGACGTTTTATCAAACATGCCCTTTTATTATTTTTTAAATCAAACATGCCTTTTGTTTAAATTTTCATCCAAAATCCGTTAATCAAGGTCGAACTTTGGTTTGGGCGGCACAAATGTCTAAAATATCCCTAATAATTTCACTTTTTTTTGTCTTTTGTATTGCCAAATAATTCAAATAATTTCACTTTGAAGACACCTGGAGAAATCAACGGGAGATAAAACTGACATTTTCTCTCCCATTTGCCGATGTCGGGTCGTCTAAATTTCGGTTCAACCATGATTGACGATTTTTTCAATGAAAATTATAACATAAGGGCATGTTTAATATATTTGTTTCTTCATGCAGAGTTGATATGTATCTCGAACCTTATGTCGGGTCGTGAAAAGTTAATTACGAAAACTCGGTTGTCACATATATGACTGTTGTTCACGTGCATAAGATGTCGGGTCGTCTAAATCTCGGTTGTCACATATATGAAATCAATCATGTACATAGTATCTCATCCGATTATTGAATTGGCAATCAAAGGTGCATTAAGATGTTTTTATACACGTTCACTGTTAAATTCGAACATAAGATCTACTAAACCGCCGTATGAGTGGATTTTAACTTTTTCACTCTGGGTTAAATTTTGGGATCGGTTAGCTTGACTACCCCTAAAGGGGTAGTGATTTTTGGCACCCCCTTTATGATTGGCCAATTTTATTTCCAATCATTGGCAAGTATTAATTAAACTGGTTTTTTATTTTTTTTTAATCTTGTAATTTGGGGTCTCTCACCACATTGGAAAAGAGAAAGAATCTGGGGAAAAACGAAATCACCCCCATTAATTACATAATTAATTTCTCTCACTGGTACATTAATTACACGTACCACTCCACTGGTACACGTACCACTCCACTGGTGCGAGCAATCCACAAGGTAGGTTAGAGTGAGAACAATACCAGTGCAATGATATTTTTCATAACAATGATAAACAATAACGGAGCAACAATGCAGTACCACTTCAATGATACAAATACCACTCCACTGGTACACGTACCACTCCATTCAGAGGCGATCCCAGGATGGCGGCAGCTGGAGATAGGAGGATGGTGGTGGGGGAAGGCGCTGTAGGGTTTTGGTCGTTTCAGAGTAGAGGAGGGTTCTGGTTAAAATGAAATCAAAATGGAAAGAGGGCCCAAATGGAGAGAGAAGGAGACTAAAAGAAGAAAAAAAGGCAATTAATTGCACATTTGGGGGGGAGCTTTTTTCTGATTCCCCATATTCTTTCCCTTTCCAATGTGGGTGAGAGACCCCAAATTACAAGATTAAAAAAAAATAAAAAACCAGTTTAATTAATACTTGCCAATGATTGAAAATAAAATTGGCCAATCATAAAGGGGTGTTGAAAATCACTACCCCTTTAGGGGTTAGCATAGTATCCCACCCCTTAATTAAACATCATAGAGAAGGTCCACTATCTCAGTAGTTAGGTTGAGCTGGAACGCCAACGTGGAATGGAAAATTACAATTTGACACACAACGATAAATTTATGGATGGAAAGTTAATGATGCAACTAAAAACCGACTTATATGATTTAGTTGCAACTAAAATAATTTAAGTGGTAAATGTGCAACAAACTTAATACTTATATAGTATGATGTGCAATTAACCCACTAAACCGCCGTATGAGTGGATTTTAACTTTTTCACTCTGGGTTAAATTTTTTACCCAGGGAAGACAAATGTTTGGGGTGCAATTATGATGACAGAGAGAGCAACGGCAGTTTTATAATTAAAGCCGAAGGAAGGCGCTCACATGGGGTTTGCTTCGGCCATCATGTGGCCGTTTGGGAAGACCGACAAATTCGATGATTCGAGAAGGACCGCTGTCTTCTCGCTTGATATCCGGCCGGCTACGTGTTGCTGGCTGGCTGGGTGAGAGTAGGAAAGGAATTAGGAAGGAACAAAATATGATGACAAAAGCTTTACCTACCCCATTCACAAACAACGTGTCACAGCCTGTAACTGTAATTACGTTACCAAAACGAACCCCACTTCACAGCTGTGTTTTCCGCCCCAACGTTGCCAACCCACCCACTCTCCCTTCCCTTCCCTTCTACTCCAACTCTCCAAGTCTATTTTTCGTTTTTACCGTCACGTTTCACTCCTGAATTACTCCGTAACCAATCAATCTCAATAACTCAAATTTATTACAAGCAGTGCTCGGATTTAGTATTAGGAAGTGATTTATTTGAGGCTCGCTACACAAATGAATTTTCACAATCAAAATTCAACACCCAACTTGCCGGTTTTTATTTTTTATTTGACTTGAATCGAACTATCAGCCGCAACGACTGGAATAGTCAGGGGTCTCGCTGCCCGATCAACGAGTGGGGTCCAGGGGTGTACGGGCTCAATGTTAAGTGGGTTCGGGTTCTGGGTTTGATCTGTAACTGTTTCTTTTACCAGATTGGATTAGGTTTAGACCCAGATGGAGAAGTCTTTATACTTCTCATCTCCTCTGTAATCTGTAATCTGCTCTGGCATCTCCTGCACGTGGACTAACTAATACACATTGTGTTAGTGAATCACGTAAATCGTGTGTCGTGTGCTTCTATTTTTCGTTTTCTTACTTTATCAATTTTGTCGATTTTCCAATCCATAACAGCACAATAATAATACTTTTTCATTGCCTATTGGACACTAATTTAGCGTCCAATCCGGCACAAACAAGGATGAACCTGAAAGAAGAAACGTTTACTCTAGCACAACAATGGCTCCTTACCGTTGGAAAGACAAAAGAATGGAAAAAATAAATAGTCTATCAAGAATGGTCCCCACACGCCGCACTTCCAGCCGTTTCCCACTAATTGGAGAACCCTCTATAAATTGCGGTAACCCTCTCTAGCTGGAACTCACCGCTAACCCAGAATATCAAAACTCAACCATCACTTCTCTCATCATTCAGAAGCTCTTCTAGGCCACAGCTCTTCAAATTCCCTTTTCCCTTAATTAGCAACAATGGCCCAAGTAAGCTTCTCAAAGGCAGCTGCCCTCTCCGTGGTCCTTCTGGTCGCATCTATGGTCGCCCTTGTCTCCGCCCAGGAAATGGCTCCTGCTCCCTCACCGTCGCTGGTCACCGGCGCCGGGTTTTCTGTCCCAGCGTCCGGCGCTTTCGTTGCCGTCTCCGTGGTTGTGTCTCTCATGGGCTTGTTGAAGATGTAGAGAGTTTTTACCTTTTCTTTGGTCACTTGAGCTTGTGAATTTCCCAGTGCTTCCTTCTCTCCCTGTTTCTTGATTTCAGATCTCTCTGTCTCTCATTTTTTTTCTTCTTTTTCTGGGTTTTGGAGTGTGGGTTTGGATCTGTATTGGATCTTGTACTAGTTGGGTTTTTGGCCATTGTATGTACCGAATCCGTTGATCTATATATCATATATCATCATTATTCATTCATCTCATTGTACGATACTGTCTTGAGTTTTAAATTAAGCTGGTCCTGTTCGTCTTCATTGTTCGGATCTCTGCTACTCCGTTGGCCGGTGCCTTATCGGTTTATGATTCTCTTCTCTGTGAACTTAGACGTGAAGAACAAAGCTATTTACTAGCCATGTAAATGTTCCAGAGGACTGATGGGTTGGTTGGTTTCCCTCCCTGTCACAGATCAGGGTATGAACTGAAGGGTTTTGATTCTGGATTTGGGATGTAGAATGCCTGAGTTTATCAATCTGGAATCGGTGGATATTATAGGTGTAACGGTGGATATTGAGAGGCTGTTCATGTTCTTCAATTCTCTGGACCAGTACAACAGTCCATGTGGTACAATGTGATGATATTTTGGTGAAGATTGGGTGGTTGAAATGTTACATCAATATCTATGACACTTGAACAAAAATGCTATGACACTTTCAAAATTACCTAAGTATGAGTTTCATTGATGACTATCAGTTTTGGAATAAGCTCTGATGTTAAGACAATAAAATTTAAGCTTCTGCTGACATTATGGTGAAATTTGGGTCAATTTACACTTTTTATTATAATCATAGAGATGACAAGAGAAATTAGTTAAACAACCACCTGCCCCAAACCCTCTAATTTACACTATTATAAGATGTGTAAACCCTCTAATTTGCACTATTATAAGATGTGTTTAGGTTCTTTTCTACCTCGCAAGTTTATACAAGCTTCTCTAGGGGAATGCGTAATGATAAGGGTTCTAAAAAATGTATGCCTTATGAGCTCGTCTCGTCTTGGTTATAAGCAGCGCACACGTTCACAACGTCTGTAACACCCTAGACAGTAGTAATAAGACGTGTTTGTCGGCGAGGAAGCGTGGTTCCAAGCGAGCCGAACATGCAATTTGAGGGCTCTCACACACGGCTTAAAATGACGTTGAAGTGTCTATTTTCTTAAGGAGGGATGGAGACCTTTCTCTCTTTCATTTCTTTCGCTCCCCAACGTTGCTTGTCGCTAGGTCAAAGTTAGAGACAACTCTCTTTAGAGCAACAACTTCTTCCTTATGTTGGACTTCTTCTCTCTCGACTCGTTGCTTCGTTTTATTGCTCCTCCTTCTTACTTCCTTGTCCAGCCACACTATGTTCTATACTATTGTATGTGTTGTTGATGAGGGTTTACAAATGTGAGATCGAGCTAAAGATGTTAGTTCACGAACCTGTGATTTTGAAATTTGTGGGGTATTATGCTATTATTGCTTCCAATTTTCAGACGAACTAAACACTAGACATAATTTGAGTATTAATCTTATGTCTATCGCTTTCTTAAACCCTTCTAAATAACTCCAATGTTTTTAAAAATTAAGTTTCAGGAGATAAAAAAAGACCATATGTATGTGTTGAACAAGGAAATTTCGGTTACCAATCAATGCGGTTGAAGTCAATTATTATGTCTTCTGTTCATCATTTCGGTGTCCATGTGGTACAATGTGTTGATATTTTGTAGAACATTGATGAGTGGATGGAAATATTATATGACTTTTGGAACAAAAGCTACGATGGCTTAAATTGTTGGCAATCATAACTATAATTTTCAAAATTAGCTACGTATGAGTTTTATTGTTGACTATGAGTTTTGGAAATAAACCCAACTACTGCCCAAGTGTTAAGACATTAAAAGTGAAATTTGTTGCTTTTGTTGACATTATGGTGAAATTGATGGTCGATTTGAAAACTATAGAATGTGGTTGGGATTCTACCTCATAGGTATAGGCGGAACCAACCCCAGTAATAGGATCTAAGGAGGACAAGACAATTAAGGTATTATATAAGAGGAATTTTACAATGCTATATAGTATTGGTGCTATACGTTTTTTTTTATTGTACAATTTGAAATTGTACATTTAACGTTATGGTACAACATCATATTGTACCTATATTTTTTGTACAAATTTTTTTATGGTACAACTTAAACTTGTACCTTATGTGATGGTACAACTTTACAATTTGAAGTTGTACCATCACATAATGATACAAATTCCTTTATAGTACAACTTAAACTTATACATTTAATGTTATGGTACAACTTCAAGTTGTACATTAAAACACCAATGCTATATAGCATAGTAGAAGTGGTCATTATATAATTATAATATATCATCTCGAAACATAATCACAAGCAGTAATCAATTTCATAATTAAAAGTTATTGAGTTTGTAATATAATATATCAAACAACGTGTATGTGGTTCGGAAAAACCTCATTCCTACCATCCGTAAACAGTGGCGGAGCCAGAAAATTGGCCAAGGGGGTGTCTTTATCATATCATAAAAAATCACCTATACAATAGAAAAGTCAACTTTAAATTAAACAAAAAGTCAACAACGCAATACTCTAAATTCACACAATTACATTAAAATAGTTTCACGTACACCGGTTACAACGTCAAACAAATAAGTTCAGTACATACAAATCAAGACTTCCATTCATCAAATATTACAAATTAAAACTCAGAAGTACCTTGGAATTGATTTTGTGAAACAAACAAGTGAACTTCAATTGGTACTTCTTCACTTTCAACTTTGTTTAAACAAAAGACAAGAAATTTCTCTATTGTAGAGCTAAAAAAAAAGAGCGAATTTAAACAAAAGACAACAATTTATTACTATAAATAAAGACGAAAGTGCATTACATAACAAAACTCACTCGATCGAAATGATAAGAAATTCTTCCTGCAACTGAATGGTCATTGATTCGAATTTGTATATACCCCTACTCGGAAATTTTTTCTCCAAACCCAAGGGGGGTGCAAAGCACCCCCTCCTCTCCAAGTGGCTCCGCCACTGTCCGTAAACAATCGTATTTTAAGTTCTTAATATAGTGTGTTAGCTATCCTATTTGTACTGCATGGGTCACGTATGTAGAGGGTTAGTGGCCCATTGTATTTGGCCCAAGTATTGGGCATGTGTTTAGTGAGTGTGCATTAGGGTTAGCCGTGCCCTAAACTGTAAAAGGAGGAAGAAGAATTCGACATTGTAACAAGATACACATACTACAATTCTAATCGGATCATCAGATTGGAGAGCTCAAGAGCTCTCTCATGGATTAGTCCTGAGATAATCAGGGATACCACGTAACTCCGTTGTCCACCGTTTTACGTTTACTATCGTTATGTCTAACATAGTGTTAACTGTTTCGGGAGATGTCGATGTTGGTTGACTTTTTTTAAGATATTAATTGGATAAGTGAAGGATAATGACAGAGAATTGATGTATGAGAAAATAACCATGACTCTTAAGTGATATAAATGCTCTAACTAATAAGATAATCAGAAATCTACAACGTACTTTAACATATAATCTCGTAGTTTCGATGTAAATACTAAAAAAATATCAAACCCTCGCAAAATTGGATCTATATCAATAAGGACACTTCTCAAACCCTCACAAAATTGGTAGCTAGATATTTGACAAATACAGTCTATCATCATCCGTCATCCTTCAGAAAAGTTGATACATGAACCATAGACACATTTTCGCCCTGTCATTTGCTGTCCACCCAAAAGATGAATAGACCTAACAGCAAATGCACATTCATGATTCGGGAAGTGAGAAAATAAGGCATAATTGTTTTTCTATAAACTACTACCACATTTTATATAATAGAAGTGAGAAAATTAATTAGCAATAAGTTTACTAGCAATCGAAACTAAACATCATATAATAAATTCAAGGACTACTAAAAGTACTAATTTTTTTTTGCTTACATGGGAGGCTAAAAAGCCAAAGAAAAAAAAAAAAAAAAAACAACGGGGCGGAGAGGGGCTACAGCCTACAGAGTGGAGGGGGTACCAGAAGCACTTATGATGCTCCTGGGAAAGGTTTGACCTCTGTTGTAATCGCCTAAAATAATATGAAGCTCTTGGGGAGGTAATTCCAACTCATACTTACCATAGGGATAGACGAGACTGTGCTTCGAGAGCCAGTCCGCGACTCTATTCCACTCCCGATAAGTGTGAACTAGCCTTACCACCCAATCTTGAGCTATCCTGCGTCTTATTACGGCCAGTAGGGTTGCTTGAGCGTGAATCAAATCATTCCTTTTCTCTATGAGCTGCAGGGCCATTTGAGAGTCGGATTCCACTATGAGAGTTCTGCTGCCAGCTTGCCAAGCTACCCCCAGACCATGATAAATGCCCCAAAGTTCCGCTTGGACAGCTGAACAAGTTCCTAGGTTGACGACGAAGCCTCTGATCCAGGTCCCCTGATGATCTCTTAAGACACCTCCTGCTCCTGCCAACCTCTGAATCCCGTTAGCTGCGCCATCCACATTTATCTTTGTCCATCCAGCCGGAGGGGGGATCCATCCTATTTCTCGGAGCGTGCGGTGAGATGGGGTAGAGCAGCACCCGAGACTGTCCTGCGGCGCATTCCAAGCTTTATACCACAAGGTCGCTTTAATCTTTATTGCTTGGGTCAAGGAGGGCGGCGAAAGAGTCTTGTCAATTCCCTTGAAAATGCCCTCGTTCCTGTTCTTCCACAGATTCCAAATCGCAATGCTGAAGAAGGCTTTCCAAGGGGTCTCGATTCCCCTCATCTCCTTGGTCTGCAGATTCTTCGTTAGCCACCACCGGCAACTCCCATCATATGAAACGGATTGAGCTGCATACTGAAAAAATCTCCATGCTTCTCGATGGGGACTGTGCGCGCCCAGAAGAAGGCAGCAGGTGGGCAATCTTTGAAGATGTGGAGAGTGGTCTCCTCCTGTGTCAAGCACCTGTAACAGAAAGGAGAGGAGGTAATTTTCCTTTTAACCCGTTGCACGTTCCAGCTCACCTTATCATGCGCCACCACCCACATGAAGCAGCGAGCTCTCTCCGGAACTGGAAGGTTCCAAATAGCTTTCCAAAGGTGACTTGAATCGTTGTTTGTGGGCTGTTGCATGAGCTGATAAGCACTTTTAGCTGAGAAATTGCCGTCAGAGGTGGGATGCCAAAACAGGACGTCATTCTCCCCAGATAGCGGATCTACAGCACGCGCCGTGATTTGATGAACCACTTCCTCAGGAAGGAAGTCTTCGAACTTCTCGGTGATCCAGGAACCTTCCTCCTCCACGTAGTCAGCCACCATGGCACCCCTCTCTTCTTCCGAGATTAATCCATAAGCCATTTCCTGAAGAGGAACCTGCAAAATCCAAACATCAGACCAAAAGCGGGTGAGATTTCCTCTATGGATATTTCATCCACATCCTTTTTTCAGCAATTCCCCTGCTTTGGAAATGTTGTTCCAAGTAAAGGAACTTTCCTTTAAATGTTTGATGATGTCGAGATTTTTCTTGTTCTTGCCATACTTTGTGCGCATCAGCTGAACCCAGAGAGTTTCTTTCTCTGTCATAAGTCTCCATCCGCACTTAGCCAACATAGCCAGGTTAACTTCTCTTGCAGGGCGCAAATTGATCATAGATGAACACATCAACTTGTGGTACAATACATTTATAATGCACCGCACTAATTTATATCGCTTTCGTGAATAAGAAATATGATAATCAACTTGTACCGCACTAATTTATATCGCTTTCGTGAATAAGAAATATGATAATCAACTTGTACCAAACAAGAGATTTCAGTTGTTATTAATGTGACTAAAGACAATACGAATGCGACATAAATATTAAAGAAGGTTTGACTTGGGATTCGAAGCTTTTAGCGTGCGATCACAAATTAGCAACTTTGGAAATTGAAAATTCTTTCAAATTTATCGTTGTGGTTAGACTCTCCACAATGTAGTGTGGTTTAGGGGGAAGTGGGGAAATAACCTACAATGTGGGTGGGAAAGATGGAAAAAGTGGAGAAATGGGAAATTTTGGGTGGGAAAACCCATAATAAGAAGACAAAAGGTGGGGGGAAGGGTTACAACTTACATGCCACATCTAAAATGGATTGGTAGATTGGGTTTTTTTATGCAAGCGACATCTAAAAACTGGACCAAGTATGTATAATTTTAAAAATTTAGGTACTAAAATTTCATAACTCATAACTAAAAAAATTATGTACCAATTTATTTTCCCAATGATATTATATGAAAAAAATTACATTTTACTTTTAGGTACCAAAATGTAAAGTATAAAAATATAGGTATTAAAATATATTTTCTAAATATAATGAATCTATCAATCCAATTAGATTTCAATCAAATAGATTAGATTTAAATGAAGTAGATTAATTGTATATTTTAGTTGATATCTATCTATCTATCTATACATAATATTATGGCAATTCAAAATTAAATTTTTGCCACATAAGCACTTGGAGAGATCTCAAGTGGCCAAGGTGGACAATTTTTTTACCAAAAAAATAGTTATTGACCTATTTATGGAGTTGTCCCTCTCTCTTCATTTAATATTTAATTCTATTTTATCCAATAATTATTTTACTTTTGTTTTTGCATTATATCTATAAATAACATATGGAGAGAAAGGTTATCACACCGGTTTAGCAAGTGGAATGGTTTTACCAGTGGTACAACCGGTTTAAACATTCATATCAAATGAATTTAATCCTATATAAACCATATTTTTTGAAGACAATTTACGTACAATTCATATTGATATTTGAATAAAATATGATATTTCAAATAAAATTACATGTACTCATACTTAAATTCACTAAAACTACGTATTATACTAAGAAATTCG